TGTACTGTACAAATCAATCAATATTTCTAAAATGATTGCTAACATGTGACCTAATATCTGCGTTCGCATATTGGTACGTGAGAATCTCACTACCTTAGGTTATCTCATTCTTATTCTAAAGAAGATGGAAGATAACGAATGCTCATACCATTCGGTGTCAATTCTCGTCTATTTCCATCTTAGCATTGTCCATTGTGCTCAGACTTCACACGTTTTATGAGCAAGTCACTAGATTCAAGTACGCAATGCGATCATAGTAATGTCTTTAATATGTTAACGAGTTAAGAAATAATCCATTTACACTCAGATGTAACCATGTCAAAGTGTATATCTCTAATCTCAAATTCCCACCAGACTTAGTACTAAGAGAATGGCTATATAAAAGGTTTATTAGAAGTCATAGTACCGTAGTCAAAGCTAAGCTAAACTCGTTTTAACATCACACAACTAAAGTCTTATACGTATGGTGCCATGAAAGCATTGGTAACTATGTGTCTTACCAAGAACATGATGTTATATTCGCATAATTACAGTCTTTCCATTTGACTGACTTCTTTAGGTACCTAATGTTATAACAAGTTGCTTGTTTTATTGTTGAGTATCGGGGACTACTTGGTATTGATGAGACATGGGTTACCTACATGATACTAAACCAACATGTTGTAACAAGATGAACTATTATAACTGGTCGGTTTTCTTTTTACACATGATGCTACGCATAGAGATGGGACCAAGTGGTTGAAGACTGAAGAGCATTAGCTAAAGCGTGACTATATCGAGAGGTGCGTATAATGATGGATAGACGGAGGGAGCTCTGTCACTGCAGCCAAGCCCATGGTCCCTTGCGGAATTACTTGAGTATTATTTACCAACTAATGATGTACTAGCTCCTTCGAGTTTGTCCTGGCTAACCATGCAGGCATGCTATATGTGCTTACGTCAGTTATTGAAATCCCACAGCTTCATCCCATCAACTAATCCAACTAGAAGTCGGTGAACGACAAAAAGGAACAAGAGAATGCATGACTATCTTATAGATAAGATGACCTATGTAATATGATTATAAGCCTGCAAAATCTAGGCTTTTATTATGATACTATTTACATCAGCAAATGGCAAATGGCAAATGGCAAATGGCAAAAGCATGATGATTATTGAAGCTGAAAAGTTACCCATCGTCACAGTAAGTGTAGGCACCTTTGATGGTTCGGCTGATTCGCCGACTTTGGTCCACTGTAAATTTGGTCCACTATATTCCGTAAACACTAGGTTAGGTAGGTTAATGGATTAGCCCTACTACACTAGCGTGGTAGACGCGAAGCTATGTATTGTACTCCGTTAATAACTCCGGATCCTTAGGTGCCTGGCTGCCTGGACAGGGTACCTGGACAGCTAGAGTAAGCAACCAGGAGCGTAAGCAGATAGGAATTCACCCACTATCACCCCGCTGACTTTTACATACTTAAGAGGAACCCCACCAAACCCCAATTGGAGGAGGGAGAGAAAAATATTATTCCCTCTTCGTTTTCCCGCCTTCCGCCTTCTGCCTTCTGCCTTCCGTCATCCTTCTTCCTTTTATTTATTATCTATCAACCCTCACCGGAGCGAGAAAATCTTTTACTTTACATTATTTTTCTCAACTTGTAGTCCAATTGACCTTCTACTCTCATACAATGGCTGCTAACGGTTCTACATACGCTCTCTCCCAAGAGCACAAGGACGTCAGTATTACCACTCCAGTATTTGCTTCGTATTCGCAAAAATATTTATGCTAACTTACCGTTAGTTGCTCGAGAGGTCTCTCCTCGACTCTGATCCGGAGGTTGCGGAGATTATGGTGAGTTTCCCTATCTAAAGCTGATTGATCCTGCAACCGACTCAACCGTCACTATAGAAAAAGGAAATTCAACGACAGCGCGAGTCTATCATCTTGATTGCCTCCGAAAATGTTACTTCACGTGCTGTCTTCGATGCCCTTGGCTCTCCCATGTCCAACAAGTACTCTGAAGGTTATCCTGGCGCTCGATACTACGGTGGAAACCAGCACATAGACCAGATTGAGCTTCTCTGCCAGAAGCGTGCTCTCCAAACCTTCCACCTCGATCCGGAACAATGGGGTGTCAATGTCCAGTGCCTCAGTGGCAGTCCCGCAAACTTGCAGGTCTACCAGGCTATCATGAAGCCCGGAGGCCGATTAATGGGGTTGGATCTCCCCCACGGCGGTCATCTGAGTCACGGATACCAGACTCCCTCCCGAAAGTAAGTTTCTATCTTGGTTAGTTTGGACTGACCTACAATGGCTAACTTCGCTGCTTATAGGATCTCAGCAGTCTCAACTTACTTCGAGACAATGCCATACCAAGTAAACCTCGACACTGGCATCATTGACTATGATAGACTCGAAGAGAACGCTCAACTGTTCCGCCCCAAGGTCCTCGTCGCTGGTACCTCGGCGTACTGCCGTGAGATTGATTATGCGCGCATGAGGAAGATTGCCGATTCAGTCGGAGCTTATCTTGTCGTCGATATGGCCCATATCTCTGGTCTGATTGCAGCTGAGGTTATCAAGTCCCCCTTCCCCCACGCCGATATAGTTACTACCACGACACACAAATCGCTCCGTGGACCCCGTGGCGCTATGATCTTCTTCCGAAAAGGTGTTCGTAGCACCGACCCCAAGACCGGCAAACAGACCCTTTATGACTTGGAGCCGGCCATCAACTTCTCGGTCTTCCCCGGCCACCAGGGCGGACCCCACAACCACACTATCACTGCTCTTACCGTTGCCTTGAAGCAGGCCCAGACTCCTGAATTCAAGGCATACCAAGAGAAGGTTGTGTCTAACGCCAAGACGCTAGAGAACAAGTTCAAGTCTCTCGGCTACAAGTTAGTATCCGACGGTACTGACTCGCACATGGTTCTCCTAGACTTGAGACCCCAGGCCGTGGATGGTGCTCGTATTGAAGCTGTCCTAGAGCAGATCAACATCGCTTGCAACAAGAACGCTACCCCAGGCGACAAGTCTGCCTTGACGCCTTTCGGTATTCGTATTGGAACACCGGCCATGACCTCGCGTGGCTTTGGAGAGCAAGACTTCGAGCGTGTTGCCGGCTACATTGACGAGAGCATCAAAATAGCCAAGGAGATCCAGACTAGCTTGCCTAAGGAAGCTAACAAACTCAAGGATTTCAGAGCCAAGCTCTTTGAAGGCGGCAATACTAGGATTGCCGATCTCAGGAAGGAGATTGCTTCCTGGTCCCTGACTTTCCCTCTTCCCGTTGAGGGATGGAGACTGGATGCAGGGATCTAGTATATCACGTATGTGGATGAATCACGATGAACCGGGGAGTTATTGTTCAACATATAGATTTGAGGACGGAAGAGGGGCAACTCAACTTTTCTCTAGTTTGTGGAAACGGGATCGGTCTTATTACGGAAAACAGGATGACAAAACAGGACAGTTGCATGCATTCATCAGGCGTTGCAAATATCATAAGAGCTCCGGAGTTTGGTATAACTCTAGGGTCTGGGTCATCGGTAGCACTGCTTCAACGCAGTAGATTATGGGGAACTTATATCCATTCGGTGTTTTATGTGTAGATAATGAAGTTGCAAGGATACTCGCATCAGGGCGAATCTCAATGCAATATATGAATCTTTACATGTTGGTGTAGCCATGTGGCCGTAACATTCATCCAGTATCGACTCCTATAGGAACTTCATGAGCAGGACTAGCTTTAATGTATTATGCCCAAGTTCCCCAACTATCATTTACTTCTTCATGCTCGCCCTTTTTACGGATATTTTTAGAACAAAGCATAAGTCTTCGAATAAATAACTAATCCAGATGCCAACTTACATCCCGTTGCAACGGGTCTCGCTACCTGGGTAGGAAAACAGTCGACGTGCATATCGAGTGAACCTATAGATACCTTTACGGCTAGAAGCGGATAAGAAGAGAAGATATATGGATATATCCTGTGCTGATGTGGCTACGCGCAGGAACACTCGGCCGAACAGTCATCAAAGCTGTTTGCGGACTGGTTCTGCCCTTTCGTGCAACAAGCATGGATCACACTTGAGGAGAAAGGCATCCAGATTTCAGCCTGGTGGATATTGTTATGGTTCCTTGGGCTGTAAGTATAATCTCAAAATCTCTCTTCACTGCTCATCATGATTCGCTCCTCGAATAACGCTTTTCCAATCGTCGTGGCACACGTAGGTTCGCCTTTGGGTATTCGAGGAATTCAGGGGCGGCTTGCGTATCCCGGATGAAGAGGCCCGGGGCCGGTGGCGTAAGTGGCTGGTCTAGACGCGGTTTCAGGTAGGGACAGTGTTAAAGAGATATGTAGTGATCATGAACACTATGTGCCAATCTATAAGCGGTATGCAGATGACTTGATTATTTTGTATATTTGTTACTTGGGCTCTGGTGTGGGTGAAAGGTCGTCGATACATTTATAAGAGGCTCCTACTTGAAAGTTGTCTACGGTGAAATGACAATGGCACAATTGTAACTTCATCTTATTCAAGCTTTCTAATGAAGAATTAGAATATGTAGAACTCTTGATTTCCGACTTGTTAGGGGAAAAGCCACCTAGACGTACCTAAGATTTACTGCGGCAGGATCCCGCCAGATAGACGATAGACATCGGTCAGGAGGACATTTGCATTGCAGATTAGCACAGCAGAGACTGTTGTCGTGAAACAACGAGAACGTGTCTTCCGGCGGCAACGGTAATTTGATGATATTTGAATCCTTGAGTTTCCTCGCGGACACTTGCTTGAGAGACACAGATCGCGAGGGTATTCCCTGTTTCTCGTGCGACATATGCAATGACTAGGAGGCTAGGCACAGTTCCTTATGCCGGAGTTCTATCGCAAGTTACCTATTATACAAACTCTTATTAGTCGAGCTTTGGCCTCAACATGCATTGATACATCGGGAAATATTTTCGGCGACCACAATTTTATCTGCGACATATTCCTTCTAATAGACTATTGATGCACAATGCTTAGACTCTAGCCACTTATACTTAGAGGCGTTCTGCAAATCTAATCAATAAATTTTCATTCCTAAGGCAAATTACGCGAGTACGCGAGTATTCTATGCGTCTCTCGAATCAGTCCAAGAAATACTATAAGAGCTTTAGTTCCCCGCGGATATCTAGACTATATGGAATGTTTTGTTTGTCTTATATTGCCCTCTCCTTTCTAGATACTATGCGTCGATAAGACCGCTCACATTCGTTAGTCCGCCTCCCTTCCGCAAGTCATAATGTACGCTTTGCCCCTTATTGTGGCATATCTAAGCGTAGTTGGAGCTACACCGTTCAGGCTTATTTCAAAGCGCTTGCTCGGTGACCACCAATGGGTACGCAATAAGAGCAATGGCTGTCCAGCCTATCTTGAAGATGGCGAATTCGAATCCCCAAGCTACATAACACAGGTTTCGCAGTGTGAGCCTGATAGAGCTTTTGGTCCACAGAGAATTGGTTTTATCACGCCCAATGACATCTCATCCATCTTCAATTTTGATATCCCGGAGTCGCGTGCCGATGCCAACTGCACACTTGAGTTTCTCTTCCCCCGCAGGAACCAGCTTAGCAGTTCATCTTATATCTACGAGGGCGATGGCTCCTTTTTATTCACGGGATATCTGGCCGGCAGCTGCCCTGGTCCCGAGACGACGTTCAATAACCAGCCAACCCCTGGTACCTTTCCTGCATTCCCGCCCATTCACATGGAACCAGGCTACGCTTGGTATGTATGCCCCATATGGTTATTTTTGAACCCAATTCCAAAATAGTCCTGAACTGAATTCATTGGGTATACAGTGGCTAACGCTCAGTAGTAAGTTCGATGACCCCTATAATTTCGACTCATTCGTAAAGGAACTGTGGGTGTACCCTAGAACTAGAGGGTTGTAAATCTAATACGGAATGCTCTCATACGTTAGATACCATCGATGTTGGCCCTTGTATGTTTGCTGCTGGAACATGTGTGGCTGGGAGTAAGTCAGAACTCTCTCATAACTTTCTCATGAGCGATAAATTCAGGCTATTAACGCGGGTACAGTGACTTCATCCAATGATACCACTTTCAAATTTCTTCCAAACACGAACGACTGCCCAATTGGTATCTATAATGCTTACAGTTATGGACTACCTTGTCCACCAGAACACTGTTGATAACGATACGTCTGATATGAGTCTCCTTGTACAAGGCACATGGCATAATTAACCCTCTTGGAGAACGAACGATGAGCCTTATGATGATTCAATGTCTAAAGTTATGGGCGCGAACATAGGGATCTTCCCGGATGTCTTAGATATTATTACGCTTAGGGGTTATTAGGTAACCATATGAACGGTTGTGGACTTCCGATAAGGCATACTCTGTAGCTTCTTAGCATAATTGGCGTTGGAAACTCCGAGTAATTTACCATGCTTTCTAGTATAATTGGTTTATATTTATCACTTGATTTGAATCCTTTCGGCCAACCTCAAGTCAAGTCATACCAGTTATGTACAAGAAAAAAGCTGACAACCCACGTAAGGGGCTGGTATGCTGACAGTATGTGCAGCTAATAAACGCGAACGACTGCTTGGACGCAACAGCTAAGCCCACTGTTTGAGGTGGCTTTTGTTAACACAGTTCTCTGTTACCTACTGAATGTATCTTAAGAATGAAGACATGTGATTCTTAGATTTCTCCTCGAGTAGCTGGTTTTCTACGCATATGTCCCGAGATAGCTTATACTGAGTCTTATATAAGTTGATAGTCACTTCTATCGTGAGGTAGCGATCTTAGTACTAACCAGGTAGGCATTTAAAATGGCATGATAGGCCCTTTCTAAACTTGATATCACATATTAAAAATTCTAGTAGTTGCTACTAATCTGAGATGATATTGATACAGGTTCTTTCAGTATATCAATCTATGCTAGAGATCAAGCCCTTCGCGCGGCCCCCAAATGTTGGCGCTTGTATTGCAATGTAACGGGAGGTGAAATAATATGTAAGACCACACTTGAAACTAAGCATAGGAACGTTGTAGTGGCTATGATTCTGCGTAACCCTCGTGGAGCTACTGTAAGTAACTTCTATTCAATATTAATTGAAATATTAAAATCTAGCAGTATTCCCAAAAAAGAGCCTATTAGCCAATTGGGGGACACCCTCAGAGAGAATGCTGACCAGCCGGTACAGCAGCAGGACTTCCGTGCTAATAGTTGTTTTGCAAAGAAGAGTACCCTTTCTCAATGGTCCCTTCAATTTCATATAACGAGGGTAAAAGTAAGTGCAAATACTTCTGATTGGTATTATATTTATTACTAATATTTCCTTGACAATGTTTACAATTACTCGATATGATAGCCAAATTGGCATGGGGACTATCTATGAGGGGGATAAGAGGAACAATGGCTCGAGATTGGTGTACCAAGTTTACGAAACCTCCAGTGTATTAGTAAATGGAGGCGACTGGCCTGGTATCTCTTAGCTCTAACATCTCTTCCTATCTGTCTGATATAAGTTAGAACGTGCATTTCCATGAATGCATAAGCTAAGTCTGAAGCGCGTAGGTACAGCTCCGCGGTTTTCCAATCACTTGCATCAACCGATTATACTATTTCTGTCGTAAAGAACTCCTTTGCAAATGGCAATACTTGGGATCTCACTACAGCGGAAATCAACCGAGCAGGAGATTTCGGGTGTCAGAGATGCCCCTTGGTTGATGTCATACGTAGAGTGAATGTTAGAAGCAGCAGCGAAGCTGCTGTATAGTAGCCGTATAGTAGTATGAATCTATTAACGCTTGACCTTCTATCCTCTTTCGAGGGCGCGCAGCGCCCCTTATATATATATTCTACATAGATCTATACTTAATTCATACTAGCTTCACTTGCCCCCTGACAACATGTGCCTTGCTACTAAGGATGACTTTATACGACGCCGGTCATGGAAGTCCAACCTCGTGGAGCAGCTCTTCACCCTGAACTGTGAGCCTAGGGGATGGGAAGGACGAGGAAAGTTTTGGGTTGTGGTTACTAGAAAACGGCGGTGGTTTGTGCTGCTATTTTCGTGAGTATTCACAATATGCAAAGACTATGTGCCCCTTATTCGAGGTTCACACTGTGGACCAATCCTTGAAGTCACTAAAGACACCAGGACGCCTCATAGCTTCTAGCTTCTCGATATGTGCTGTGCAAATTATATTTACTAAAAGCTCACCCGCTCATATACAGGAAAGAATTGATAAAATATTGGCTACGGCGATTGAACGTATTCAAGCCGTCAGTCGATACAGTAGCGTTCCGTAGCCTAAGTCATCATAACCTCCGCTATTACTGCCGTAGTTGCCGCCACCGCCTTCCACACCGTCAGTACTGTTACCGTTCATCTCGTCTCGGTACAGTTTCGTCCAAGAGGCATTCAGGCCCTTAATATCCGCGTAGTGGGCATACAAGCGCTCAAAGCCGGGACGGTGGTTATAGCGGCTGGCAGCGCTGATCTCGGTCTGGTTGCCAAGATAGCTGCCATACCAAGTGTACGGGACGTCGTAGCCCGTGTTGTACTTGGCGACATATTCAGATCTGGTCGCGTTGTCAGTCCCTAACTACAGCTCGTCTCTTCGGAGGAAGATACCCACGCAGCTAATCCGGAGTTGTTCAAAACCGCATACAAGTCGTCTCCTTGGTTGTACCCTTGCTGCATAATAGCACCCAAGAGCGCGAGGTCCAGTGTTGCGTGGCCCTGATCTCTTCCTGCCTCTTGGCCCTGGGCTAGAATCTTGCCACTCCCATCTTCGGTGTAGTTCTTGTAGATAAAATTGTTGATGGCACCTCTACCATCTCCGTGCAAGAAGTAGTTCTTGGCCCAATCGTACATGGTCTGGTTATCCGTGAGGACGCCAATGGCCATTATACTGGCAGTGTTGCAGAAATCCCAATTAGCCCACTAAAACATACTTTAATTAGCAAAGCTCTGGCTTACGAACAGTCCATCATAGTCCTAAAAAGATCTTTCCCAAGGAAAAACCAGAGTTATGAGAATTCTCTTACGTAATGGTACTCATTCTGGTCGTTATGGGTTGTAAGAAACCTGTAATTAAGGGGGTAGAACACATCCACGAGCAGACTTTTCAGGTCGTCCTGTGATGTGCTATTCCAGCCGCTGTAGGACCGCATCAGTTCGGCAGCATTTGCCAACTGATACCCGTAAATGCCGGCCGCGAGGAAGAGGTCACTATTACCGCCTATGGCCGTCATGGTGGACGACCATGCGTTGAGGATCCTGACAGCGGCATCGGCATACTCGGTCGCTTGCTCGACTTGCCAACGGATCGCAAGCTGGTAAGCTGCGTGAACATCGTTGTAAAACTTTCGGTAGTTTTCGGAGTGTGTACCATCGGACCCCCGGTAGACGGTCGCCTGTGGGCTGGGCTCATAGGTCGACTGAGCGTGTGAGTTTTTGGTGAGTAGCTGCCAGGCTGTATTCCAAGGCTCATCCGCATTGTTGACATGGTTCTTAATGCGAATCAGATCCTCGGACGTGTGCAGAAGTCCCGGATGGACGAATGCTGCAGCGTGGGACGCCACGGAGGCCAGGAGCAGAAGTTTGAGCGTTGCCATTATTCCGTATTCCCGGTATAAGCTTGGGTGGCTTAAATGAAGGAAAGCTCGACACTTGGGGAAACAGGACAGTTAAGGGATTCCTACATCGACCTTTATATCTCTCAACCATGGCCCCATATGGCGACCCTTATTTTCGTATTGGAATCCATGAGGCACACATTGGCCGCCGCACGGTCCGGCACTTGCCCCGGATTCCGAATCGCCAGTTTTCTGCTTTCGGATATACCATTATCCACCACTTGAGCACCCTGGAATCTATCAGGTGTTACTGCACGTACATTGGCATTGCCAACGCTACAAGCGGGCCCAGTCCTGGGCTCGTCTTTGATCTGCTCACTATCCCATACCTACCTCACTAGTATTACGCGCCGTGCAGCGCGTATGATAACCTTCCTATGCAAATCTGATGGTCGGTATAATATCGTACCTATCATGGCAGGGCGTGAGTATTGAAGAGCTTCACTGGCCGAATAAATAATTCCAAATGAGAACAAGGGTCAGATACAATGAAACATATTAATTATGGACGACGTCATAAGTTCTATGAATCGTTCCCAATTACATATTGTAGTCTGGCCATACATCGTATCATTGTATTAATCGCCGGTTCTAGACGCAAGAGCTGCACTGGGGTGATCTACAGGAAATCCACGAACCTTGAAGGTATCAAAAAGCTTGACTTACATATATTGATTTCACATTCCCTTCCTTGTCAAAGGCTTTCTCAGAGCCAAGATCACGGTATCTACCCGGTAAAGCAGCCAACCTACCCCTTTCATTAAGAGTACAACCCCATCGATATACATAAGTGCCGGCCTAGCTGACCAAGATCAACATGCTCCGGCAACATCCCATTCGTTTCCGCGCTTTCTAGAAATGGGGCTCTATGGAGAAGCAGCTCGCTACCGTGCTTCCGCCGTAACGGGGTGTAGGCCTTATTCCAGCACAGATCAACGAGCCTGGACCACTTGTCATGAGGTGGAACCAAACGATATGGAGACAACTTTGTTGTTCCGCGAGGAGCTCTAATCTATCTACTAGGACCTATGTCTATACATTAGGTACTGAACGTGGTCTTTGTTCTAGATGTCTCATCTAGAATCCTGACACCACTACCGACTTAGCATATCCTACAGCGATGGCGAAACTCAGCACTGCGAGACAGCCTGGGAATGACTGGGAAGCTATCTTTCGAGCCCACGAACCCGAGAATTCGTCGTTGGCCATCGAGTGTTTTGCTTGAGACGCGCTCTAGCGAATCTCGCAAATCGACATGATGCATTGCTATCATCTATTGCAGTTATGGGGTTGTACAAATACAACGGGACCATGAGCATGGTATTCTACTAATAGTATGGCAGTCAGCACCACGTGTCATGTCCTCGAGGAAGATAGTGAAGAGGTCTATCTTTTACCAGTCCAGTGGGGGGTAGTAGAAGTAAAGGATAGAGTTGGAAAATGCACATTTACGACGGCGCTAGACGATAAAATAAAGGCACTAGAGGTTGGTTTGAAATCCAAGTGGCATTCTGGTTCCTGCCAGTGTCTTGACTTTCCGGTATATATTGAGTGTAATAGTTCTGCCACTACAGTCAAACAATCTTGAGACTGAAGGAGGTTGGTTATATCACACTAATAAGAGGACTATCCCATTGAACTCCGGACATGGACCAAAAAATTGTATCCACTCAATTAAACCAAATAAGTTTGAAAATCACGATATCCAGCTCGCTACCAAAAGGAGACCCTCGCCCATTTTACGATTTAATCGATAAGATCTTGACCTAGAATAAACACAAATTGCATAAAATACTGTTTCTTCAAGGTTCAGGCAGTGGGGATAATTTTAAGCCCTTGTCCGGAGTTTTATAAGATAATACGAAGATTCATTTAATGTCGTTCTGTATGGTCCAGTAACTATTATTTATAAACTGCTAAGTTCTGCACACGGATCACACCAGCACCCTGTGCAGGGGAGACAGAGAAGAGGTTTAACGAGTTTGCCGACCTTTTCCTTGTTAAGAAGGATGTTTATAAGGCCTTCGAATATATCCTTCCTGAATACATTGTACGCTTGCGGAATACATGCTATACAATGTAACTTCAAACCCTGATACTGATTTATAGAACCACAACCCCTTGGCTCAAAATGGAGCTCAGTATGCTTTGGATCTCCTCGGTCCGATCTGGGGAAACCAGTCGATAACAGTGTTTCGTACTAAATTCGAGGGCAACATGTCCTGGCTTAACTACAAGAACTCCTTTGGCGAGATTGTGGATCGATACCGTTGGGAGGATGGTTGTATCATGGAGCACGTACGTTTGTGATCCCCTTCTTTATTAGCGAACTATCATCTGCAAGGACTTTGAGAGTTTACTTAAGTCAACGTAATTGAACGTTCAAATACTGACCTTGCAATTTTCGATAGTGGGACCAAGGAGAGGAATTCCCAACTACTTAGAGCACCTACCTTAGGCATGGTAGTAGCAAGCTGGAAAGAGTAAAGTGTCTAGGTATCTAGTATAGGTATAACCTGATGGCACACATGTAATATGATTTCCTACGTGTATAAATATATCGCCCAATATATTCGATAATAAACTAGAAATAAACTACGTGCAACTAAGTATTTAATGATGCTATAACGTCCCTCGAAGTACTAGTTTCCTTTGGTTAATGCGGTCAATAGAAATTCCAAGTCGACGGTGCATAATGCATGCATGCATTCGAGGCGAAACTTCAAAATGACTTATAAATTCATAACAATATTAGGCGAGTTATTGACAATATGCAAGGCTACCAAGGGCTGGTTACGCTATTATATTTATACACTCATTCTATAGACAGTTAGAACTTCCTCTCCTCATCATACAATACCCTCATTGTGATAGTGACCTTGACACGGCCCTTGCGCCGTAGCCCCCCTTATTGGCAAGCCTTGAGGTGGTCTACCACCAGCCTTTCTCACAGCTGTTAAATACCCCGTACGAACCGTAGCACAAGTACCCGTTTTGAAATATATCTCTAATATGAGCTCATTAATTCCACGGGTTCTCGGTAGCTAGCCATCTCTAGCGCTCTCCTCTGCTCATCCAATTCATACCCAGGACCCGTTGTATTTGTATCTGCCTCACTACTGCTGGCTTTTGATCCTATTTCTATGGTAGTAGAGCGACCCTTCCGCATACCAATTATATATGCTGCTGATACGGAGCCAAGAAAGAAAAGAACACCGAGTGATACACCGAGACCGATTCCCACTTTAGCACCGACACTAAGACTATTGGCCCTGGCCGTCTGTATGGAGGCAGTGTAATACCCGGAACTATTAGGTCTTGTCACAGTCGATATCTTATCTGTCCCAGCTGGCATATTCGTTATTGTTTGGTATGTAGTCCCAGTCGTAGAAGTACTGGGTGGAGTTGGTTGGGGCCATTTAGTATCATCTTCAGCCCTCCGTACAATAGGCCCCTTAGCTTGTACAATGTTACCAGCGTCATAAAAGATACTAGTCGTATTGATAAATGTTGGTGAATGCGTTAGATACGACAATACATCTACGACGTAGAAATTGGCAGAGGGCATAGTCGACACGCAGGCATTAGGAGTGTCACTGCCTCGCGAACTCATGCAGACAAAATTACTGTTTACAAACCACCTTATTAGTAAACTAACTAATTGTTTCCATAGCACCTTATATAAGCATGCAGAGGTAGTCTCTTACCTAGGGCAGCATGTGGCAGCAGTAGCAACTGAGGTTCCATCTATCACGCCCGCTGTACAAGCGTAAGTATAGCCCTGCGGACATACACCCGGAGAATAGTAGTAACTAGGTTCTGGTTGGAAATTTGACGGCAGGCAACCGCTAATGGTTCCTTGTTGTAGCCAGCTCGCACCCGTACTAAGACCCAAGTGTATCGTCTGGCAACCAGTGCCATAAGGCTGATAAGCCGTGGTGAGCGGTCCAAGGTTTGACATATATGCAACAGGTAAAAGTTTAACAAATTATGAATTATAGTCTTCTTCGTAACGATGCTTTTTCAATTTTGCTTTTGAGAGAAAAGACACTGAAGTACGAGGATTAGGTTGGTGGAATAATGTAGCTTAGATATATTGGGTTATGTATATTGACCAAGGTGGAGACGTACTGCCCCCTGAGCAGCCATTACTCTTATTCGAAACTAGGGTAACTATCCTCTAGATATATGAAAAATTGAAACTCGTATGTTGCACTACGGAAACAAGTTGTAGGATTTGGTGTTACCACACTTGGTTATATCATTTCTTTTCCGATTCTCGCTCCAAACCTCGAAATGTGAGATTTAAACATGCCTTAAGCTACCTAAGCCTGTGGATATTCTATCTATTTTACCTTTCTTAAGAATATACGAATATATGCTTCGTCGTTTATAAGCACCTAAAGTAGGTCAGTTGTGGTATCATGGGAAAAGGATTACAGTCTGCCCCCACTGCCTTCGCCATCACTTGTATTGGATGTAGTAGCGCATGCCCCTGCCTCAAACTACCATCGGAAATATAATTAGGGAGATAGGCGTTTGGTCGTATATGCGAAACACCTTATTATGTACCTGAGGTATATAGTCATTAGCAAAACGTGTGCTGAATTTATATATAGGCACTGCCTGCCTTCGCGGTAATCATCGAGGGGGGTTGATTTTAGCTCAGCTCAGCTCATCGGCGATAAGTGTGGCGGTATTGCTATAGTCCTACGCTAGTTAGGACTTTGATACCTACTGAATATATGTGTACCTTTAAAGCCTACCTAAGGTTACATGCAATGCTAGGTATATGTAATATCTTATTCCACGTAGGTAATCATATAACTAATAGAGATAGATATATATAACTGGGAACCTTTTGACTTAGATGACTGCCAAATTATACCGAATGTCAGAGGTATTCCGTTCGCTCCTCTCATGACCCAACAAAGCTGACCCAAACAATCTCAATCTCATATTTGCAAAGCTACAATTGTATAATATCACCATGGCTTCAACTGCCCCATCTCAGTTGACTATCTTATTAATCCAGGGCTCGTTTCAGCTCCCGGAAGTATATAGGAAGCTAACAAAAGCCCTCGAAGCAAGAGGCTATCCTGTTATCCACCCTCTTCTTCCGAGCTTAGTAGATCCGGACAAGCCTGGCTTTGCTTCAAAGTCTCTTTCTACCGATGCAGATGCTGTATAGGCAGTGCTTCGACGTCTTGTTGAAGAGAAATCGCGAACCGTGCTAGTTCTTATGCACTCTTATGGAGGTCTCGTGGGAAGCGAAGCAGTTTTGGACGAGTTCGGCTGGAATAAGCGTAAAGACCGGGGTCTAACCGGTGGAGTTATCTATCTGTTCTTCTTCGCCGCCTTTGTTCTCGCAGAAGGTGAGCCTCCTTTTTCTCTTTTATATAATGAGATTAAACTTCGACGGTATTTATATAACTAGGCCAATCGGTATTGAGTGCATTCGGAGAGTCTCCTAACAATGAGATTCGTCCCGGCGGTCGTCTCCGCGTCAAGGACCCGCACAGGTCTTGTACAGTGACTTACCTGCCGAAGAAGCCGAGTACTGGACATCTAAGATAATCGATCAGTCCTATGCCGTTCAAACCACTAAGCTTACCCGCGCCGCATACCGATATATACCATCAACCTACGTGGTGTGCGGGAACGACCAAGGTCCGCCGCCGCAGTACCAGGAGATGTGGGGTAAAAACGCAGGTTCCATTATGCTCAGAATCAACTCGGGGCACTCTCCGATGCTTAACAAGACGGATGAACTTGTGAACATGATCGTGGAAGCTGCGCATGGTGCGATTAAGAATGCTTATTAATATAGATAATGGAGTTAAATATATAAGTTGTTATAGTTAGCTCCTATATCTCTTTACTTCTATTACGCCGTCAGTTTTATGTATTTCATGATTGTGAAATGTTATTGAGTAACTACCTCTGATTGAAGTATCACTATTATCTACCGGACCTAGGAGGTAGGTAGTCATTTATCTATTTTAATGGCTTTATCTACCTATATAGATCAAATTTACTGTATAAGCTAATTTGGTGTTACTAATTCAATTCAATATAAGCAGAATGAGTATGTTAGGGTCTAAAGATGTATAATTAAAGAGACGGCGGAGATCCCTAAAGCGATAAATGACGGAGTAATTCGGCCGAAAGCTGGACCGAAATAGCTGAGAACTCATACCGATATATTTCCCGTGTTCTGTTGAAGAGACAATGAATGTAACTAACTAAATATTTTATCAAATAGAAAATATTTAGCTTAGGCTCGGCAACCTCCACTTCCCCAGCTTCAGCACAATCTGGGGTTAAGATGAGCCCCCAGCATAACGCTCTAAACTTGGCACGTCAACGGTTCAGTAGTAGGGTATTAGCGCCGGGGTAATCGCCGTGGCGTCTCTAGTCTATCGACTGGGGGAGACGTACGGATAGTCTAGGGAAGATGCGTCGCCTAGCTCGTTATATTCACCGACAGTTGGAGTCTCTGATATGATCAGCTCTATCTCTCCATTGCAAGATACACGGTTAGACATTCGCAGGGAAACTTCACGATAGAGGTAATCTTGTAGCACCAGTTAGAGATAGTATAAACGCTGAAGCAAAGAGAGTAGTGTATTTTTATGTACAGGCGGTGAGAAACGACCAGGTTAGTCATATTTCCACCATCGCCATATTATTAATCGTTGTTGACTCACGTTGGCAACATGCACGTAAGCCGAGACCGGGAGTAAACTACGAATCGAGTGGATGGCTCTCTTTTTGTTTGGGCTATTGTTCGACTGGACAGCGGGAGTTGCGGGTACACCTGCACAGATGTAGTGTAGGTACATAGTGACAAGGGGTAAAGAAATGTTCGTGGGGCTTCCCCAATGTGTTATGATGATCATCTTCTGAACGCACGGTCTCCTAGCCCAACGCGGAGATTCAGGCTATGCGCGTCATTAAAACCATGGCGGCAGCCTGCCTCGAAAATTAATGGCCGGGTCTTGGCATTTGAACACTTAGTATTAACATATATAATTTGACCAGTTTTAAAGGATAAAAATTACAAAAAGTACAAAAGACAGTTAAAATGGCTAAATAACCTATAAATATTTTTTTCTATTTTTTATTTCGCATTACAATGCTTTTTGTTTGCATATAATATATGGTGTTGTTTTCAAAGGAAAATGCCAAGACCCGGCCATTAATTTTCGAGTCCGACTGGGCGGCCGGTAGCTTTCGCAGCTTTCTAGTGTCTTAAAATTTTAGTAGCCGAGTGAGGAGAAGGTAGAAATAAAGGCCCTATACCCCCCGCTGAAAATAGTCTTACATACTTGTTGGAGCTTTTGTTCAACATCCCCCCTTACTTGCGAAGCTATAGACTAAACGGGAACCGAAAGGAAAAAGCACAAACCATGGCGAGTTGGTACGCACTCGGAATCGCCTTCTTCGCTGCGATGGGCACATTTCTCTTCGTAAGTTTCCCTCATCATATCTCATTATTATATCTATAAACGAACCACTATATTAACCTATGATTTCCACAATAGGGATTCGACACTGGCATTGCCACAACTAGTGAGGAAAACTGGGAGATATCGCTGTGAATGATCTGCTAACCAAGTACCAATTAGCCATCGCCCATCAAAGTTGGATCGATTACATGCACCACCCTTCCAATGGAATCACAGGAGCAGTAGTGGCCGTATATATTGCGGGTGAAGCTGTCGGTGCTTTGGGCCAAACTTTTATAGGAGACAGACTAGGTCGTATTCGATTTATGCAGCTGCTGTGCATCATCGTAACGATCGGTACGACGATCCAAACGGCATCAGTCAACATCGGAATGTTTTTGGCTGGCCGTGCCATTGCGGGTATGGCTGTGGGTGCTATGGTTGCTACTGTGCCTATCTACCTGAGCGAGATCTCAGCACCAGATTCACGGGGCCTGATTGGAGGCATATCAGGATGTGGTATCTCCTTCGGTACCATGATGTCTAACTGGGTGGGCTTCGCATGCTCGTATGCACCCTATGGTGCTACACAATGGCGTTTACCCCTGGGTATCCAAATACCCTGGGGCGTCATTATGTTCATCGGTTTAGCGACGTTCATGCCTGACTCTCCGCGACAACTCATCCGCAACGGTAAAATCGAGGCGGCCCGACGCGAGTTTGCCAAGGTCCGACGAGAACTTAAGCCGCATGAAGTACACGAGGAATTCGCCCTGATGCAGGCACAAATCGAGTTCGAAATGACGCGCGAGATCCAGTCTTACAGTGAGGTTTTCACACTTTTCGGCCGCCGAGCCATGGTATCTATAGTTGTTCAAACTATGACAAGTCTTACCGGTATAAATGTTATACAATATTATCAGACGACGCTTGCAAGTGTACCCTTCTCTATTAACTCGGCTTTTTTCTCTTTATTTTATCAGTATTCCTTTTCCGTATAACCTTAGTCTTGAGTCCGATTCGCCCTTGTTAACCTCTTAGTATAGTATAAATCCCTAGGAATCCAACAGAAGACTATACTTGCGCTGGCAGGCGTATACGGAACTGTTGCATTCTTATCAAACACCATTACTACGCGATACCTAACAGATCAATGGGGTCGCCGAAAGATGATATTGGCAGGTTTAGCTGGCCTCATATCGGCCATGATATACTCTGCCGTGATGCAGCGCATTTTCCAGGATGGCGAAAACAGAATCGGCAAGGGTTTCGCAGTGTTAGGTATATATTTATACGTGGCATGGTACTATGGTGAGTGCCATCTCGAACCCCTTTTCTAGCACATCTCGGAAGCTTTTTCTTTATCAAAGGGTGCTTTTACATTTTCAATCTAGCCCCTGAATTATTATTTATCAGTCACTCCAAAAAAGATAATATTCTAACTCCAATTCCAAAGCAATGATCAACTCTACAACTTGGCTGTATGGCGCAGAAGTACTGCCCATTGCGCTGCGCAGCAAGGTGATGGGTCTTGCAGCGGCAGGTCATTTCATCGTCAATGTTGCCGTCACCGAAGCCGGCCCGAGCGCCTTTGCCAATATCCGCGAAAATTACTACTACGTCTTTGTTGGGTGCACATTATTATTCTTGGTCATTGCGTATCTCTATTTCCCAGAGACACGGCGAAAAACTCTCGAGGAGATCGCACAAGCCTTCGGTGATAAAGTTGTTCTTGTTGATGAAGCCCGGATCGATGGGGAACAAGCCGTCCGAGATGAGGAAAGCGGGAGTATCACGAAGACGGACAATAAGGCCCAAGCCACAGCTTCAACCACATCGACTGTTCCTCCCTCGCATGCTTCTGTATCATAGTCCATACTACCCGAGCACTATAGCTCAGACTCACATAAACCATTAATAAAAATAATGTGCTAATATGAGAACTGTCACAGATTAAGCCCGTGCGCTAGGGACTTGCGGGCATCACTTAATGATCTAAGTATGTATATAAGGAGCATCTTTCTCACTATCTTATATTTTCCTTCCTCAGCCTTATATACTTGCGTACTGGGCCATCTCATGATATGCATAACCCCGACCCCGGCCCCGACCCCGGCCCCTTGTCCTAGATTCTACCCGTACGGGTGGAAACGGGTAACATGATATAAGGTACATTGTGTTAACCCTGGCGTCTAACTCCGCCTCATAAAGAGTATCGACTATTCCACTAAGTTCATGACTTGTAGCTATTCATGACAACTATTCCGATACTAACCCTTTACTTCACAGAGGTGGAAATTACATTTCCAGGAGCTCTTCGCGTAAGCTTTATTCCACCTTCTTAGCAGCGTGGTTAGTCTCGCTAGCTCGAATGGCCTTAGAGACCTTGCGCTCGGGCGAAGTCCAGTAGATCTAACGAAGAACGTGTTAGTTATAGTTGAAACGAGATAGCATTTATATGCATGATTCAAGACTAGACTTACGTAGGTTTCAGCTGCCACGAAGTGCAGAATGATGGCTACATAACCGGACATGCCGAAGCAGTGGGAGTGGGCGGCAGCAACACCCACTGGGTCGTCGTCGAGGACGTATACACGAACAGCAACGTGGCGGTTCGGGTCCTCCCCAGACCACTGAGGTGCGCACTCGGGGTACTTGGCTTGGTACTCAGCCATGGTGGCGTTCTGAGCGTCCATCAAGTACTCGATCTTGTCGCATGGTATGGCGACGTACCAGTTGCCACTGTACGACATCATGATGGAGGTGGCCAACATGATAAGTCGGAGGGTGATGACAGATCCACCCTAAAAGAGGAATCAAATTAGCACCCAGTACGAAGTTGGTTATACTCATCCGACAAGAATGAGCAGGGGAAGAGGGGTCATTATGGGACGTACGTAAACCCAAGCACGTAACATGTAGTCGCGGTGCTCTTGGATCCTGTGGTTCTTAGCGGCAACAATTCCCTTGTAGACCGCAGTGACGAAGATGACAAGCAGCAGGACGTTCATCGACTGGGTTTCGGTACTGCCACCCATCGTGTGCTTCAACATCGGTAGGGCGGAAAAGGCGCCGATGAGAGATAGAACGGTCGAGATCCAACCGTTGATTCGGTGGAGCCACAGGGCCTTGCGTCGGAATATGGGGACGAACTGTCCGAAGGCGAGCAGAGCCGCGGGCAGTACACACCATAGATGTGTTCTGATGGCGAGGCCGCCGAGAGTGAGGTTCAGGTAGTAGAAGCACTCGCCAGGTGTGGCGGCTCCCATGTTACCCCTGGCCATTCCCGGGCCGCTGCAGAAGACGCCGTAGAAGTCGAGGTATGGTAACCGAGATATGGAAAACCCTAGCAGAACACCGCCGAAGACAGCCCATAGCCAGAAGTTGTAGCTCTTCGAGAAGCCCACCGATCGGGCTATCTGGGTCATTACGCCGCCCTGCGGTTCACTTGCTGACCCCGCCATTGCTGAAATGAAGCAGCTAGTTTCTGGATGGCGTTGTTTCGATAGAAGATCTTTCGACGCGTGTTACTTTGAACCGCGGAAACCTGAATCGAGTGTGAAGTTCTCGGAAATCGTTGAGTTTGTTCTACGCACAATAGGAACAACTCTCGTCAGTGAACACCTCGCCCTTTTATAAGCCAATGGATCATTTACGGATCATCAACCGACCAGGGAGAGGAGTGGATGAGAGGTGCGGGTGCAAACCCGAGGACTACTTCTGAAATCACGCAGTATGTCGTAGCGTGCTGCGGGACGTCTCACGACACAAGGTCTATTTTACAATCGGTACTGGTCAGCATGCGTTTCCGCTTGCATATATTATCCCAAAATGGTATTAACTATGGTCGTGCGTAGTATTATATGCAATAAATTCTGCATATGCAGATCTGCAATCGATTCTTCAGCTTACGTGCCTACCTACACAGCAAATACGTTCTGGGCGTCAAATGCTTCAGGCGCGGAGATACAGATTTCTTGGTTACCATTGACGCCATCACGTCGTCTCTGTATGAGTTGTTTTGACATCCTTTTACACTGCTACGTCTCACAACATGGCGAATTACACAAATCGTATATTACTACTACGGCTCAAATAGAGAATCTATAGGATATTGACCAATAAGAATTAACGTGAATCTCATTATTCTAAGCGCTTATACCTACTATAGCTAAATTGGCCAGGCAGGATTTGTACCTGAGAACGTACCCAGAAAGCGCGGACATCGTCGGCCGCCCCTTGTACACCCAACAGCGGGCGTGGAGAGCGGACATCGTCGGCCGTTCCTTACATCCTCCTTGACGTTTATTGGCATCACATGACTGAAGTAGCCACACATCCAACCCACTCAACGGGGACTGTATACAACAGTATAATTGGGCTATAACCGGGACTATCACTAACCCGCCCGCGAGGTTTTAGCCCACTAGCAAAAAAGGCCGAACCACCATACCATCTCCAGAGCCATGACCCACCTCGTAACAGTCAGGTTATCCCGAGCCTCAGTTGTGGTAAGAGGGGAATGCGGCATTCCCGTCTGCAAGATAAGACGGAGCTGGAACAGGCCTTAACTTGTAGCCAACCGTGTTAGCAGTTTGGGCTGCACTGCCGATCTGTTTCCCCATCAGTTGCTCCATCAATCCCACCTCTCAAAGTACTGACATTTTCTGTAGATAATCAGGCCTCCCCTCATCCTACTCCTACTCCTATCCCGCCAAATCGTGCAGATCGAGATTCGACTTCTCAACTATTGACGGCGGAGGGCTCATGAAAGTAGGCTAGCGTCATCATTAGGACTGCGCACTGCCGAAATGGAAGCCCTAGCTGCAGTCGGGCTGGTCAGCAACGCCCTCCAATTCGTCAGCATAGGATATAGAGTATTATCCGCATCAAAGGATATGCATGGAGCCGGAAATGAATCGAGCCAGTCAAACAAGGACGTCGAGTTTATCACCAGGGAGATGGAACGCCTAAGTCTAAGCTTGGAAGAAGAATTCCCGACGCTATGGATGACAGATGAGGAAGAGGCTCTACGGAGACTGATCGCGGAGTGCAGAAGATGGTCTAACGATATGCTGGCATTACTCGACCGCCTGAAAACCGAAAATCCCAACAGCAGGTTCGAAGCATTCAGAGCAGCTTTAGGAACCACAGGATGAGGCACGAGAGGGATCGACTTGAAGGAGGCCTCAACAGTTGTCGGGAACAGCTCGATCTCCAGATAGCGAGTATGTCTAGGTACATAGGTATAGCAGAGAGAATATTCCATATTGAGATTCTACGGCATTAATTGACTGGCTATGATAGGTCAGATATCATTAACCTAGAGGGCTTCAGGAATTGATCACGACAGCAAGTTCAACTAACCAGGATCTGACGAACATAAAAACATGCTATAGAATCATTCCGGCAACTGTTACCAGGACGGATTGCCAATATCGATTCTCAGTTCCTAGGGAGGCTGCAAGATACCCTGCGCCTGTCAGATGAAACTTCATTGGCATCTAAGCGAAAGCTGCTCTCAGATGCATTAAAGTACATATGAGGGGATGGAGGATCGATTCTATTATGTGGAGCTCGCCCACGCAACAACGTTTGAATGGGTCCTTAAGGAAGACCCTGGTCACGATGATGCATCCGCGGGGGGCTTAATGAAAGAAAGATGGACCATTCAAATCATCAGCAGGTAACTAATTTCAGAAAGACGGTTCGAGAACGTTTTATCAATTGGCTCCAATATGGAAATGGTTTATTTCATATATCCGGTAAACCGGGGGCTGGGAAATCGACGTTGATGAAATTTCTATGTATGAACCCGTTAACAAGACACTACCTCGAGCACTGGTCGAACAGGAAAGTTCTCGTATTCGCCAATACCTTTTTCTAAAGGCTTAGTAGTGACCCGCAAAAAAGTCTTGTTGGACTCATTCGCTCTCTTCTTTATCAAGTTCTTTCTACTGCCCCCGAGCTGATCCCCATCGTATTTACCCCTCTCTGAGCCCAATCCAATTCGTATGGAAATGGTGGGGTCCGACTAGAGTTGAGCGAAATTGAGCATGCATTTGAAAGTCTCTTAACGAGCGAAGCAACTTTCAAAAGACACAAGTTGGTGTTCTTCATCGATGGCCTAGATGAGTGTCAAGGTCGCCACGTCAAGCTCGTCAGCAAGCTTATTAGCTGGACATCTCTAAATGCCAAGAATCTCAAGATTTGTGTTTCTAGCAGAGAATGGAACGAGTTCATGGTTGGATTTTCCGAATGTCCTCAATTGCGCATACATGATTGTACACATCAGGATATCACTATGTTTGTAAGCGATCGTCTCGACGATGTTTCACATTTTCCAATATTAGTCGAACGCGAAGACGTGAGATCTATTGTCGAGAAAACTGTGAACAAAGCGGAAGGGGTCTTTCTCTGGGTACGGCTCGTACTCACCGCCGTTGAGGATGGTATACTCAATGGCGATGGCCCCTCAGATCTAGAGTCAAAAATCGACACATTCCGAAGCGAGATCAAGGCTCTTTACCAGTACTTATTCGATTCGATTCACTATACAGATCGTCCAAAGGTTTTCGAGGCTTTGGGGATGGTAAGAATGGCACAAGATATGAGACATGGACCCAAACTACCTCTACTCCGGTTCTTCTTCCTCGACAAGGTTATGGACGATCAAAACTATGCGATGGAAATGGAGATTGGGAATATGCCGAAAGAAGTTATTACGCGGATACTACAGATCACTCGGAAGCAAACATATGGACGCTGCAAAGGTCTCCTGGATGTTTGCCCAATAAAGATCCCACAAGGTAATTTCCCGTGTCTGTCTCTACCCGATGATGGCGAAGTCACATTCATGCATAGTACTGCATATGAGTTTCTAGAGGAGGATTCCATAAAGGAAACCATCAATCGCACTGTGGGACATATCGACTTTTTCGATCGCATCTGTCAGACATTCCTTGCGTTTACTAAGTTCTCTAGACAAGCTTGGTACTTTCATGGCGAAAAGAGATATTTCAGTCCTCCTTTTGATTGGGAACTAAGCTCTATTCTGTGCTTTGCCGCTTTCAATACGCCTGTCTTCCTTTCTGATGGTGGCACACGCCAGCGTCATGATCGTTTCCCCAATGAGGCTCTGCCATACTCGACAATGTAGAATGTTTGAGTTATGCTTCTCCCGACTACGTCAGCCCAAAGTTTGAGGGATCACCTGGCCTTGGATTTCAGGGGCTATCGTTATTTGAATTAATACTCCGGACATATATATTTCGCTATTGGTACAATATTTAGTATGATCAACAAGCTCTGTCTCCTGCAACCTTTATAAACCCATTACCTTTACTTGAACTGTGTCTTCGTTATGGTGCTAGGGCACAATTCAGATTATGCTTTGGCCCTGACTGCCGCGACAAGCGCAATAACGAAGTCGTTTTAAAAGTCAGCGCAGATTATACTAGTGTTATAAACGATCCATTATCCTGGGGGATTGTGTCAAGATCCTGCGCCCTTGCAGCTTTTGCAGAACAGCGGAATTGGGATGTTACTCTTCGAGACCTCGTAGAGTTATGGTTCCCACAATATTATAAGACTCTCCAACATTTGATTGACCGAAACCAGGATATGACAGGTCTCGATCTAGATCCACACACTCTCTTAGTCCCAACGTTTTCTCGGGACGAATTGGTGCGGCCCTGGAGTACAGTGGAGCCAGGAGAAGATATATTCCCATGGCGTCCTAACCACAACAATGAACAGGAACAATACGAATTGATATCCAACTGATAATTTTAGTCATGCGGTATTTTCAGCTTACTCGTATGTTGTATAAATGGGAACCTTTCTGAGACCTACATGTTGTTGAAAATACCCATATAAGCTAGATTTATTTGGTTCCATATGATACCTAATATCTCAACGCTTGCAGGTTGCATTCTTCATCTTATATTTTTCTTCGTACAACGCGCACGCAACGTCACATATAAGTGTACCGGCGGCCTCTCGAGCAAACAAATGAACCGTATAGGTCACTACTTACATATGTATTGATGAAAGTGGATTATACGGGGGCATTTTAGTAAGCAATAGCGGATAGTCGCTCCTTACCTCCGTATCCCGGGTTGTCTAAATCTGCAGGTGCGATGTTAGTTCCGGCTGCCTTCCGCGCCCTGTAGTCTCCACCCCGAACACCCTCCGATTAACGCCGGTAGGACCCACGATACCACAGATAGCAAATCGATTAGCTAAAAAACGACACAACCACAGCGAAGATTTACCTAAAAGTTTAAATAATACTGTTATGACTATGGCCCCAATATCTCAAACTATCACCTGCATCATGTCCCCGCCTCTGCTAATAGCATTTCTCCTGACTCAAGCACCTTATGGTCAGTGAGTGTATTTTCCTTTTTCTCTGCCCTTGACATGGTGATATAAAATGATAAGTATCGTACTCCAGCTTCGGTTGCGTATTTTTCAAATTTAAATCCGTACTGGTAAATTCTTAGAGGGAAGTTAGACGTTGTGTGCGGAAAATATGCAGCGATTCGATTCGTTCCAAAAGCCCCCGGGCTATGTCCTCGCCAGCATTATCTGCTCTTTGGGAGGTTTCCTATTCGGCATTGATACCGGTATCATCGGCCCTGTTACCGTCATGGAGGACTTCACAGCATACGTCGGCAACCCTTCCCCAACAATACACGGTCTGATAGTCTCTTCCATCCTTATTCCCGCTGCGATCTCGTCCCTCTTCGCTGGGAGGGTAGCAGACGTGCTTGGTCGTCCCTATGCGATTGCTATTGGCTCTTTTATTTTCGGCGTCGGCGCAGCTCTCGAAGGCGCCTCGATTCACATTGCTATGTTCATAGTCGGCCGCGTCGTTGAAGGAATCGGCGAAGGCCTCTATCTTAGCGTGTTAGTAGTGTAAGTTGAACTATAGCAATTGATGAGAATAAACAGAGTCTTATTCTATTTGGGATCTAGTTATATCTGCGAAATATCTCCGCCGAGGAATCGCGGTGCTCTGACTACCGGGCCCCAGTTGCTCATCACCCTTGGATTGGTTACGGGTTTCTTCACCTGCTACGGTACTGTTAATATACAGTCATCATTTTCATGGCGTCTACCATTTATCTTACTCGCCGCTTATTCTGTTGCATTCTCCATCGTTGTTCTTATGTGGCTTCCTGCGTCTCCGCGATGGCTCACACTTCACGGGAAAACGAAAGAAGCATCTGCGGCTTGGGAGAAACTTGACGTCCCTGTCGCCGATCGAGAGAGGATTCTCGACCAATACGATGCTTCGGTAGTGGAAACCATTATCCCTGATGCAAGTGGCGACATAGTTGCTTTACACATTACTTCTCCCGTCACTGCTGCTTCCAAGTCGGAGAAGATGGAATTGCTCGATGTGTTCTCCTCGGACGCTCGCCCGCGTCTCTACTTGGCGGTCTTCCTTATGGGGATGCAACAGCTGAGCGGCATCGACGGCGTTCTTTACGTAAGACGTCCTCGTGGTTGCAGCACGTATCTTCTTCAAAATGTAGAAACTAATCTTGATCCAGTACGCACCCCTCCTTTTCCAGCAAGCTGGCCTATCATCAAACGAATCGACATTCCTCGCCTCTGGCGTCTCGGCTATCGCTATCTTTGCCGTCACTATCCCAGCAGCCATCTTGGCAGACAAGTGGAGCCGGCGTGCCAACACCATCCTCGGTGGTCTGGGTATGACCATAACCATGTTCCTCAGTATGTATATCCAAGACCTCTTTAATAGATTTCATACTGGAGTAGTGGCCTAAGACACTCCCGCATTACCAGCTTCAAACAAAAACAAATACCTAACCACTAACCTCTATATCTCTAGTGGGCTCATTATACGCAGGAGACGCAGTACATGCCAGCACCGGCGCTGGGCGGTGGGTAGTAGTAGTATGTATCTACTTATTCGCGGTGATCTATGCGCTATCATGGGCAGTCGGGATCAAGATCTACGCAGCGGAGATCCAGCCGCAACGGACCCGAGCGTCCGCGACCAGTATCGCCCACGGCGGAAATTGGCTGAGTAACTTCCTAGTGGCGCTTGTGACACCCACACTGCTCGCCCGCACCAGCTACGGGGCGTATTTCCTGTTTGGCAGCTGTATGCTGCTCACTGCCGCCGTGTGCTTCGTCTTCATGCCCGAGACTCGTGGCCTAAGTCTTAGCGAGATCGACCAGGCGTTCGCACGACAGGGAACCCAGGTCAGTGCGCTGAGGGGATTTGCAAAGGGTCTTCGGAAGAGGGTACGTGGCCGCGAAGGAGTGTCGGCTCCGGTCGAAATGGATGCTTAATTTAGGTACGGGTTAGATAGACGCTTTGGGCATAACACATCTCGCCTTCGCTGTCTAAACCGGCAACTTGACACAAGCAGATACTCGAGAACTAGGGTTTAAAATGGGAACATTAGAAATATTAATATTAGAACCAGGGCTCACAGATACAAGGCCATTTAGATAGAGAACTTGGGTTCTAGGTATTTAGGGGGGCATGAAGGGAACAGGGTTCATAGCAAAACTTATAAAAAAAGAAAAAACCCCACGGGCAACCAATACGACAAGAGTCAAGGTTAGCTAATTTACATATCTACAGTAGACTAAAACATTCAATGAGAACAATCGCTTGATGTTACTAGTCGCGAATGCTGAAATTGAGGCTCAGGGATGTCTGTCAGATTCAGTATGATACAGGGTAGCTCATATAGCTAGATGTGTGATGGTGGAATAAAAAGGTAACGTGTGGGGTGTGGCGGGGGAGAACTATGTACATCGTGTGCATCTCGGGTGTCCTGTCGATCGATCCTGCGTGACTCATCCATATGCCGTCCTGTCTGTCTCCTCAGTCGTCGTCCATCCATCCAGATATATGCAAGTCGTACCAAAAAAATCATTAGCAAGAAACGAGCCAAATATGGAACCATTCCCACTTGCGAAAGGGTGAATATTCATCGGCATCCCTCCGAACAAAACGCCTCCATGCACTACCATACGCCGTGCACCCTCCCTTGGGTTCCAGGCCAAGTCTAAGGAAACCCTGAAAGGAAAACCGGATATCCCGCTAAATAGGGTATAGAATAGGGATGGGAAGGGTTAATCAAACACTGCTTTACTGCTTTTCCGAAAGGGTAGATGATGAGAGGAGTAGCACCACGGCTAGTCAGTATAAGGGCTGGCAAGCTCTTGGTGTACGGTTCTCTAACGCTCCATGCTCTCTGGGCTCATCATGCCGTTATCCTCTTTATCCGTCTGGCTGTTGTTGCCTTGGCTTTGCGTGCTCCCGACACGTTCCATAGGAGGAGCAATAGGAGGCAGAGATGAACCATTTGTAAGGCTGCTACCGTTAGGCATAGACAGACTCTTCTTCTTCGAGCTACCTTTTTCAGGACTATTATTTGTTGCCTTGCTAGCTTCGGCTGCTTGGGCCTCTAGTTTCTTTTTCTTCTTGTTAATGGCATTCTGCTCTTTGGGAGGTCGCTTCTGAGGTGAAACAATCTTGCCAGTAGCACCAAGACGTGGCCGGGGTCGTCGCTGCTTGACAGGCAAGTCTTCATCTTCCACCAAAGGTGAGTCGCCATTAGCGTGCAGCTTAGCGAGGAAGAAGTTCTTGACAAGGCCGATCTGCTCCTGGATATTCTCCTTGGTAATGGGTTCAGGAGGTGAGAGATCCTCAAAGAGGACCTCATCGGAAATACCTTGAGTTGGGTTCTGAACCTGGTATTGGTTGCGAACCCTCGATTGGAGGAGATGGAGAGGAACTGAAAGTACACCACCCATCTCCCCGGCGAGGCCGAGTTCTTTGAATCCGAAGAAATCTTCGCCAAGTTCCTCAGCGAAATCACCCCCAATGAACTGCTCGCTACCATCGTTGAAGGCGGCGGCCCCGTCTTGTCCCACCTCGGTCACCGCGGGACGCAAAAGATCGCCCAGGTGAGACTTCATACGCTCGTGAATGCCGACTAGTTTATGCCCAAGCCTCTCGACCTCGTCCTTGGCATAATTCTCAAGCGATTCAATCGAATAGCCACTCTCATTGAGCGTATGGAGCAGAGCCTCTTCAGGAGTATAACGGGACCGAGCTGTTAAACCGCGTTGGAGGTCTTCGGCAGAAGGGTCTTTCTTTTCAATCTCGGTGTAGCTTTTGACAGTCTGTACCACCTTGCCGAAGTAGTCAGCAGCGATGTCAGTAATGGCGTCCATGGCGGACGGTTGGAGTTCTTCAAAACCCGCATGGTAGAAGATCTTCGCAACAGACCGTTGCATCCCCGCTCTGCAAACCTCGGGCGCCATTACGATGTTATCACCACACGTAACATGCGGTTCAACATCGGCTTCCTGAAACGGCTCGGGGTTGTATTTCGGAAACTGGTTCGCATATACCTAAGAGGAATTAGTCAGTTAGTGATACAAGTACGACGCATTGGAAATGTAGTGTATACCTGAGTCTGGAGCTGCATCTGCTTTATAACGCCAATTTTTGAGCAGATCTTCCTCGTCTCCTGCATCTGTCGAATGTTGGCATCGAATTTCTGCGTCAGGTTACTCTTAGGCGCCGTGAAGTATCCCGGCGGCAAGGCTTGAAGAAATTCTTCATGCTGGTTGATGACATGGCCTTCGGTGTCTTCGACCCACTGGAGGGTTGGCGGGACGTCAGGTACAATGCTTTGGATGTCATAATAATCGGGGATAGCCTTTTCTTCATCCTCTTCCATACCCTCTGCGAGAGTTTCGGTTGCCTTTGCTTCCTTGCCTAGACTAGCTGACGGATCCTGAGTATAACCAACCAAGCCCATAGTTTCTGCCTGTTGTCGACCACGTAGGAATCGACGCATGCCAGCCTTAGTTCGAAGCAATGCAGGCTCGTCGACATTCAACTTGTTATTGTTAAAAAGCAGAAATCGACTCTTGGTAATTAGCGCGCGGTCTTTCTTGGTCACTTGCTTCCAGATTTTGTGTTCTTCGTCTTCATAAGCTTGTTGGGCAGCTTCATTCAGCGCCTGTCCTAATGCCATGCCGTTCAACTCCGGACCATCAATGTCCATAGCATCCACGTTGCTACCCATGCCTGAATGGCCATTAATCCCGCTGGGTGTCATAGAGCCCGCAATAGGAGGCGTTCCAAACCCGTTACTTCCATCGAGTTCGGAGCCTTCTCTATGAGCTTTTGCTAACAATCCATTCAGCTGCAGCACTGGCTTCTGTTCGACGCCGGGAGTCATTTCCTTCTGGCTAGAATGAGTCTTCCTAGCTTTCGATCCCTTCGCTCCACCGGTGATCCGGCCGCGAGACGACATTATCGGCTCGTCATCCGAGTCATCACCACCGTCATCATCGCCGCCGTTCTGCTTACGTCTCTCCTCAGCCTCAACTTCAGCACGAGGGCGGATGACAAGGTCCGGGATTAATGGAATGAGCTTCTCGGCCTCCTTGCGCATCCCGTTGGCCATTCGCCTCAATGGGTGACCCATGTCCTGGTTATAGCGCAGACAGTTGTCCCAAATTAAATTGAGGTCTGTAACAAAATCGGACTTGGACTTGTAAGTCAGCGACTTTAATTTTTTGGTCATCGTGCCGAGATCCATGGGCTGCTTGATGACTTTACGGCAGTGTCAGTTAGCGTAATCGAGCCTCGGTGGTCGCGCGAAACTTACAATTATAGTAATCGGGAGCGTCTTTTTTGTTAACCCTCTGGAGGAATGGGGTCGAATATTCGGTATGCGCCTTGAGTTCGGTCAAGACCTTTTCTAAGGCTTCGTATAGCTCTTCCTGGTTAACATTCTCTTCGCTAGCCCACTTACTTCTATTTTTACGGACTTCGTTCATAAGGAGGCGCAACTCGGCATCCGATGCGCGCACCATATCGCGCTTCATATCTATGCGCGCAATAAGATGCTTGAGAGTTAAACTGGATGCGCCCAGGTTTGCGCTACTGAGCGATCCATGGTTTTCCCCAGACGTGCCTACGCTCGTATTGCCGCTGGTATTCTTATCCATCTCAGCCTGAAGCTGCTTTTCAGATTCTTCAAGCTGTTGTTGTTCCAACATAGCAGCCCGATCATTCTCAAGTGTATAGAAGGTAGTATAGAAACTACGCTTGGCAGCCTCCTCGGTATCTTTCCGCGCTTCTTCCAACTGCTTGCGCGCGTCTTCGGAATTGCTAGCTTGCGCCTGCGATCCATGCGACACCGGCTGACCATCATCTTTCGTTCTATCGTCAAGTTTATAAGGCGACGATACGGACGCGATGGGGGAGCTTCCTGACTTAGAAGGAGACGGAAGACCTTTTGCGGCGGCGGCGGCGGCGGAGGCAACTTTAGATTTAAGAGAAGATATGTTAGTGTTATTATTAATGTCCTCATCGTCTTCATCGTCTTCCTCATCGTCATCCCCATAGTCGTCTTCATCGATCGTTCTTTTGACTCTCTTGGCAGGACGTTCTTGTACGGCGGTATGGTCGGTGGTTGGAGGAGGGGCCGTAGATGGTGTGACTGGTCGCCTCCATGATTCTATGGCGGCACGATTAATAGAACCATCCGGGGCGAACATCTGCGCAATGCGAGCTTCATTTTGGTGATACAATTCGCGGAAGTGGGCCCTCACGCGGTCCTCATCGATATCTGATGCCTCAGGCACCGACGCGGCGGAATTATCCATAATATCGTTGGATTGCGTCAAAGCATCAGTAGGACTATGAAAGGGACGTTTGCCAATGACTTGATGATGTTGCGGTGGTGGCCAGGCATGCTGGCCGTTCATGATAGACATGATGGCCTTATGGGCGTGTTAGAGTGATGAAATGGTGGCGGGAGCCATGCGGGAAGAAATTACAATCGCGTCGATTCGGGAATAGGGTGTTTAAGGGCCCTAAATTGACACTACAAAATTGAGCGACATCGAATTAGATGACAGAAGTTGTTTTAAAAGAAAACTTGATAAGAATGGTGATACCTTGATGCGTCTTGTTCAAGGCGATTTCGCGTACTTTTTGAAGGTGAGGTTATGGCGAAGGAGGTTTTGAGCGGATCCCTGGTACAATGATTTGATGGGGGTACTGCGGTACATTGAACTACCTAACTTAGTACCTAACCTACCTAGGAGGAGGTACATGTAGGTATTACAATGAATAATACAACATGTACTGTCGGTACCTGCTACCCTCTACGTCTACAGTAACAACTTTAAGTACCGCGCCTGACCAATCCATGTATGTGCCCCTGAGAACCCGCCATAACTTGTTAAATCAGCACCTTAGGTCTCTACCTGCCTGCTATTGCGCATTTGCGATGACAACCGCCGCATTGATGGAGACAGGCACTTGTAGTAAAACAGTGGAAAGGTACCTAAACCCAACAGACCTAAAATCAAAGATTCAATTAACAAAATATATAATTGCAACATAAAATTTATGTTAAATATGAAAATTTTTGCTTTTCTTTAACTTTCTTATCACATCCTCAATTATACTATTACAAAATCTTGTTCCTCAGAGGCACATACACGTTTAATATATATCGAAGACGTGCCGGGACCTAAGTACATAATAGGTACATGTTCAAAGCCCCCGCAAGCAGCCGGATTTCCAATCGAATGATCCCGTTTAGATAATCATACTCGTCACGTGCTAGGCATTACATACCTACACTACCTATGGCTCAAAGTCAGCAGCCACAAAATTTTCGTCTCACAGCCACATTTTCATATAAGAATCTACATAGGTAAGGTTCTATTCGAGCTTTAGTAATACCACAAAGTACATCATATAGTACATGTAGCACTGCATCTGGGACTTAGCCTGTCTCAAATCTATAGATCTCTAAAAATGATTATAAATGCTAATTCAGCTCAGCCCGACCTGCATATTCCAAAACTCGGACATTAGAAGTGTGGAGAGTATATGATCTGATAAGTGGCTAGTGGGGAATATCTAAGTTCCCTAGCTGACCCCAGGCGGCGGACAGGCGGCCAGCTGCAGATAATAAAGTGCAGGTTCGTTACATAAGATACCTAATACATACATACATACATGAGGTATGTACCTTAGACCAGCAGACCAGATAAGCCTAGGTTGCTTATGTAACTCAGCTTGACCATTATACGACCTATGTACATATCTAGGTGCCTATCAGTTAAAGCCCCAAATCTTTTCAGCAGCCAAGACCAGGTGGGCTAGGTGACGAAAGAAGTGGAACCTGTCTGCTTTCCATCGCTGGAAACCCGAAGTAAAGCTCACCGGAGCCAACTTTCTTCACTTCAGCGACATCTTTTTTTTGTCAAGCATCACACGATTTTTATAATATACAATAATTGACAATAGCCCCGTGTGAAACCATGCCCATACATACTATCCCGGTTTAAACTCTTATAGACTCCAACATGCGAATTCGTCTACCTTTTGCAGGTTTGTTCCCTGGTTTCTTTTCTTTGTTGCCTAACTTGCTCCGTTCCATAGTTAAGAAGCTCCCAGACTTGCTATGACGATCCCCGAGAATCGCTAAAGCTTTATATCACAGCCCCTGTGAAGATCACAAGTTAATGAAACATTCATAGGAGTTTTCTTCCTGTTATGTCTCCTTGCAGGCTACGCAGGACTCTCGTCCCTACAACTCGACACCGTTATTAATGATAAAGTCCTACACCTCTTAACTTTCTTCCTCTTGACCGTTGCTTTCTACTGGATCATCGACACGAACCGCCGCCGTACCCTCAACTTCACCGTGGTCGTATGTACCATAGGCCTCGGTGTCGGCTCCGAATTCCTCCAAGGGTTTCTCCCTAACGGACGAGAGTTTGACCCCCTCGACATTGTCGCCAATATTGTGGGCAGCTTGGCGGGGCTTGGGCTATGTTCATGGTACCACTTGAGGATGCTAGAGAGGAAGCGTTCACGTAGACAATACAATGCTGTTCCAGGGGAGGACCCCACAGATCTCGAGCTCGATGAGGATGTCGAGGCTCAAGAAGAGGGTGTCATGTCAGCAGCCGAAAACGAAAGGGCCAATACACTCGAGGAGGAAGTCGACAACTGGGACGAAAACGCTGTGGACGCATGGGATGAGGGCGAAGACGAGGGCGATATAGGCGTTAACAATGGCCAAACGACCGAGCAAAACGGAGGAGAAACAATCGATACCAAGAAACGAGTCGACTGAGAGCGTTATGAGAATACGATGCAACGGGTGGACGGATTGAATGATACCTTTTCCTCAGGGGTAAACATAAAACATGTTCACTTACACGGCATAAGCTGGATTCAGTTGTTTGGCAAGGCTCCAGGGATCATGGCGTTTGTAAGAGGTAGGATGAAATTGGCGTGACATCACAGGCTATCAAAAGGGATTTGTCCAAGTATACCCATTTCATTCGGCGGAATATTGTGACAAGACATTTTGTGATGTCCCGGTATTGTAAGATGGCATTGTAAGAGGGGCGATAACACCATTACACGTAATCTGATAATTCGATTTTCTCGATTTTCTCAGTTCTTTAGACAGGTTAAGTTAGCTACGCAGTAGGAAAATAGTATGTGGTTTCCTCTCGTGAACTGACTAACACGAACTGACTAACACGATAGCAATGCTTCCTTTTCCGATCATTGCACTAAAACTCCGGAAAGCACGCGATCGCTTACACCGAGTGGTAGCCCCAAGAACTACCCTATGCAGTGGGTCTCGGCAATTACCTTTGCAAATACATAGCATCTTGGTGGAAAGGGTAGCCGGAAAATTCCAAGCACCTGGATACTTCCAACATATTAAATAGTCAAACACGGGAAATCATAACCAAAAAAAATGAGGTTATAAATGAGATTTTCTTAAAACCTCTAACCTAGAAACCTCCGAATCCACAGCGTCAATTTAATCATTGCGCGATCGTCAAATATGTCGACAAATGCCCAAGTCAATGAGCGCAACAGGGTCGATGAGCCCAAGTTAAACAGAGCTGATGAGGTCGAAGATGTAAGTTAATTCTAACAACATATAATGGTATTCTTTTTACGTAGCTAAATCATGTCCAGTTGATCGACGCAGTGAAATCTCTTCTCATACCATTCATCAGGGATGCGGACAAAGCCGCCTCGAGTCGAGCCAGCGGCTTTATAGCTGCAGATGCTCAAGGGGCACCAGGTAGAAATGTCCTAGTAGATCCGCATAAACCAGAGGAGTTGGTAAAAAAGTTGCACATATCAATTCCAGAGGAAGGGGTAGGAAAAGAAGGTCTACTAGATATCGTCCAAACTATCCTACGATACAGCGTAAATACGTGGGATCAGGGGTTTATGGACAAGCTATACTCGAGCCTCAATCCAGTAAGCTAACCCCTTACTCCTCTCCAAAAAAAATGAAACCTCTGAAAAACATAAGCTTATACAGCCGAACAGGTTGGCGTAATATCAGAGCTTGTCCTTACAGTATTAAACACCAACGTAGGTCCTCTTACCCCTTGATTCTCTCAAGTCTCTAATGCAATGCAGGTGCATGTCTGGAAAACCTCTCCAGCACTAACGATCATCGAGAAGACGGCCGCGCGTAAACTAGCGAATCTATTTGGGTTTGTTGGTCCTAGAGCAGGTGGCGTTACTTGTCAAGGAGGCAGTGCTTCAAATTTGACTTCCCTTGCCATCGCCCGAAACGCCCTGTTCCCCGATGTGAAGACCTCTGGTAACCAAGGCCGCCAATTCGCACTCTTCACCAGTGAACACGGACATTATTCAGTTGAGAAGGCAGCTGTCACATGTGGTCTCGGTTCTGACAGTGTCATCAAGATTTCAGTCGACCCAGCCGGTCAGATAGTCCCATCGGCGCTTCGTACAGCTATCCTTCGCGCTAAAGACGAGGGCAAGACGCCCCTATATGTAAACGCGACTGCCGGAACAACCGTATGGGGATCATATGATCCATTCGCCGAGATCGCGCCCATTTGCAAGGAGTTTGGCGTCTGGCTACACATTGACGCCTCGTGGGGCGGACCAGCAATCTTCTCGGCAGCGCAGCGATACAAGCTAGCCGGGTCACAGCATGCCAACTCCCTGACCATCAACCCGCACAAAATGCTCAATGTGCCTATTCCCTGCTCTTTTCTGCTCACCAACGATGTCACGATCTTCCAGCGCGCTAACACTCTGCGTGCGGGATACCTATTCCATGATGCAGGCACCGAAGACGAAATCTGGGATCTGGCAGATCTGACGCTCCAATGCGGGCGCCGTGGCGACGCGTTGAACTTGGCACTCTCGTGGATCTACTATGGTGATAAGGGGTTCGAGAAGCGTGTCGACCACGCGTTCAACACCGCAGCGTACCTTGCGACGCTCGTGCAGGAGTCAGGCGACTTTCACCTCCTATCCAGCAACCCACCGCCATGTCTACAGGTGTGTTTCTACTATGCACCGGGCGGTGCATTACCCGACGACCAAGAGGAGACCACGCGGCGAACCAGCCAAATGGTCGCGAAGCTTGTGCCGAGGGGGTTCATGGTGGACTACGCGCCCGGCCCAAAGGGTAGCCTCTTCCGCGTGGTAGTGAACACTCAGACCCTGAGAAGCACTGTGGATGGACTCGTGAAAGCGTTGCGAGAGGTGGGGAAGGAGGTCGTTCTGTCTTAATTTATCACGCTTCCCTTCATGGCCTCAACTGTAGGGTTACGAACTTGGAGACTCATATTGATACAAGTACTAGTACTTGGTAAAAGACACTACCTATTGTCCCTAGTATAAACATTGAGCAATTAATAAATATAGTTAACGGTATGGCTATCGGTATGTTTCCAACAAAAAAAACCCTATTTCCTGCCGGGAAATCTTGGAGAAAGCTTAGAGAGCAATCTCAGTATCGTATCACTAAACAAAGTCGAAGAAATTATGTTTCACGATATAACTTTACATCTTCGCCATCAAGATGCGAAAATACAGCCTTTGGATGCTACTCTTAAATAAAACCTATTCAACGGTCGACATATTATATAACTACATTTTATTGAAAGTATGGGTTTACTCTTGTGTTCAACTAGCCCGCCTCAGTATGCAAATCATACATATATATAGCGGCTAGAAAACATGGCGTTTATGATAATATAAGAATCTCTGAGATATTCTGAAGCTATCTATCACGTCACCGTATATAGAGAGAATCTCATAAGACTACTAGATTTGTCTATGTAGGTGGTTCGGTGTTCCAAGTCTATTGGATTTATAAGTCGTACCTGCATTAGACAACTCAACGTCAAACAGACAAGTAGTATTATGCTAATTATACGGAATACCTATATTGGTATTGAGAGATAAAAGGTTATTACATTAGAGTGTGTAGATCATCACTATGGGTGTCTTGGTACTTATGACTTCTAAGGAGAGTTTGGATAACAACGGCGCTTGAAATGAATCCTCAAATAGCAGTAGCAGATACTTGTACATTAGGTATGTAAGCGGTTATCAGTATATGAGTGTGATATTTAAGCTTGAATAAAGCATATATAGTCTTAGCAGGTGGCCCTTACGTTGACAGTCTTATATCTGCGATACTTACCTATAATGAGATAGTTGTTGATCAATACCTACTACTCTGCTCTGCGCCCTGCTTTCCAAGGCAATTCTCACCTGCTTTTATATTTTCAATATTACCTTACACCTTATACGATACACAGGGGCGCGATACTAATTCTTCGATCTACTATCGATCCTCCTTCATTGCACTTAGGCTTCATTATGTTTGATCGAATTATGTATACGCGATTTTGTGTATGAGTATGTGCGGTCGAAGGACTTCTCCAAACTTGGACTACATACCGTGCCCACTTCAAGCTGGAATCATGATTGGCTGACTTGGGTGGTTTTCCGATGGCTCACGCACAAACGTCTGTACTACAAAATATATAGCTCAAGTTCGAGTCACCTTGCACCGCCCGGTTAGCTCAATCGGTAGAGCGTGAGACTCTTAATCTCAAGGTTGCGGGTAAGTCAATCCTCAACGTCTGAGATTATTTACCATTAATGCTAACATCACACCTTAAAGGTTCGACCCCCGCATCGGGCTCAATTCCTGATGCTTCCCAGTTTACTGGGATTAGCAGCCTCTAAATTTTTTTTTTTTGATAAATCTTTTTTTTCCCTTCTTTATCCTTATTTGCGTCTTTCTTTATTATCCTACCTTTCACCTCTCCTTGAACGGTTTTCTACCTTCTTACCCCCCTTTTTGGTTCTTTTATTTCAATGTCTTTTTCCATGTCCTCGGCTCTGGTGGGGTAAATATTCCCTACTGTTGGTCCCACAGTTCCTGGATCGTCAAACGCCAAATTTATTTTTACGTGCATATGTTATGCTGATGGTTTTTTTCTTTCTAACTTGGCAGCCATCCCCTCACCCCACCTATACATTGAACACACCTATCTCGGTTTGGCATAGGTAGGGGTTATTATCGAGTTATTCAACAGGGTGTCCACGTTGCAACCTGGTTATTGAAACATCATGGGTGGAGTGGAATCGCCATATCTCGACTTGCTTAATTTACACTGTGCTTCTACGAACTTCGCTTCGTAGGTACATAGACAGTCAAGGTTTTATTTACGACTTCATCATTTCATTGGTATTAGGCACGTAAGAGAGATACCCATTGGTATTCAGTAATAAAGTTGGTGACAGTTAATATTGTCTGTTATTTCCTCAAAGTACCTAGTTTTACTCGAGTGATTTTCCATCTATCTCATTATTTACAGCTCTTGTATGGCTTTGGTTCGTAGCTCCACAGCTTTCTTGGTCGTGCTGGTGGGACCAGCTACCTCAAACCCGTGAGGCACACCAGGGAAGATGTGGAATTCCACTTCGGTGTGCGCATTGGTCAATCGTGTGGCATAGTCGATCGATTCGTCTCTGAACCAATCGAGGTTGCCGACTTCGATATATGCAGGGGGTAGTCCGCTTAAGTCCTTTGCTCGCGATGGCGCTGCATAAGGGCTCACATCAGCTTCGGGCTTGCCCGCTTTGTCCTTGCCAAGGTAGAACTCCCAGCAGCGGATGAGGCTGTCTGTAGGGAGGATCACGAGATCCTTTAGTGGATGCTCGAAGTCGGGGGCGTGGTAGGCTGTGATAGTTCTGTCGTCAAGCATGGGGTAGATAAGGATCTGCTTCTTCAGCGAAGGTTTCAAGCCACGGTCGCGGGCTAGGAGCGCCGTCCCTGCAGCAAGACCTGCACCAGCGCTGTCGCCCATAACACCGAGTCGTGTGGCGTCGACATTGAATTCGGCGGCGTGCTCTAGGAGCCACTTTAGGGACGCATAGCTGTCTTCGACCGGAATAGGGTAGGGGTGCTCTGGCGAAAGGCGGTACTCGACAGCGAAGAATTGGACGCCCGTGCCGTTGACTAGGTTAGCGATATAAGGTGCGAAGATGTCGACACTTCCAGCCACCATGCCTCCGCCGTGTATGTGTAAGACTGCCGGCAGTGGCGTCTTGCTGGATCTATGTTCCTCGGTGGCATACCGGTAGACATCGATCTCGGCGCCATCGAATGACTTAGTTGAGTGTTTGGTTCTGATGACGTGAGGCTGCGCTGGGAACTGAGCGAACATGGCACTCATAAAGCCGTCGTTGGCTTCACGGAACTCAGGTACCGGCTGGTCAGGTATCATTTGGACTGCACCGCTAAGTTTTGCCCAAAACGCCCCGAACTCGGGTTCGTACTTGAGGGAGTGTCCCGACTTCTGTGATGCCGCCATCGTGTCTCTTTCTGAATGATACGGGTGGGTATTGATTGTTTGAAATTCGTTCTGCTGTGATCCGAGTTGGAATCTTATACACACAACCTTTAAATTTAATGACAAGAGAGCTGGACTTGGACATAAATTTATGGCTAGTTTCCTACATATAAATATTCCAACCTCCTGGGATTTCTATATCCATAGAAGCTAGGGTTATACCATGTGCGCTTGCGAATCTGCATGGGTACGGCACAGTCAACATAAAAGTATGCTGGCTCCTGTTACAATGAAACTTCATGCACGAACCAGCCAACATGCGGCAGTATGTCGCATTAACCCCCATAGACAAACGGTCTGGTTGCATGAAAAGCTCTTTTGAAGACACATATCTGATTTAATTGCGTTGGTAGCGAGAGAGATCACAGAACAGGAGCTTGTCTGATTCGTCAGATATCCCTACGGCTCGGCACCGCTGAAAACCAACCCATGTATATTCCTAAGATCAACAAGTAATCCGTTGCAACCTCGATGGACTAGGCTCACCCACAACAAGAGCGGTGTGAAGCGTACCATCACCATTTAGTATAAAGGCCCTAGAAGTAATAGGATAGAAACTGGAGCTGGCATCGTTGGGGTGTCGGGATGATTAACAGGATATAGGTCCGAAATCTTCAAGCGAGATGTTCCCTGATCCCGGAACACGTGCGGATTTGCATGCCTGCATGAGAACGTACGACGACGGCACGCGTCGGGGTCGGGAAATAGGTTGGATCAAGGTCCATGCGCTCAAGCGGTCAAAACGACCCGATTTGGAAGATATTTAAAACTCTTGTAGCTATAGATGGTTTGAAATTGGAATAGGTCGCCTCATGTTCCCATGCTCACCCTTGGAAAGCAGGGCGGTGAGGGGTCCTTGGTATCCCGCGGGGTTGCTGCGGTGCCATTAAATCCTCGACTTCGGAGGGGTAAACACAGAAAAATAAGGCAGTAAAATTCCTGCGAAGGAGACCCGGAAGGCAACGTGCAAGAACCCAGGTGGTTACTTTGGAAAGGGGGACTGGAGCAACGAGAAAAAAAAAAAACGTGTAAAACTCGGTATGGACGGGATGTAACGCTTCCTAGCCGATGCATGTTCTGTGGACTTTCAGGACACTGTCGTAGTTCTCATATCGTAAACTATTTCCAGCCAGACACAGGGGAGCAAGACGTTGATAGTGTAGGAGAATGCGAGTATGCATTTTCGAAATATTCAAGTGACCGAGCTCACATGTCCCTTTGGACAACTTCACGGGAACCTCATCGTCATGGTTATTAGACTGATAGGGGCTAGATTTAGCTACAATAAGCTGGGGAACTATATCTTCAATGTAAACACATTCTTCAATGTAAACACATTCCTCTTAGCCTTTGACGATAACATTAGGATATCAAAGCAACGTACTAAGCTGTCGCCTTGGGTTGAGCATCGTCGGGGTCCTAGCTCCCCGAGACCCCGTTATAAGAGGCTTAAGCGTTGGTAGCTAGACCTCAAATGGCAAAGGTATGGCTATGTATGTATGCCACCTGGATAGCGCCTCACGGGTCCTGGCCGTGATTGTGGATCGCGATGCCGGGAGATCGTACGGATAACATAGACCCACAAGAGTGTACGATGCCATTGCGTTGCCAGCGCAAATCAATACTATAGAACCGGGATCGCGGGTTATGTCTCTAAGAGGCTCTGATGCTAGCTAGTAGGCTTTGCAGACAGACTAGACGAACAAAGAGATACAAAAGATATCGACTAAGATCATTAGGGTTCGATTATTAGACCGATGTTAGTGGGAAATGTTGAATATCGAGTTGTTGGGGTCCACCAAGGCCCTAAGCCGATCTGCCGGACACTATTCCATACGAACATAGTCAGGGTGATCTGAAGGAACTTTTGGCGCCAATGCTAAGATTGAAGATCGACCAGCCCGTCGGAAAGACGAAGAATTAACCTTATTATCTCATTCGATAAACATCGCTCCCTACAGGAATGGGCCTGTGAAAGGAGCGAGTGATCGTAGGAGACCGGTGCGCCTTAGTGTCCTTGGGCCCGAGTCAGGAGAGTTCAAGCTGCTGCTGGCACACAGCATCGGAGTGTTATCTTCCTTGGGTTCAGAAAAGAGTGCGGCCGCTCCTATTGTCAGAATGTCAACACAAGTAGAGCACGGAGTAGTGGCCCCGGAGACACCAAATCAAAGATACTAAATGCTTGTGGGAGAACTTTGGATCACAAGCATCAAGATGCTGCTAAGCCATTTTGTGCCTAGCCCTTCCTTCTTTCATCCTGAGGCAACTGTCTCTGCAAATCATACTGGCCTCATTATTATTTACATTTATCGTCAAAGCCGTGGAGGATATGGGTACGCGTGAAATAGACTTCTACAACGAGTCCTATTCACTGTTAGCAATATTAACGATACTCCTTCCAATATTATACAGCGGAGGGGGTTGAATAAGGTTCTGAATGACCCTAGACACAACAGGCTTCCAATTCTTCACGCATCCACCGACAACCATTGCCATAACCTAATACAACTATTTACCTTGTGGAATATCGGGTTTTTTAGGTTTGGGTATCATAACCCCGGAACGGAAACAGAGCGTAGCTTGAGGTCCAGTCCATGAAAAAGGGTTGTAGAGCTTGGTAGGTATGAATGGCCGCTCTGTGCTGGAGAATTACCTTTTTAGGTATAATGAGATCTGCCCCATAAGATCTACCGGATATCTAGGGACGTCAGTATCCCAGTAGATAAATACCTAGGTTAGATAGCTTCATGTATGAAATTAGATGATAGTAGTGCTTGGGTCTAGACACGCTGAACTCCATCAAAATTGTATGGGGATCCGTACCAGCTTATGGGGCGAGACAGCTAAAGTAGTGGACAGCTTGGGAACGCTTGCGAGAATGAATAATACCTCAACTACTTGGGCAGGTTGAAAGGGACAGAAGTAATTAGTAATTTGCAAATACTAAATCCCATTGACCGAAGTCCCTCCGTCGACTTTGGAACTGCCGCGTCACACAAGGGACTACTTACATTAGAGGGGCGGCTTTTAGGTATTGTACTAATTTGCAAGAAGTACTACATTAGAAAAAACATTAGATCAACTGACTAAGAAGAGTACATATTGAGTAAATAGGCTTGATGTAATTCCATTTCGAGTCGGTAAGGTCGGTAAGGTCGGAACGAGCTCCACTGCATAATACCTAGCATTTGCCATGCTAACTGTAGTGGCAAAGAGGACGTTGCGTATGGTAAGACAACAATTAATCAAAAATGTTTGGTATCGGATGGGGCGAAAGCAAATCCCATGTACGTCAGGATGGCATTTTAAAAGACTGAAATCAGAATCCCATACTAGTTATGCGATAGTTACGTCGTCGTGTTCGAATTCTTCGAATTCTAGGATAAGATCAACTGCGGGGAAAGACATGCCAGTTCGTTTTAGGCCTTGGTTGAACGGCTGACCACTTAAGCTTGTTTTCGGTCAAAAGAATCTGTTCATATTAAGGAGCTATGGGTCAATGGTTGGTGAAAGAAGAGAAAAGAGCAAAGAGCGCCAAGGGAATGATTAGTATGATTAGTATGATTAGTACATATTAGCCACAGCGCCACGTATGGCTCATGCAGGTGCTCCAGAAAGGATCCACGTATTTGTATGTGATTGGAAGCCGAGGCTTTGAGAAATTGTTAAGGCTCCAAGTACACACCCAAAAAGACCAAAAGGTGAGCCACCATTAAGGAACTAAGGGCTCAAGGAACGGACATTTTGCTCCGGAATGTCAAGACAACCTAAGATCCAACGAGCCACAAGCCGCCCGAAAACAGGAAAAAGAGCAAATAGGATAGTCTCATCTCTCTTATACATATATGGTTCGTCTGTTTCAAGTCGACTGGATCCGCACAGATTCAATGGCAGATTGTCCCTCATCGAAAAATATGATGGCAATCGTTAAAATATACCCTCGATCGAATCTCTCACCTAACAATGAAACCAGACCTTGCCCAGCATCTCATGCTCATGCGGGACACACACACGCTACCGTCCGCAGATGCATGGTGAAACTATTTCTGGCAGTGATTGGATGAATTGGCCAAATAAATGCAACTGCGCCGAGTGTTTGTTGCTGCTAGTGGAGATATCGCTGCGATGTCTTTTCCAACACTGGTTTATAATTGGTTATTGGTTCGGCGTAAGACTGAATATTCAATTATGAGGTTCTACATGCTTCTAAGTAAACAAAGGTCCGGGCGGGAATCAAAAAGAATCAGCTGCTTGCAGGTTGTTGTCTTGCAAATTACAACCGTTCTCAGCCGCCCAGCAGTAGGTATCTCGTATGGAAATATGAAAACACGCGTAGCAAAAGCTCCGGCTGTAACCGTGATAGAAGTAAATATGGTCCGGTATCAAGGTGACACATCTATCTCGATTTCTTTGGGATGTAAGATGAGTAACGGGTAAGTTGGGATGATTTTAGCGGAAGTAAGGTCCGGACGCGACGAAGAGACCTTTTTTTTTTACTCTTCCTTTTTCTTTACAAATAATGCTGACTTTCTATTCTCCGAGTGACAATTTAGGTACTTAACATTAACTCATGTTCTTTGCTACAAGGAACAAAAAAGCAAAAGAAACAAAAAACAAAGACCAAATATAAAATTCGTAGCTAATAAAAAGAAAATTTCTATGCCGTGTTATGGCCAGCTAAGTACCAAGCTTATTACATAGCTACAACCTACTTAATCTACTAATGTAACGGAACGAGGCGAATAAAGGGTAGATAAGCCGAGGCGAGTTAAACTTTAAGTGCATCTATGAGATGGCACTTATTTAAAGCGTTATGTAGACCTGTGTACAATTCCTTTGGAAAAGTGTCGTGGGGAGGAATTGACGTTAGATTTAGGTAACAATTGCGTCGTATCCATCTCGTACGTTGTTACGAACTTATTCGTTTATATTTTCATCATTTATAATTTCCCCTCACGCCAAATAGCCTAGGCTCTCCATATTATCTGGTTATGCTTGTTGCTTATTATGTGTATTAAAAAGTCTTCCACAACCTATTTGTACTTGATCGGATCTCAAGAGCCGATATTTAGTTATGTTCAAGCTTTTAAGTAGTTATTTATATGATATCAGAAACGTGTTACCGGCATTATAGGTAGGTAGGTAGTCTTGTCGATCGCGGCTAGCTTACATCATTTGGTGAAGTTCACATAAATCTATCTATCCATTCAGCAGAATTTACACACTTGGGTAACATCGCTTCTCAGTAAATTGCGCCAACCTCTATGTGGCATCTAGTTCGCTGGTACATGTTAGTATTTTATAGCAAAGCTAATAAGCAACTTTAATACATACACACGTAGGTATGATATTAGGTAGATAGCCGTACCTAAGCAGCTAAGCTGTTGACCAGCTCGGATGGGACGTATAATAAAAAGCGGGGAGCTATGAACCCAAGACCCAGAGAGCTTCCTGTGCTAGTCCTATTAGGGGGCTACTTGAAGCACTATCACCAGGCCATAAAGGTATAATCCCTGCTCGGTCTCAGTGCTTTCCAGCTATTTCATTGGTCCCATACTTTTCATCGCGATCGATCGCCACTTGGGCGTTCTCCCGCATCAGGGAATATTGTGAATCCTTGTTCTAGTCTTCGATCGAAGCCATTGGCTTCCAGGCCAGGTACCTTAACATGGTATGCTCCGTTGCGGCCATGTTACGCAATGGCGCTTTGCAAATTATGTACTTCCCATTATTTCGCGATTCCGAACTTAAGGAAATCCATTATTGTATATGTATATGTATACCTATTGTGTTTGTCTCTCTCCGAGCTCAAATTCCTGTTTTCTGTTTTCTGTTTTCTGTTATCTGTTACTATACCTACTCCTCTTGTTACCACCATCTTACCTTACCTTACCTTACCTTAAGCTTGAGCTTAAGCTTCTGCTTCCCCTTTTAACATTATCCTTTGTTAGCAGACCAATCGACATCTCCCAAGCAGCATCCCGTCCGTCTCTTTGTCTCATCCATCTATCCCCAGATAGGAGTCCGGAAGTGTCAGATACACAACTTAGGAACGAGACTTACATGCCACATATCCGTCTAATCATACAATAAATACTTCATATAATTCGGCTGCCCGCAATAAGAGCCTAGCATTGATACAAACACAAGGATAAGCAACAGGTGAAGAGACTCAGAGACTTGAAACAGAAGAGCCGACTTATACAGAAGCTTCCACCCAAACTATAACCTGCGTCTCACGACCCACTGTGACTTTCAGTCATCTCCAGGAATACTGTGCTACGGGTTACTGTCAACTTAAGTTAACCAGCACACAACTTGTTTGCCTTTGTGGTTGCAGATGCCAACGAGGCCCGAAACACCCCACATTCAGCTTATGAATCTCTCTATTTGAGACTATATAGTACAACCAACTTCTAATATATCTTCGCAAAGACCCCTATCTGGATTATATTATTTTACTGGACAATTTGACGTATCACCAGCACAGAGGTGATTCCATCGTCAGTCCTACCTTCAGTACCAAGGTTCAATATACATTCCAACCCATGCCGAAGCGATCCTTAGATATATCAAACGCCATGCCGGGCAACGAACGAGTCCCACCTGTTAAGATACAGAAGGTAAGCTCTTTTCCCTCACCAAAATAGCGATGTTTGCCAGGAACGAACCCCCTAACCTTTCGTTACAGACCGAACGATCCCACGAAGAAAACCAGGAAAGGGCCTACATTGCCGCGTCAAGACGAGCCGACAGAAGCTTAGAGGCTAGAGTGCAGTCCGCCCGCCAGGCATCCGAAATCCACCGACGACGGACGGGCCGAGGTCTCAAAGTGAGCGAGGAAATCGTGTTGAAGGAAGAAATGTACGAGGAAGAAGAGGACGAAATCCCCCGCCATTACAAGTACCTTACTGCCCATTTACAAACGAATTCGCCGGATATGAACCATCGTGTGAATGCGTACATCACTACCCAAGCGGCGATGGCCACCATGGCCAGGTACAACGAAGTCAATCGACTTTTTAGCGAATCATTCCCAACTGCTATGGCGTACCAACAGAACCTGGGAAATTCCATGTACATGGCGCCGCTCATGAACAACGACGCTAACTTTGCCCACCGGCTATCCACGTCGGGGTCTGGCCAAGGCTCTCCAGCAACCAGAACCCAGTCAGTCTCTTCTCAGTCGCAGTTCGACAGGAGGGATTCCATTGCGACCCAGAGCCCGGTACCTACTCCAGCTACAACAACATCATCCCCGCCAGCATTAACGCCTGCGTCGTCAACGGATGCAGATATGTCCGACTCAAAGAGTACACCTTATCAGACTCCGTCTGCCTTTCCAACTCTTCATCTAGATCCACAACTAGCGCAGCAGTCTACGTCCTCTTCCATATTTACATCCGAACTATCAAACGAAGCAAAGATGATGGCCCATATTGACATGAGCGATCCAATGGCGATGCACTTTATGGATGGCAATCCTTCGACCTACCAGATGTTTGGACCCTACCCAGGCGAAATTACAACAACAACAACAACAACAACACAAGAGGACAGCGCCAAGACCAGTCCAGCGGACAAGGGGGCCGAAACATTCTCGCCATATAGCAATCCTCTTCAAGACGACTACTTCCCCACCTCAATAGAGGGTACCATGGGACTTTCAGATATTTCCATTGACAGCTATAGCCGCCTGGGCACGCCAGGTGGCGGGACAGGGGGTGACACCTGGGAGAGTTTCGTCGACTTCGGATCCGAGCAATAATACGCCGGTATCCTCTTATGACATTGCTGCAGTATAAAACGTCCAACGATGCGGCTTGTATATGTCTAAACTATGCTTTCGCATATAAAAAGTGTTTGCCGGAGATACTACGCATCATGCACGGTTTGCGCCTGTTAGGGTTTTAGCACTGGGGTTGATTTGCATGAAAGCGTCGTTTATATCCTGGCCCGGCGTTCTGCTTTCTTGGCTCTTTCACGCAAACGATCATGTCCGAGGAGGAGGAGGAGGAGGAGGAGGAGGAGGAGGAGGAGGAGGAGGAGGAGGTATTTGTCGGTTAATACTATGTGTGGAATTATCCCATAACGCATTACACTGTTTAATAATCGGACGATATCGAGGAGAGAGAGGATGTGCTTCAATGAAGACGGGCCTGCTACATGTGACTTGGAGAAACCTGTTGAATATAGCGAGCGCTATGGAGATTAGGTACCTAGGTTGGCTAGTGAGGCCAACTGTTATTCTAGAATCGGCTGTTGCCGGCTATTCGTTTAGAATGAGGTGGTAGTGAAAAACAAATACAAGAACTTCTCTACGGATTGGGTGGTATGATTTTGGATTGAAGAGGGTGATGAATACCAATATCTACCTCTATCTATTTTTTTTTTTTTTGCCTTAGAACAGTTCAAATAAGATGTAACTCGAAAGTGAAGTTTGAACGCCATCCCATCTTAGACACATTGTCGATACGTAGGCTTATACGCCTCCTTCCCCTAATTAACCTACATGTGAATAGTATCGAGCATTATTAGAATCTCCCTTGCCTCAATTTTCCCCGCCAAGGTAGATATTCAATGGTAACAACGTAACCTAAGCGATTCGTCCCATATACCGAGCTCCACGTCTAGATCGCATGTTTTTACCTTTCTCTACACACTTAGGCTTTCCGCGCGTCTTAGTTCGCGCGGGTTTAAGTTTAAGATTTCGGAAAACGTGCCGTATTTTAGGTCTTACTCGAAGCCGAGATATCCGTCCTGAATCAGAGTTAACAACGCACATTATAGTAAGCTGTCGAGTACCGACCGACCGACCGACCTACTTACCTTAGGTTAGTACCTAAGTATATCTCTACGAGTATTCGGAAAGGATTAGCATACTAAACATACATTTTTACGTGATGAAGATTCGTTCTCAATGCTCGATTTAATTTCAGATTTAATTTGATGATGACGACTTCGAGCCGAATCCGCTCTCGAATTGTAGAGGCCAGTTCCCTTAGGGAGTCATACAATATAAGAGGTACCCATTGTAGCCTTAAGAGGTTGAACACTAGTCTTCATTTTAACCGAGGGTGAATTCAAATTGAACCTATCTAGATGAAAGTGAGTGAGAGTATGTAGGACAAGCTTCAGGAATCCGCCGTGGAATATAGTAGGCATCGCATAATATTCCGAGTCTTAGAGCCCTAGCACAACTAATCGCAAACACTCCTCATGGCCGGCCGTTTGGGTAACTACTTTTCATCATCAAGAAATAGGTCAATTGCGCTGCGGTTCTGTGTATTTTCTTGTGTTCCAAGGATCTGCTAGAGAGGCATTAGTTGATACGTGAGGGTAGTTTGGATAGAGATGAAAATACTGCGCGTAAAAGAAGCGGGGGTGAGGGGTGAAAATGACTAACATTGAGTATCGAATATATGACAGGTCGTTGACCAGTCTCTTCAAGGCCGAAGAATGTATCGCCAAAATCAGTTGGACGAAACATGATTATTTCAGACATATGAATACCATATATATGCGTTTCCTTAGACGCTACTGTTATTCAACAGCGTATGGTTATCATGTAGCGAGTTCGTCTACCCTTGTCATCGTGTGGTCGACAGTATATACCAACACGTTTGACCATTCATCAGATGGGCCTAGGAAACCGTCGGGGCATCCGTTCATCATTCCACGTCTCTGACGGATTTAAAGATATTACATGCTGAGCTATATAACTTAAGATTAGCTATGATTAGAACCCTCAACATTCTCTTGTTTATCGAAGCACTTACCATATTCAGCACACTTGTTACTTTTACCGTATTAAACCCATTTTAGGTCTATTGCACACCCTTTTCTTCACCTGATGGCGAGGTGACAATAATCTGCGGAAGCAGTAGAGGTGGCTGAGTGTTAATAAAAGTCTGATCCAGTTGTTGCCCACAAGTCGTGTGTTTAAGGGTTGCGGTCTCAGCAGGGCTAACCATCAACGTACTGGGCAGCGGGTTGGTAGAGCGGTGCGAAAAGGGAGGTGTTAGGAACCGCCTTGCGTTTTGCGAAGCTTGAATTGCGCGTTGTGTTATGGATGTTACGCGTTTCTTTAACTTTCTAATACCTCTATTGCGGATGCGACCCCCTTTGGATGGCGAAAGGTCGGTAGGATCAGAGCTGATATTGTTATCGTTGGTATTTATGGCCGTATTAGATGTACTTGGACTCGTAATAGCAAGTGCACGAGTAGAGTTTGTTGCTTGGATGATGCGCTTCCACCCGCGGCCAGTATGTTCGTTATAGAGTGTATACTCACCAGAGCTTCTTGTATATCCGGGGCTTAAGCGTGACTGCTGCTCATGCTGCTCATGCTGGCTATGAGGTATCTGCGACTGAGTAGCCATTGCATAGTTGCTCTCGCCGTTACCCTGAGTATTGTTGATGACTAGGGTAGTATCGAGGGGAGAGTCTTTTTGCTCTGTGGGTCCTCGTCCATATTGTCTACTTTTCTTACAGAGGTTAGATAGGTCATAGCCTTGACGATGAGGCATTTTATGCTGAGGAACCTATTAACCATGATAAAGAATAAAGTTGCGTATTTGTAGGCTTATCAGCCGCAAGAAAGTGTAAAGAGGCTCAAGGATTTCGGGGGGCTCTAACTGAGAATGGTAGAATGAAATATGAACTTCTTGAGGAGTGATAGTCATTCATGGACCAGAGTAGACTAGGTAGATAGGAATGCTTTTAAGTAGACATGCTTGTTCAAGAAGTATGGTTAAAAGAAAGGTATTGGGTGGATGATAGGTTCAAGGTAGGTTAGGGTAGGAATAGGTACCCAAATAATTAAAATAGAACAGAGCAAACACTAATGACTAGGAATACAGTCACGACTGCAGTCACAACTGCTAACTGTGTGATGTTGACAAGGAGCCAACATCACCTAGAGAACAGTGTTGGATATTTTATTTTCCTTCAAGGGACTCACTCTGACTACTGCCAGTGGCGAAACTGTGAGAGTTAACCGGGTTACAACACACTATAACGCATTATCTAGGCTTCTCTTTCGTTTCTTTATATAATCGTCACCCTTTACCACATCTCTAACGTTGTAACCGCTAGCACCGCCCCATCTCGAAGGTCCGGCCGCCGCGTGCTCCGTTGAAGAATCGAGTTCTTTAGCCCAGGAGATCCAATCTCTCCTTCTGTTCCTCCACAGATCACCCTTCCAAGTTCTCCAGGTGCGTCGACCTTCAAATGACTCTCGTAATTCTTGTTCATGTTGGCCTAATTGTTCCATGATAAATTCTTTGAAGTGGAAAGGTATGGATATCCCGTCACCTCTAGAGGGAATAGAAACAATTGAATTAAGGACCTTGTTTCCATACTCAGACATAGCCAGCTGGAATGAATGTGATCGTAGCGCTGCGACTAAGGTCTTGTGGAAGGCTTTATTTCGCGATGGGGTTGATAACGCATTGACCAACACATAGGATGTCGGCGCCGATGATGTTGCGAGTTGAAGGATGAGTTCTTCCGGAAGAGCGGCTATAGATTTTTGAACTGTGCTGGAAGGATACCCGGACATAGAAAGCATTGTTGTTGCCAAATGAGAGCCGTGTGAGACCAAGGCTGAACGATTCTTTTGGGGAAGCTCCTGATCCTTCTTATCGCCGGTTTCCGATGACTGAAGAAGGCAAAGCTTAGGGACTAGAAACTTGGGATCTGACCCGAGCGCTTCAACTAAAGCTTTCGTTAGGCTATCTATCTCACTGATGGCTTGGCGTGCTTGGCACCGTTCGAACAGGGTTTTGATCACGTTGAATCTTGACAGCGCGACAAGTTTGCTGAATTCCGGCAAAGTCTTTTGGATGGCGACTACTAGATCCTCTTTGCTGAGTCGATTGAGGATACGAATGGCAGGATAGGACGCGATATCGTTACGTAGAAGACTATGGATCCGGCTCCCGAAGATATGTCTGTATAGAGCCTTGAACACTTTTCCAGGGCAATGAGTAATGAGAGTCTCGAGGAGGCGTGAACCAATATGATCGTATAACATTGAATTGACAAAATCCGATGCCGGTGTAGTGGCGTCTTTCAACGAAGAAGGGGCATCAGGTAGAAGTCTCCATAGTAGCGTCATGTCTTCGGAGTCGTCTTCGGCTGCCTTCGAGTTTAGACTAATGTCCAGCTCTAAGAGTAGTTGTAGAACCGGATTTCCAGTAGGATGTGTCGCTAATACCCGAAGCTCTGTGGTATTCATGCCTGAAACCGAGTCGGCGATAATCTTTTTTGCGGCTAGATTAAATGACATAGGTACGGCTCGTAATTGAGAATTTGAGTCAGTCGGCCCATCAGAGGTCCAAGGGACTGATATCTTTTCCTTCTTCTTGCTGTGGATGAGGGACTTGGTCTGTGACTGCTCTAACGGACGCCCGGACAGAATGATTAGTAGCACACGGATAGTGTGAGACGCAAATTTGTCGGCGAGTAGGTAGCCGAGGTGGCCCTCGAGTTCGTCAAGGGCGAGAAGAAATAGTTCTTCCATATACGGTAAGGGTTCTTCATTTGGATCGTCTTGATCCGTAGGAGCATCATCGCGCTCACCTCCAAGTTCCCTAGTGACGATAGGTGCGGATTGTAAGAATAGGGTTTCGCAGCAATGGCTTGCAAAGCGGTGCTGGATGAGGTTTAAAAAGTGACTACTGAATTGGCCGAAAAGTTTCTTCTTCTGTCTCGTGTTTGACATCAAGATTAACCGCTCCATTAACCGCGAGCACGACTGACTGCATGCTAGCTTAAGTTCCTTTCCCTGTGCCTCGGCGAAGACACTGGCGAGGTATAGTTGTCGTTCTTCTTGGGAAGGGAAGTCATCTATGTCGAGCTGCTCGTCAACGGAGCGGAAATATTCCTGTTCTTGATCCGACAGCATTCCAAAGAACTCTCGATCGGCCTGTGGTGGCCCACCAAATTGATGTTCGGCCTGGTCATGTCCATCTTGAAATGTAGCTTCTTGGTGGACAGCACCATCATCGCCATCTTCATCGTTTAACCGTCGTCTTTTCGTACTTTTGCTCACTTCTTGAGCAGCTAGTGCCTTTTCACGTCTCTTCTCCTTTCTTTCGTCGCGGATCGCCTGTCGTTTCGTCCGTGGCTTCGGCATCGTAGATATTTCGACGTTACGAATCCTAGACTGTGTTGGCAATTGTGGGTGATAATATGACTTCAAGCGCAAAAGTAGCCAAAATAATTTTTTGGCGGTTGCTAACTGATAACCGCCTTATCTTAGCGTCATCACTCCGTATCCTAACGTGCATTAGCCTCTTGGCACCAAGACCCTTATGCAACTGATTTTGACCCGCAGCTCTAGGTATGTATGGAGATAACCTACCTATCTTTAGTTACCCCCTGAATTTCTTATAGCTATTTATTTCACTAAGACACGAGTCCTCATATGTAAAAGGTAGGTTAGGTAGGTACATAGTAGGTACCTACTGCTATCGTATTCGTATAATACTTACCTAAAATTCATTTGTTATTCCTCATTTGTTAGAGCTCATTTGTTATTGGTTATAAGAAAGCGTGTTCGACGGTTTTCCCCTTGATTAAAAATCGGCTACCTAGCACCAGCGCTAACCAGGTAGAGTAATGTTATAAGAGGTACCTACCAGGTAGCTATCCCATTGAGACCCAGACATGGGTCAAAAAATGTTTCCACTGCCTGAACCTTTAAGAAAGAGTATTTTACGCAATTTGTGTTTATTTTAAAATCTAATTTTTGTTGCTATGGATTAAACCGTAAAATAACGAGGGTTCCTTTTTGGTAGCGAGCTTGATATCATGATTCTTTGAACTCATTTGGTTTGGTTGAGCGGATACAATTTTTGACCTATGTCTGGGTCTCAATGGGATAGCCCTAATACACGTAAACATCACTACTACTGCTACTACTACTACTATTACTACTATTACTAGATACCTAAGGGACTTCTTATGGAAACGCAGTGTCCCTCTTCTTTTAATCAAGCACTCACATTGTCCTCGATATTGGCGCAGCTTCTTCGTAACAGCATGGATTTTCTTCGGCAGCTGTTGAACGCCTGCGGCGGTTTCTTGTTAGCCGTTGTGGTTGTGCGAACCATCGCATTCGCATCTGAACTTTGGCGTTGCAGAAGCCTAATGAAGAAGCTGAAAGACATGGGGAAGGTAAGTTACTTACTCGTTGTCTGTTTAATTGAATCCACGCGTTAATCACTGTACTAGTAGCCCATGCCCCAGCACAGCACTCTCCTGGGTCATCTCATGGCGGCCAAGACTGCCACTGACGAGCTTCCTCCAGGTGCGCATAGCACTTATATTCTCGACCGCATAGCTAGGAAGCTAGATGGTGAAAATGGCCCCCCGGCGTATTACTTTGACAGTTACCCTGTGAGCGTTCCTATGCTTATAGTACGAGACCCTTACATCGCCAACCAGGCGACCAATCATCCCTGGGTATCGGCCGAGAAGCCTTTCACCCTTACAGAATGGTTTGCGCCTATCTCGGGAAAAGGAGGTGTCAACCTCTTTACTCAGAATGGCCAAGAGTGGAAACATGATCACGATCTGTTCCTACCCTTCTTTAACAATAGCAACCTTGATGCTGCTGTGCCCGTGGTCATTGAGCAGATGTTGGTTTTCCGTGAACTTCTCCGGGAAAAAGCCCGCAAAGGAGATCTGTTTCGTCTTGAACCATTGGCGTTATCGCTAATGAATGATATTATTGGGCTTGTAGTGTTTAACGCTGAGCTAGGCAATCAGACATCCGGCTCTCACCCTCTTTCGAAGACTATGCTCCGCCAACTCGGATTGAAGTTCGGTGCGAACAATATTATAGATAACCTTGGTCAGCTTAATCCATTCAGGATCTTCAGCATCTGGAATAATAGCCGTATCTTGAACCAACACATTCGCACTCAAATTACGAAGCGGGTCAACGCATTTCGTAATGCTAAGACACGTCACGAACAGTCGGCTTTCAATTCAATCCTAGACCAAGCTCTCGAGACATATTACTCCCAGCCAGGCCGAGAGCTGTCTGAACCACTCGATAAGCAATTCTTGGATTCGTTATGCGCACAGCTACGCATGTTTTTCTTTGCAGGATACGATTCTACCGCAAGCACGATGGTTACAAACTGTTATCTGATCTGGAAGCATCCAGAGGTCCTGGCTAAGCTCCGCGCTGAACATGATGAAGTTTTTGGGCGGAATATTGCAGCGTGTCCGGACATGATCACCGAGAACCCATCCATTCTCAACTCTCTTCCGTATACTCTCGCCGTGATAAAAGAGGCGCTGCGACTCTTCCCTCCTGCAAACGGCATTCGAACGGGATGTAAGGATCTAGTCTTGAAAGGTCGCGATGGCACTGAGTATCCTACTGAGGGCTGTGCCGTGCAGGCGAGTCACTTTAGCATCCATCGGAATCCCAAATGCTGGCCGCGACCACTCGAGTTTTTACCCGAGCGATTTCTCGTGGGACCAGATCACGAACTCTATCCAGAAAAAGGTGCTTGGCGTATCTTCGAGTATGGTATTCGAAATTGTACAGGCCAGGCTTTCGTCTTAAAGGAAGTGAAGGCCTTCCTCGCTATTATATGCAGAGAATTTGACTTCCAGGAATGCTATGACGAGGTCTATGCAGGAGAGAAGCTGGATCTGACGACTGTGGATAATGAGAAAGCATACCTAATAGAGCATGGTTCTGCACACCCGCGTGGAGAGTTTCCATGTAGAGTGTCTCTGAGCGGATACGTCCCTAAGGAAGCCAATCTCTAGAAATGACGCTTTCCCTGAACGATACGATAATCCCATTGGCAATGCTGATTTGTGAAGCCGTCTCATATCCAAGGGTTAGTTTATATCGTTCAGCTAATTCCTGATTGCGGCCTTCATCCGACCGAAAGCTTCACATATGTTATAATATTGATAATATAGGGCAATGTATATAACATATAATATATCACAATTAATCTACGTATGACATCAATATCCTCGGATCCCCGGCCTAACATCGAGGTGACCAAATTCTTGATGTCAATCTTTTAGGTGTGCTTCGGTTGGGACGAGAACTGGTTCCTCCCCAGACTCATCCTCCTCCTCTTGTGCATCTCTCGATCTCTTGGAGCTGAAGATTGATATTAGCAGCTAATCAAATTGAAGATAGGACAAAACTCACTCTCTGCGATACAACAAGATCGCAACAATAAACCCAGCCCATAGTAGCAGGTGGAAAGTTAACGCGACAGGCCATCCGATACGCCATCTTGGAGCACCGTTGGGGCCGGCAGTTGGGAAGAGCAAAAGGGGCACCCATACGTTGAATGAATAACCGAAAGTCATCATTGCGCCCTGAAATAATTCGGATAAGCCTTCGTATTCGATTTTTATCATTTACCGTGGTTTGCAATCCCCTTTCGTAAGAGGTGGACGGATTCACTCACCAAAATAAGAGCTCTCTCTTCAGAATCACCTTTCACAATTGTATTGACCGTCGAGTATAGGACCGGACTTAGGCACCCTGATATACCAAACGTGTACCACGCGACAAATCTACAGGTTCTTGTTAGTGGATTGGAACGAACCCCATAAGGATACGGAGAGGGGTCGACGCAAAGGGGCTACATACTTCAAAGGTTTCGGGATATCCCAAATAATCATACAGATTGACGAGAACACGATGCATACTGTCGCACTAGTGTAAACGGTCCATGAAGGATAGATAGCAGCCAAGGTAGTACCCAGCCAAGAAGCCACGATGTTGATGGCGTATGTGACAGTAGGCAGCTGATTAATCTGAATAACGGAGAAGCCTTGTTCTTTCAGCCAGAGATTCATATACGACTCTGGATAGCTGGGGATGATCATGCAGCTGACAGATGGTTAGACTTATAGCAAAATCATAGGTATGGATTGAACCCTTTACTTGAGTCATTGCGATGTTAGTAACTTACATATAACAAAACACAAAAACCCAAATATGCCAGCGCCCAAGTGTACGTTTGAGCACGTCAAACCCTAGCTTGCCTGGCTTGCGGATCTTAGCCCGTTCTAGCCTCGCCTTTGCAAGGTCGATTTCCTCATCAGTAAAATAAAATGGCTTTGGCGAATCCGGAATTCCCGGGAAGACTAGGAATCCAGCTATCGCAACTGGAAGTGTAAATATGCCATCAATGATGAACAGCCACCTTGATGAGACATCAAAACTTAGCATTCTGTTCTAGTTTGATTTAAAACGCAGGGAGGGTTCAACAGTTTCTTACCTCCATCCGGGCATCCCGCCTACACCAGACAGATTGGTATACGCCGCTGCTTGCAAATACCCGCTTACCATAGATCCCAGGGGGTTACATATGAACCAAGTCCCGGCTCTCTTAAATAATTCAGGGCCACTATACCATGATCCTAGTGTCTCGTCAGCCAAAGATTCGAAGAATCGGGAGATAGAGAGACGTGTCGTCTAGTATAGGTACCTACCTAAGATGAAGTGTGTCCCAGCGAATACTGGGGCCTCCAACATGCCTACTAGGAATCGACATGCATAGAGTTGGTGAACGTTCGTAACACGACTCTGTGCGAAAGTGCATATACCCCAGAGAACTTCGAGAGTTGGTAGCAACCAGCGCGCTCTATATTTATTAGCACAATTACCAATTTGTCGACTAGCAGAAAAAAGAAGAAGAGAAAGGAATTCCTCGAGTTGTTACACACAGCAGAGGTCGCGACATAAGTAACATGCCGGGGATTTGAAAAATCACATAAGCCACGTAGTAGCACACATTGAAATAGTTGAGCTCATCGCCGTATAATCCAAATTCCTCCTTAAGACCACTGACGTAGGCATTGCTGATGTTTGTTTGATCTTCGAGATGTGCTTGTAAGCCCACGCAAAAGGAGTGGTTGGATGGAATAGGGGCTAACCTAGAAATTTTACGAAGACTGGAAATTGTTAGATTTAAGCTATCGCGAACATGGGAAAGGCGTACTTACAGCATAGACAAGCGAATATTAGGATAGACAAGTCAAGTTTGAATAGAAGTCTGTATATTGTCAGTATAAAAGTTTCAATGAAAATTGCTATAGGCCATATCCAAGTAGATAGACTTACTTTCTCTCTGCTGTAGGGTAACTAGAAGGGTACCAATTGAAGATCTCTTTGATAAGGCCATATGGGGAGTACCCCTGGCTTTGCTTTGTTACCGTCATTGTAGCGTCAAGCCGAACAAGACTACTCATAACTTACTGAGGAGATTATCATTCTCGAGTTACACGGGGATAGACAGGTTACTTATTACTCTACGACCCATAGTTCATAAAGCTGATAGGCACTTGGCCTTATTTTAAGGCGAGATTTCGCAATTCAGACTTGCACGATAGATAGATAAACCTAGCACAAGGTCTTAATAAATGTCCCTGTCCTAATATTGCCAAGGAGATAGATGTAGTCTAGTCTAACTACGAAAACCTACTTATTTTATCATATTATCTCCGTTGTGTCTTAACAGTGTTACGTTGCTTGCGATAGGGTCCGATGATGTGCGATGGCGTGCTTGCCATATACTTGAAACTTGCGGAGGCTGCTGGTATACTAGAACTCGATAATACCATGACTGACCCGTATAATGCCTTGTCCCCACATACATAATCCCTTCTCCAAGTTGCGCCATACTGGCAGATCGCGTCGATTGGTAGATGTATAGTCTATCGATAGATTGCAACCCCCACCAACTCTTCAAGTTGCGAAGCTTCTATTTAACTGGTTAACACTACGAGAAACAAATTGTAAATGGTATTAATAAGAGTTTAATCTAGACGTGTTGAGTCCCACAACTACCCAGTGACAATTTAAAATGTATATATATATACCTATATATATACCCCGCGTATTGACGCTCATCTGAGCTCGCCGCCCTTGAGAATATTAGTATTTACATTTGTAATCAATCTTCAAGATGCCGGGACGTATAATTGATCGTTATGAGCACGTACCTGTAACGCAGGAAGACCGTAAGCCAAAAGCTATATTGATATATCTTCATTATTTCCAGTTAATAACTGGGTTACTATAGTTGATTGGGCCGATCTCATTACGTTGGACCTAAGTCTGTATGAGCAACCAGGAGGCAAAGAAGAGCTGGTAAAGCAGCTTGACCACGCGGTTCGAAATGTTGGTATGTTGACAGTTCCTAAGCGGCACCTCCAGGAGTACTGGTTCTCACGTGTTCATCATAGGATTTTTCTACGTGAAGAACTTCAACATACCCCAGGAAGAAGTCGACCGTCAGTTCGCTCTCGGACGAGAGTTTTATTCGCTTCCCATAGAAGAGAAGTTGAAGTATCATAACAAGCACGATCTTGAAAGCGGCGAATACAATGGGTATAGGCCAGCGGGCTATCGAATGTATGTCATCTGACTCCGTCAGGTAGTTTGCTACCTTGACCCTCGGGGGAATAAGTTTAGGTACCTAGGATCATGACTGATATGCCACTTTTACAGCCTTGGAAATGGCGTGAAGGATAACGTCCAAGTATACAACATACCCAAGTTTGACGGCTTCCACCAGCGCGAACAACCACCCGTCCTCCAGAGCAACATCAAGGAGATCGAAGCATTCTCGAGGGTAAGTAAACGATAGCCCCCGTCCATCCATATATATATGCTCACCGAAACGTAACAGAAATGTCACGAGGAAGTCGTCGTTAAGCTCTTGCGCCTTTTCGCGATCTTACTCGAGCTCCCTGATGAGGACCAGCTGGTCCGGGACCATCTCTATGACGTTAGGGGAGAAGATCACCTGCGGTACATGCACTACGCAGCACGAAGCCAGGAAGAGAACGCCAAGCTGGCTAACTTGTACGGGACGGGCCACACAGATCTTGGCACGGTGACCCTCCTGTTTAGACAACCAGTAGCTGCGCTGCAGATTCTAAACTCGGCAGGAGAGTGGAAGTGGGTGAAGCCACAAGATGGCACTATCACGATCAACACATGCGACGCCTTAACCGCACTGACGGGCGGGTTGATCAAGTCTAGCATACACAGAGTACACACGCCGCCTGCAGACCAAGCGCACATCGACCGCCTAGGCGTGTTGTACTTTGCGCGTCCGAATAACCACGTTGTGTTGGACCCGATCGCGAATAGCCCTCTGCTGAACCGACTCGGGCTGACCAGCAATGCCTTCACAGAGCTGGGACAGCATTTGACCACGGAGCAATGGGTCAAGGTGCGACAGACGCAGCAACAACGACCCCGCGTCACCGCCAAGATTTCTGCCGATGGCAAATATGAGTATAAGAAGAAGGACTTGGAAATCTTGCCTGGGCTACATGCTCTGATGCATAACTAAGTTGGGGGTATTTGGCGAACTTAGGAGGTCGTCACTCAAGAATATATATGCTACCAATACGTAGTAACTGACTGAAGAAATAAATCGCGAAACAACAAGTCAAAGCTACGCATCCCTAGACCCCCTCCCCTGTCTTGGGCCCCTGGATACCTAACTTAGGAGGTACCTATAAGGAGAGTGTAGTTGCAATGCGATGATTAAAGTGAAAGCACACCAGCATTCGAAAAGCATCAAGTGATAATTCACCAAAGTAAATTCATATAACAGGTATTTTCCACATCCCACATCTCACAAGCGTATCTCCATCAAAATAGACAAAATCGCCAAGATTCCAGTCGAGTTATCTCACATACATAAACAAACCCGCGCCAACCAAAAATCGAAATCAGACCCAGGAAACACCAACCACTCATGCCAATCCCCAAAGCCCCCAGCCCCTTTTCGTTAAAACCCCAACCTGACCCGTTCGCCTCGTTATAAATAAATGCCCAGCCCGCCCCCTCAGCTAATAATGTTGAGCTTCTGCAGCTTCTCCTTCACGCCCTCCTGAGGCCACGACCAGTCGCTCAGGAACTGGGGGTCGACACCGTACTCGAATGAGTAGTTGGAAGCGGCGACCTGCTGGCTCTTGAGGGCATCGCGAGCAGCTGCGCCGCGGTTGCCGAGGGTGGGCATGCGGTCGATGGCGTCCATGGCCAAGCTGAAGCGGTCCGTCTGGTTGCGGATGGCGAGCTCGAGCGGCGTGTCGATGTTGCCCTTCTCCTTGTAGCCTCGGACGTGGATGTTTGCGCTGCCCGGCCGCTTGTATGTCAGACGGTGGACGAGCCAGGGGTACGAGTGGAAGTTGAAGATGACGGGCTTGTTGTCTGTGAACAGGGCGACCCATTCTTTATCCGTGAGGCCGTGCGGGTGGTCGGTGTGGTGGATCAGCTTGAACAGATCGACGACGTTGACGCAGCGGACCTTGAGGTCGGGGAAGTGTTGCAACAGGAGATCGATGGCGGCTAGCGACTCGTTGGTGGAGACGTCGCCGCAGCTGGCCATGACGACGTCGGGTTCCTCACCTGCGTCGGTGGAGAACTGGGGCCAGATACCGATGCCCTTTGTGCAGTGCGCGATTGCCTGTTCCATTGTGAGGTATTGGATATGAGGCTGCTTGTCTGCTACGACGACGTTCACGTAATTCTGCGACTGGAAGCAGTGGTCCATGACCGAAAGGAGACAGTTTCCGTCAGGCGGGAGGTAGATGCGGACTACTTCCGGACTCTTGTTGCAGATAACGTCGAGGAAGCCAGGATCTTGGTGAGTGAAGCCGTTGTGGTCTTGCCTCCAGACGACAGCAGTCAAGAGAATGTTTAGCGATGGAACCTTGACACGCCACTCGACTTCTAAGCATTTCTCAATCCACTTGCAGTGCTGCACAGAGTGTCAGTAATGAATTATTAGTTAAACGAGGGATCACATGAGTAGACTTACCTGGTTTACCATGGAGTCGATGACATGGATGAAGGGTTCGTAGCTGTTGAGCATTCCGTGTCGCCCACTCAGGACATAGCCTTCGAGCCATCCTTCGCAGGTATGCTCAGACAAGATTTCCATAACTCTTCCGAAAGGAGATAGATTTCCGCCGTCTTCATCTTCCTCGAAATACTCGCCCATCCACACCTTCTTACCAGCCTCGTACACGGCTGCCAGCTTGTTGGATTCGGTCTCGTCGGGACCCATCAGGCGGAAGTTATGGGGGTTGTTCTTGATGATGTCACGTAGGAACTTGGCGAAGTTGGCCATGCTGCCTTCTACAGTGGCGCCAGACTTGTCTACTTTGATGGCGTAATCTCTGAAGTCGGGCATCTTGAGCGGTACCGATAGTAATCCACCGTTAGCAACTGGGTTCGCGCTCATGCGCTTGTTGCCGGTAGGGCACAAGGCTTTTAGTTCGGGGGATATTCTGCCTTCTTCGCCGAAGAGGCGCTCGGGCTCGTAGCCACGCATCCATTCCTCGAGGGTCTTGAGATCTGCTGGGTTTGTTGTAGTACCGGTAATGGGCACTTGATGAGAGCGCCAGAAACCACTGAGGTAATGTCCATCAACCTTGCGCGGCGCGGTCCAGCCCTTCGGCGTGCGCAGGACAATCATAGGCCACCGTGGGCGGAAGGGCTTGCCGGAGTCGCGAGCTTCCTTCTGATATTTGCGGATTTCTTGAACACAGTGTTCGAGCGTGGCGGCCATGGCTTGATGCATCGTCTCAATATCATCACCCTCAACGAAGTATGGATGCCAGCCGTAGCCGTAGAAGAGCTGCTCGAGTTCTTTGTGCGAGATACGAGCAAGCACGGTAGGGTTGTTAATCTTGTAGCCATTTAGGTGCAGCACTGGGAGAACGGCACCGTCGCAGATGGGGTTCAGAAACTTAGTGCTGTGCCAAGCCGTAGCCAATGGCCCAGTCTCGGCTTCACCATCGCCAACCATTGTTAAGGTGATCAAATTGGGGCTGTCAAAAACGGTACCAAAGGCATGAGAGATGGAATAGCCAAGTTCGCCACCTTCGTGGATGCTACCGGGGGTCTCTGGGGTGGCATGTGATCCCACGCCTCCCGGGAAACTGAACTGCTTGAAGAAGACCTGCATGCCTGCGGGGTCCTCGGACTTCTGAGGGTATACTTCAGAATAAGTACCCTCAAGGTAAGCCTGGGAGATGACGGCGGGAGCGCCATGGCCCGGGCCGGAGACGAAGAGCGCATCGAGATCGTACTTCTTGATCAATCGGTTGAAGTGCATATATGTGAAAATTTGGCCAGGGGCAGATCCGAAGTGGCCCAGCTGGCGGCCTTTGATATGCTCAACTTTCAAAGGTTCTCGGAGGAGAGGATTCTCCTTTAGGTAGATCATGCCAAGACTGAGATACAAGCTGGCCTTGAAAAAATCGTTATACTTTTCGATTTCTTCCTTTGATAAAGGCTCGCCCTTGATCGTAGAGCGAGCCTTGCCGAATGGCCGGATCTCATCGATCTCGGCCTGGTGAGTATCTGTCATTTTGTTTTGTTTGTTGTCTTCGACTTATACGCGCATTCGATAAAGATGGGACTTTTCAGTTAAAAGACACTCGGAAGAAACTTGAGTCTCAGCAGTAAGGTGCCCTGAGTAGCTCAAGATATCGGGCTTATATATAGAGGAGGGGTGTTGTGATGATGATTTACTAGTGGGATGGAGAGGATAGTGTTGACGATGGCGAATACTTATAAGAGAAGACTCTCGATGTGTTGACAATTACATGCTAGAACTACTACTACTCTGAGGTGGTAGTTGGGTTCTCTAGGTTCCGCAAAGCCTGTAACATCCGCAAAAAGTCGCATGGGCAGTTGATTCATGTGAGTGATACCGCGTAGACTGGATGCATGTGCATGCTATCATTGGACTCGGTGGGAAGCGAACCCAAGGCACCGGGTATGTAACGGAGGCGCGAGTAACGTGCAATTATGACATTATAGCGTGGTAATAGCCTGATAGATGGTATAGTGAGCAGGTTCCAGAGCTGTTCTAGGCGGCGAGAACAGTGGCTGATAGACAAAGTTGCATGGGGAATGCGGCATCTTAGTGGTTGATTCGGTATAATGGGTCGACGGTGGGCTGATTTCTATTCTCTAAATTCCTTATACGTCATACACTTTTCTCTCTTTAGGTATGTATGTATGCATCCCATCCGTGAAGCCCGTGAGCCCGTGAGCCCGTGGTCTTGGAGACGACTTCTCCTTCTTTCGTTTATGCAATGCTGCAGTGCACTTTTTCTTTTTATCGATTGTAATCCCTACCTCAAAGCCGACTTTCCGGGTCCCCCTCCATTTTTGTCTCCATTCTGTCTTATTTTATGTACATACTTCATCTCTACGTAGCATCAACCAACCATGTTGCTCACCTTCTACCCCTCTAGGACCCTAAAGCGGTATGATTCTTACCCATCCAGTTCTTAACAATCCCATCTAGATTTCCCATCCTCGACGAACACGTAGGCTGAGATTACTTAGCTTAGGTACCTTCCTGTGAGAATCAGTCGACTTTGATGATCCTACTGGGTTTGGAGACTAACATACCTTAGGTACCCAGTTAATATGCCCATCTAGATCGACCTTTATGAATAACTTCTTATCCTGAACACCGGCCGTAGGAGATGTGCGACCTTTTTGCTTCTAGAATGACTTGGGCTTTCGAAAGGGACAGAGACAAGCCCTCGTCTTCCTATAACTCGCGGGCCGATTTACTATTTGTCCAATCGCTCAAATGTACCTAAGGTAAGCACCAAAGACAACATTGATCAGCGATTAAACATACGACCCAAGAGAAATAATTGACTCGGGCTGGAGGTCTGTATAGCCTCTCATGCTGAGCGCCGAGCACCGCGGCTTGTGGTAAAATTTCTTGGTTCCCGTGATACTTCTTGGGATGGGATGATATGTTAACGCTCAGTGCCTAATTTCCATTGCGACTCTTCCTTTTGGCATCTATTTTCGAGGCTTCATGTACACCCATGTAGCATTATTCATTCTTGGAATAGCTAGTAGGTGTATAGTTTTACTGATAAGACCCGATTCTTGGGCGTTGTAGCCATTCTTACCAGATGCGAGAACCAACGATCAGCACATTGAGGATTGCGAGCGAATGACAGGATTTGCCATGGCTCAGAAAATAACTCTAGTTCCATTTACAGTCTAGGACACTACGCAGTCGGCCGGCGCCGCTGCACCTATCACCTAGGTATCTGCGTCTCTGGATTGATGTGCAGCACCAATCGCCGATTCATGGTGAGCAAACGCGAAGAATCATGAGAAGTGAACTACCAACTTATTTTCTCTTTAGCAAACGGACAAACTTCAAGACACGAGCACTCCGGTGCTGTTCTCCATAATTAAGAAGCATTTGGCAAGATGAAGGCCTTCTCTCGTCTAACTACTTCGCGTATTGAATTTTGAAGTGCGAACCGGTCTATTCTCTTCAATTCTTACTGTGTGAACTAAACAACAGCATTTACTTCGTGCAGGACGAGCTGAAAATGATTGTGCCAGGCAAATTCATCAAGTACGCGAGGATAAATTGATGACATTTTTATACCCTCATTCTTACTCTAATTCTTTACTTAATTCTCATAGTAAACATTTAGTTCAAATACCTACAATATAGACCAGTTACTATCATGCACAGCCCCTAAGTTATATCTTATTGGCTGGATGTTTCTGGCGATTTAAATAGGTCGGTTTAAAAGTGTGGGTGAAAACGAGTCATAACTGCAAGATTGGGACTACATGGCTAACACATCTCTTAAGATTAGAGACATGGTATACTTGCTGCCTAACAGGCAGGCTCTAAGACGAGGACTTGTTACATAGTGTATTATCGTCAAATTTAAATTCTTCTTCAACTTCGAATTACGATAACATAAACTTGCCAACATGGACAAATTGCCTCAAGAGCTCTATGACCATGTCATCTCCTTCTATCTAAAAGACTTATTAATTTTTCACCCGGCTTTCCTGGCACTCGCAACTGTGTCCCGCAAGTTTCAAAACTCCGTTGAACGACATACCTTCCGAGATATACAATTCACTGCTACAGATTTAAGGCTGGACGAGTTGACACATATTTTAACACCGCGGCGCTGCTGCTTTCTACAACGTCTTACTACTAAGATAGTCCTATCATCATACCCCTCTGAACTTTTTACCAAGTTCGAAACGGAGAGGGATCGCAGAGCCAATAACGAGGCCGTGACCGCAGCATTAAAGCGAATCTTCTATGCAATTTCGACCCTTTTCGACCGTAATGATAATATAACACCAATGCTCAATTTAACTATCCTTGGGCCACATTCACCTCCGGTCAAAGAAATAAGACCGTTTATACAATGGATCCCTCCTAATCGCCAATCCCGTATTGGATTTATATTAAACCACAACGCTGCGCGTTATAGATTCTCGCTACTTGATCTCACATCTGATGTGCCCGACTTCCCACCCCTACTTTGTGTTTGAAAGTTCACTATTTCTAACGGGCGTCGCAAATGGAGCCCTCGTGCTGCAATTCTTCTCTCCGCCAAGATGGTAGAAGCTGAGAGCATCAAGTGGGATCTGGATTGTGACGAAGATCATTGGGGTCGCCACTACGGTATGGATCGAAGACAGCGAAACGATCTTGTTCAGAGTATCATGTCAGCAGATCTTCCAGCATCTACCACAAGGTTTTATTGTTGTATACCTTCACCATTGACTGATAAACGGCAAATGCTCCTCCCTCAATTCATCACTCCAGGTGATTATGACCCAGTCAGTTGCGCCTTTCGATACCTTACAAGAAACTATACCCATGTCCATATTATAAGTACCATACATTCCACACTTCTTAATCCTCCGACGGGCGTGCTGAATGGGGTTCGGCAGTGTTGGAATAATATAGAGACTTTAAGAGTCACAGCCTTCATGTATAACCCAGAAGAAAAGTGGTTATTCAAACTTGAAAACGGTGTTAATGAGGACCAGAGCTTCTCAATTCCATTTGATCAACTTCCGCCGGGCTATGGAGACACGAAAGAGGAGTTAGAAGAACGCGAGAAATATTATAATATTTCCCGACACATGGTCGAATTCGATCTAGTTAACCAATCTGAGAGGGTTATGCCAAATTATACCGAGCTGAACGCTTTATTCACAGCTTTCGCGCGGACGTGCTGCCGCTTGCCAAAGCTGAAAGAGGCATGTATAGAGGTAGTGTGTCAGGGTGTCGACATCTGGCAATATGAGGTGGGGTGTCTAGCACCGGGTACGCCGTTCCCAAGAGGCAAACCAATGCCCGCGCATGACATGAGCTTGTGGAGAGTCATTTCTACCTAAGCCTGTGGCAACCCTCTGAGAGTACGGTTGAGGAACTCAAGATGATCGGAAGGACACGAGATGGACGGGATCCCATATTTTTGTGGGGGGAATCACTGTGTTAGTATCGTCTGTCTTTTTACGCTGGATTTATTTCTTATTAGGTTAAGTAGGTACCTAATTTGGCATTGCGTCGGGTCATCACCAAGTCACATATCTATAAATTATCTTGATGCTACCGCTAAGCTAGGCAAGCAAATGTTAAGATCTCTTGGACAAGTGCTACGTCTATAGTAGGTAGCCACTCATATGTACCTCTCCAGCATGGATCCGTACGTTAGCTTACATGGGAATGTGAAGAGATCGTCAGGGTGAATTCCCGTGAGGTCATTCTTTAATATGTTCTTAAGAACGTCGAGTAGTATTTTCGACTTTCTGTGACTCCGGCATTTCGTCCATCATGCTTTGAACTTTCTCGAATTAGAGCACGCCATGCTTAGCTTACCATTACTCCCCTGAATGAGTGATGATCAGAGTTCGTCTGTAACCCCACCATTTCTTGGCTCGCCTACGAAAGTCGGACATCCGGAATAGGAAAACGAAAGCCTAGAACTGGATGCTCATTAATGAAAAATGAAAAATGAAAAATTTAGGGAAGGTATGAAACCGTTGCTAATTTAATATATTTCCTCAATATCCGTATGTAAACATCGCTGGCATGAACAAATACGAAGGTAGTCCCTGGAATCCGGTGAGGAGCATGAACCTCCAGGAGCCCATTAACCGTTTCATGTACTGAACTCGGGGTCCATTTCAGCTGGTTGTGCTAACCATAAACGATCACGGATCTGCTAAATTTGAACATATTGGGAAGATGTCATGGCTATTTTCATATCGTAGCACTGTTGTGTTCCATCATCTTACCAAATACAGATAAAATTTCGAAGGTAGCAAGCTCCGTCGTGTCACTGACTTCAGCCTCTTTAGTCTAAATAGATGTAACCCTACGGATCTAGGCAGACCGGGGTGCATTTACATATCATTGCGTAGACACACCAATCAGCAATCGGGTAATTTACTCCTTTCTATTACCAAAAACTTGGTTCGCTCCTCTTCACGTTCCACTATATCGTAAAAATGACAACTGCCGATATCTATAGTAGATAGGCGAGGAAGGGCGCCTGTGGTGGTTAATGAGAGCGGATGGAGTACCAGAAAGGGTCAGTGCTATGACAAAGTCAAGATATATAAGGCACTTACTCGCTTATTGAGTAGCCTGTGGTGCCTCGAGTACACTCATAAGTTAGCCAGAAGTCTAAATTGTCAAGTAAGAAACACACGATGGGCTTTATTTCTCGATTTGCTACAGCCGTGACCCTCCTCGTAGGCCATGGCCTTGCAGCTCCGGTCTCAGCTAGCGTCAAGTACTGCGATGAGCCCACTGGTGTCTGCTATTCCGAAATATCGATCGGAGTAGCTCCTATCGTCTGGCGTATTGCTATCCCAGAAGTGACAGAGGGCCCTTTCGATATCCTTCTCCAAATTGTTGCGCCAAAGTCAGTCGGATGGGCGGGTATCGCCTGGGGAGGCGGCATGCTGTATAACCCCATCTCTCTAGGCTGGGCGAATGGAAACAGCACCGTTCCAGCCGCACGATTCGCGGCGTGAGTTGAAGCCTCTTGAGTGAAAGACCTAATTAATGTTTGCCTTAGGGCCCATGTCCAACCGGAGATATACGAGTCGGCAAATCACACTACACTTCAGGGGTCGACGACGAATGCAACTCACTGGACCCTAACTACTCTCTGCCAGGGATGTAGTACGTGGATTCATAACGGAGGTGCGAAAGAGACTTTAGATCCAGGCGCGACGGCTGCAAGCTTCGCGTTCGCCGCGTCCGCAACACCTCCGATCGACCCTACTGATCCGGCATCCCCTATTGGCATCCACTCCGAGCACGGAATTTTCACGTTGGACTTGGCGGCTGCTAAATCGGCGCAATTCAACTCTTGGGTTGAGAAATTGGGGGTAAAGCGTTAACTTGGGTTGCTTGGAGTTGAAGCATTTCGGCTTGTACGATTGAAATACAGATTGTATATCGATGGATATGGTAGATGTGGGTTGAGATAAAATCGAGGCAGCTTGCATGTATATATTTCCGCAGAGGCGAAATGCTACGGACAAGAGTATCATTCTAAATAGCGTTTCTGCTTCAATGAACGGTGGTAATACGAATTGACTGACATGTGCAAAGAGGTCGTCTATAATAGCAGGTAGTTCTTCTAGGTAATCATAACTACGGCCTTTCTGGATACCGAGATACACCTGAGTTCAGTTGAATAACATCAATATTATATTTACGCGTGATTAAGGGGGCGTAGATCTGATATTCTATTGATTACAATGAATTGACTTACTGGACGCCCCAAGCATTTTGATAATACGACTATTTTCAGAGATAGGTTTTTTATTATTGCCGTGACATTGTTCAACTCTATGATTGAGACTTATGGTGTAAAATCTCATTGAAAATATATCGATATAACACTAAAAATATCTTTTAACACGACATGAATGGTAGCGGCCTATACAACAGTGACCAATATCATGAAGGGAATGAATGGTAAATTTAATAGAAACGAACTTCTACATACCTAGTAATCTTTTTAAAACCATTCACTCTATACACTACGGGACCGAAAGGATACGGGATCAACATATGTAATATGACGGCATAAATGGAGATCCTATAACTAGCAAAGACGTTAAACGAAAGTATAGGGTAATATAATGGCTGCAGTATCCAGCCTTATTATAATACGATGCATACACAAACGCTAACTTTATTAACGTATGAGGTTCGTGTTGTGTTATCGGTCCCGTCGATACTACGTTCTAGCTGGGTACCAAAGCCATCTTCCCGGATGACACTAGCAACTCCTAGGTAAGTCACTAGTCGATCAATTAATTTAAATCTGTGACCTGCGTATAAAATATTAATAAGTAGAGAGGTTCTTCAACAAACGATCGTATAAGTTTTGATTGTGACGTTAATATATAGAAAGCAATATTCCACTTATGAAACATTCCTAGGTCGATGAGAGAATACGCATTAAGACCTATGTAAGTGATATGTGACTTATAAACTAATACCAGGTCGGAAGTGTGATGAAGGCAATCTAAATTCTATTATAAGAGACCACCACCCAGTCTATCAGATAAACGAAGGGAAATAGGGGCCAGCCCATTTTATGCTACACTAAAGCTCTCGTGTACCTAAATTTCTAGCACAGCAAAAATCAACTAATTTGTGAGATATACACTTAAGCTTTAAATATGAGGAAGTGCACAATTCTTTCAAATCAAAAACAAAGTTTGCAAAACGAGCGTGGCTTATATACATACATGGGACCCATATACCCTGAAAATGCTATCAACAAGTACTATGTACACGAAAAAAATGATATATACAGTGCGGAGATCCATAGCCTATGTTGCTACTATGAGATCTTTGTTAGATGAGAGATGATGGTAATATACGGCAGTAGAAGTAGATACCGCCTCAAGCTCCTAAAAGTCTCACCATCTGTGGATTTCCCTTAAGAAGCGAATCCGCCGACGGTGAGCTGCAAGACCTGCGGCTGCAGTCCAGCGACAACACCTGCTTGGTTCTCGCCATCTGGGTTGACATCGTCGTACGAGAAGGTGTAGCCCCTGCCGTCGATCTCGTGCTTGTGGAGGATGCGAGAGTAGTGGTTCGTCGGGTTCGCAGTGTAGTAACTGTCACTAGCGAGCGAAGGCTGCACGTTGCCGCCGTCTAGGAGCAGAGTGGTGCGGAAGAAAGCAGCACACAGCCTAGGAACGATTGCCCTGTGAACATCGTTGTCGACGTCTTGGATACCGAAGGGACCCGAGTTGCAGCCCCAGATATCGGCGACGGCCGGTCGAGGGTATCCGCGGTTGTCCCCAGCACAGGTGAGCTCGTCACCGTTGACGCGGCAAGCAACACTTCCTGCGGCAGCTTGGGTGTTGATGGTAAGATCCTCGTTAGTGTATTTCTGCCAGACCTGTTCGATGTAGTCATCGTAGTATGTGGCCTGGGCGGTGGGGTCGATGGACTGGTATAGGTTGGGTGCGAGAATGCGTAGCGGCTTGCCGTTGACGTCCGTAACACACAACTTATCCCAGGGCTGACCATCAGCTGCCGCCTGATCCCTCAATTCCTGGCAGATGGTAGCGAGAGAGTCCTGCTGGAGACCCTTTACCTCTTGAGTCTCACCGTTACCAAGAGTCAAGGTCATGCCCATTACTAGACCGACAAAATCAACGAAAGAGATATTGGCGTAGATACCTCCCTCCTCGGTGTTGGTAAGTTCGACGAAGCCCCAGTTAACAGCTGCCGAAGGGTCTGAAGGGTTTGCGGCAGCGGGTTCGACGAGCTGTGATGTCCCGTCTCCGGCAAGGACGGCGAAGAACTGAAGTTCACCTTCGGCGATCCAAATACGGCCGGAGCTGAGATAGTCGGGTAGAGTGAACTCGGTAGTCTGTCCTTGGGCGTTCATAGGGAGGGCGATGTTGCCGCTGATAGGTACTGGCACTTGGCTGCCAGCAGCGTCCGGGCGATACCAAGTACCATCAGCCGAGAGCATAACGACGGCGCCGGAGGCGTCGTTACCACTCACGTAAACATTCAGTTGCCCTCCTCCAAAGTTGTTAACAAGAGAGATCTTGAGCGGGTTATATTGTTTTATAGTCATGTTTTGGGATAGGGCGTTAAAGGTGTGGTTAACAGTATTCTGTTGAGTGATAACCAGATCTCCTTTTCCCCCGGGGCTTACAACTATAGGCATGGGTGTTGCGATAGTGTGAGCAAAGAATGCTGTAGCAGAAGCTACAGCCAAGTTGAAAAAAGCACGCATGATGAACTGGTTGTATTCTGAGGTCTGGCTAGAAGCAGAGTTACTTTCGGTAACGATCGTTTTGGTAATAAGGAGTGTGTATGCGCATCGAACTAAGGAATGGACGCCTATTGCCTGTGGCTTCAGCGAGAAGAGAGTGAACAGTTCCAAAAGAGAACCAGAAAATACTTGCTGTACACCTACGGGGTCATACTACGGAGGAGAGCATAACACGAAGGGCCGGGCCCGTGAAGAGTTATATACGTAACCATGTCCTAATCGTTAGTGATGCCTCTTAACTTACAAGAAACGTTACGATCCTCTTGTTACTTAGTTACATTCGCCCTATAGACCTCACACGGACCAAGATGTGCACATAGCACCTCGATGACCTTCCCTTTACGGCCAAAGAGGATCTGTCAATGGCCCTGAAACTAGCCTCATGGAGAGCAATGCTGCAAGTAAAGCGAGATGGCTTTTTTTTGTGCAGAGTAAGGTTTGTACATGTTCTGCATTAGACTAGGGCTTTATTTCCGAAGGATGTGTAGGGGCCAGGGGGGGGATCTGGAGGTTGTTCCAAAGTTGGAGAAAAAATAGATGCCCCCGGGAGCTAGGATCTGAACTGTTAGTCCGCAGAACCTCCGTAGAAGCGCCTCTCTCTAACACCTTACCTTCCCTTAATTACCAAAACCAATTTCCAAACCGGTGATCAGCCAATAAGAAGCCTAAATCGACCACTGTAGGTATTCGCATGAACCAGCCTACTCCAACGCCTCCTACAGAAATAAACCTCTTGATTGGAGGCATGTGATATAACGATAGACTTTACGATGAGTTTCGAAAAGTTGAAATTCTATCATATAGGTAGGAGTATTTAACTCTGCACCAACTGGTTCTTTTTACCGATCGTAGAATTAGGATTTACAGGGTTTTATATATGACGCCTTAGATGCATCAATATGGAAGTTTATATAGTATAGGTATGTATACTTACATATAGCCATACCTACCTGTGCCTTGACTAATTGCAGTCCGTTCAACAATGAAGAAGAGTAACCATCTCATCAATGTGCATTTCCCCAACTCTATGACCTACTGTAAGGAGCAGTCGTCTTAACTGCAGCCATGGCGGTCATGCTGTTTAACAGAGTGGTATATTCCCAATGGCCTTTATTATTGAGACTATTCATCAGCGTGCATGTTAGGCCGAACAGAGTGCGTGATCATCAGTGAAGTAGGATCCCAGATGCAAACAATCTGATTTCAGATACTCGACCTACTGTCTACAAACTCTGAAAAAGGATAATCGTTTGTCTGGCTGATGGATGTACTCTACTACGTGGTATAGAAAAGCTCAGGCTGCAGCCTCGGGAACGGCCATATCGGCACGGCATCTGAAGGCTTCTAATCCTAGTCGCCTAACCTAGGTATTCGCTTACCCAGGTAGCCAGACACAGCTCTCATCCGATGTCTTATGCGCCATCGCCATTAACTTGCACCGCCGGTCATCTCCATATGTCGAAGTTATACCGGCTTGTCGACCTGTCAAGTCAATTTGGGTTATCATCGGCAGTATTAGGCACCTAGGTAGGCATACCTACCTACCCTGAAAATGGGTGACGGGAAATAAGCATTCAACCTCCCTTCGCCTTACTATATTTAGACACCGAGCCGTAGCTACGCCCGGTACCCACAACGCACAGGTATCACCCATAGGGCGCCGTCGTATATAGGAGCGTTGTGCAACTCTGTGCGACTGGGAAAATCGAGTTGGCTTAAGTTCCCGGTTTGGAATATTTAAGATATCTATATGAGTGGGATTGCGGAAGTTCATTCGTCAAAAATAAAAATCGGCACTAAGTGTGAAATCCCTCCTTAATAATTTGGTCCGCGTAAGCCGATATCCCTCTCGAGATCTGTAAGGGAGGGACAAGCAGGATGGTCGAAGCCGCAGCACGTGAGATAATGATCGCCAACAGCCATCAGTGTTCGGGAAGGAGACGACATATAAATAAATGGTAATTCGTTTCTGCTTATTTAACCAGTCGTGTTATTCTCCCGCCAGCCCCATTCGCGATGCTACCCTGTTTCTGCAGGTGCCGGATTCTGACCTACCGGATCGAGCCTATCAAAGCCAACATAACCCCTTTTCGACTTCGAAGAGGTCTGCCGCATCCGAACATGAATGAAACAAGCCTTACTCAAGTCTAGTCAACCAACGCCTCTTAAAAGTAGCTATGTACGACATAACAGTGGGCTGTTGGATACTTCCGGGCAATTGTCAAATATACATGTAGATCCGGGGGTGGACAACATGGGCCAGGGTACGGAGCTAAGGCTATCGGCGGGTGGCACGGCGCCAATCATCGATCTGCTCCCGGGGCTCAGCTTTTATCTTGAAACGGATTTGTTTCAATGGGAGGGAGGTAACACCATTTTGGGCCGGAGATGCGGTCGCGTCGAGTCTTCAGCTCTACTTTACGATAAATATTATATGAGGACATATATGAGGACATGTATGAATTCATACAACGCCGCACTAGTGCTTGCTCGACCAAATACCACCACCGGCAGTTTCGCTACGTCATATGAATTAAACAGCATACATAGAAGGATTGAAGGGCATTTACCGAGGGCCCGGGTCAATCATTTACCTGAATCGGACATACATATCTTATGGTAGCCAGAACCGAGAAGGGCAGCAACTAATGTTAATAATAATCTAAACATTTCAACTAGCAGTAGCATCAACTACCACGATTCTTCTATATTAATACAGCTTTTTAAGGGGAATTAAGTTAGGCATTTACCGCCCCTAAAAACCAACAATGTATTTTTATAGAATCAAAAACCTTCAACTAATCCTTCGTCTAAAAACTCCACTTCGTGGGGCTAAGGCTGAAGGTTGTCTAACGGAAACTCAAAGGATCCTTCCTTTTACTCAAAGTACGATGCGAGGCTATTCTTTTTGTCCTTTGGGAGAGAACAAATCCTCTCAGTACGTGCCGCAACGTGGCCAGGCGGTAAATGATTTGCAGTAGCCGCAAACCAACACTCTGCTTTGGATCTCTTAGCGAAACAACTTCGTATAACAATATAGGACTGCTAGATCATCGTGGGGTTCGTGTTAGATACTATCTATCAAACGCCGGAAATTCCTATAAGCCTACTCAACGACCCTTCCTAGCTGTTATGAGGTGATTTGTATTTTGTAAGTTACCGTCTCCATGTCTCGGTCCTCCCTCTTTGATGCCAATGGCTTAAGTTCCCATCGTCATCCAGTAAGGAAACAACCTCACATTGCGAGTTGCGCATAGTATCCTCACTTAAGTGACTAATAGCGCTTCCACGACTTCTAGGACGTTGTTCGCTGCTTGAGCTCTATAGGCCAGAGATTCTACATGTAGTAACTTTTCGGATTAAAGGACTAGTATGTAGCTAGAGATACGAACGCAAGTAAGTTGATTAATATAGAAAAACCATCATTGAGAAGAGAATATCGTCATTAATCAATAAAAGACCTAGTGCTTATAGCTCATACTTGGGAAGCTAATATCTATTCGTGTAAGCCTTAGGTAGCTACCTAAGGCTTATCTATTTCATTCCTTGCAGACTATTAAGATCCAATATCAACCTGTCATTGTCATAGATAGCCGTAACTGAAATCGTACTTCGCTATTTGAATTGGAATAGCTGTATATCTGTTAGATCATATTTACTTTTACCCCTTTGACTATTCCAGCAACTATTAAGTGATAGGATAAGAAAACGAGGGAAGGGGTTAAGGGGTAGCTGACCTTGTTCTTGTTCTTGTTCTTGGTGATGGATCCGAATGAAATCTCAGATGTATCCTCGAAACTCTGGGGGTCTTCTTCTAACAGCTCGAGGTCCCCCTCGTCAAGAAATCTCATTTCCATCTGTACTTGCTTCCAACCATCTCCCTCCTGTGTTTGTATTTCAAAGGGCTTCTCTGGCTTTATAATCAGCCCAGGGAGCTTGACTTCGCACTGCGCATTGAAGCGGTTCGAACGAGAGACTTTGTTCTTCTTAGGATCCCATCGCACCCAAGGAGATGTAACGCTGGCAGGCCATGTATCTTTCACGTTAAGGCCTACTGGCCTCAGAAGAAATCCGTAGCCAGCATTTGAGTCTTTGACAGTTGGTCTCGCGGCCACAGGTACAACATCAAATAACGTTTCCACCTTACCAGGCTTGCCTACCCGGACCCGACCCTCGTTGGGTGTGGTAATATTTTTCTGTGGCAAATGAAGGTGCATACTGTAGGTTGAAGGGTTACAGCAATGAAGTGATTTTCCATGCCAACCAACATTAAGCCATTTAAATATGTCGCGCCAGACATTGCTGATTTATGAACCATTATCTGTCAGCTTTACAATCCTACAATTCTAGTATCTTCGCCGTTCCTTTCAAGTCGGAATGCTAGGGTCGTCACACTTACTGCTAAGCGTCAGCCACCGCATACCATACGGAGGTAGTGTAGATACTATTCTATAATGGGGGGTTTGAAAGCAACGACAAGGTACTTTTTATACATACCAGATTCACGCGTGTTCCCCTATTGCCTGCGGTCTCTTTCGCTTCTCCGTAAGTGCTTGGGTATGAATATGTTAGTATCTAGGCCGCCAAGGGTCACAGAAGTAGTAAGGCAACGCCCAATAGGTTAGATAGGTACAATAATATCAAGGGAGAGAATAAGGAGTAAGTGGCAGAAAAAGAAGAGGAGGATCTTAACAATGATAACAAACTTACTGAATTGCTACAATTGTCTCAACCCCACGAAACCCCACCCAGACAGGTCCACCGCTCATCCCCGGTTTAGTATTAGCATCGTAGCGAAGTTGATGTAAGAGTGTTCCAATACATCTGCCCTCCGATCTTCGCGGCGATTTATCAGGCGGCAAGTCTTCGGGTGCATATCCGCAGACATACACCATATGATCCCGGAGAATGTCCTTACCTTCATCTTCGGTATAAGCTGCGCCTTCTCCTAGTTGTGGTGCGAGGCCTAACATAAGATGAAATCCAAAGCCACGATGTCGCTTAGATGGGGATCGTTTTAGAAGGATAGCCCCATAGTCGTAGATTTCATTCAGCTCGTCAGGATCCTCGAAATACCTCCGGCAAACACGAATCATTTCCGGTTGTACGTCAATATCCTTCTTCTCGAAAGGGTCTTGGACAATCTTAATATTAGAACAGTAGTGTTCTGGTTTGTCAACGAGGTTGTGTCCAGCTGTGAGAATTATATCGTAGGAGGCATTAGGAACATTGACATAGAAACCACTACCATGTTTTTCACCTTTACCAGTTTATACCGAATGTTTGCGTTAGCTCTCACAAATCTAAAGGCATTCTCAACATCAGGTATTTACTCACTTCCAAGCTTCTCGAAGGTCAGTTTAACCACCCAATTTTCCCACCGGCGTGCTGGTGTGGATAGGTCTATTCCAAACCGCTCGGTTACATATGTCTCATCTCTTCGTTGAGTAGAATGCCAGTATTGTATAGGGACCTGGTAGTTTTCGAGATCGAAATCTATGAAGTCTTGCTGTTTATCGTTTCCCATAGCTACGTAGATAGCAAGATCTAGGCTATTTTGTCGCTGAAATCGGGTTAGATTTGATATTGATATTAGGAACTTATAGGCACAAATACATAGGTAGATTCCTAAGGAAGGTAGATGGATTCGTCTGAATACAAAGATGAAATAGCAACTTAATAAAAGGTGTGTTGGGCTTCATCCTTACACATGCAATCCGACTCTGCTTATGTCCAACTTCGTGGCATTCTAGCACTTCTCAACTACCCAACTAACCCTGCATGCGTTCAGGTACACCAACTTGCATAGTCCAATTATATTACACCAATAGAACTTACACACCTCAATTAGCTTGATAATATTAATCACAGTAATCTTGCTGATCGGAACCACGAGTTAATATTATCCTCAAATCAAATGAACTAGATAATTCGTTATCATTTCAGCATATAGGTCTACACCGGGAGGCTGACTGTTACAAATCCAGCAAGCATAAGTTCCAACTTCATAATATCAATACCAAATGACTATCTTTCTCTTATAAACCTTTACTTTCCGAGCTCCTCTCCATTTAACCCGCCATCCAGCCTGCGCCCTGCCTGAAGGAACAAGCTTGCCATCATCACTCACCTCGCCCAAGAACGTCTTTTCTTTGTCTCCACTGACACTCCATAAAGAACCATCAGTAAGGAAGTAGCTCTGGAGAGAGCCAGTTTCGAGGTCTTCGGCAACGCTAAAATTATCGATGGCAGTGCTGAACTTGGTGTTTTCAAGCACGTTAGCTAGGACATGGAACGGAATGGCCCCACTGGTTAGCAGAGGTACTTCAACAACCGGATATCGAGGGTTTCATTTAGAATTCTCACCTTTCCAGCTGCCGGTACTGGAGTTGAAAACTAGGTAACCAATCCCGGATCCCTTATTCACGTAGAAGAGATGAAGCTTATCGTTAATAATCTCCAGGCACTGGGGTGTTCCCACGATGGGATCGCCATCAAGGGGTCCGAAGGAAGTCCACCCATCCTCGCCCGTACTAATTATGACGGATAGACGGTCGGTTTCGTCCTGGTAAGAGACTACCATCTCTCCCTCTGGGCCGATGATTGCACTCAGCTTACTCTTTGAGCTGGTCGTAATGTTCCATTTGTTACCAAGTGGAGTCTCTTCCCACTCTTCCATATCCTCGTCGTATGCATAGCATCGCACAGAGTTATCCTGGTCAATGAAAATAACAAGGCGCTATAGTCATACGGCATTGGGTTAGCAAGGCTACCAGTAATTCTGTGTGGGCATGTGGGCACGTGGGAGGTCTAACGTACAGGCATTTGCTCAAAGCTGGGCAGATATGAAGCCGAAGTATCATTCCTTACGCCTGAAGCAATGATATTCTCGTTTTCTACCGCGTCGCCCACCCAGTACTTCTCGACGAGGTCTCCATCTCTCACACTTAGGATATAAATCCCTCCACCTTCATCACCTGGGAGCTTGATTGAGCCAGCGGAAACAAGGGAACGAGCAAGGTCTTGGACACTCATGATTAAGATCGTGGAATTGATGGATCTACACTGTCTTGTCTCGATACACTTCTCGCTGCTATAGTAATGTCTGCACACTTATAACCAGATTCACCGCTCAGTCTCCAACTTGAGCCTCATGGCTTTCTAAAAGAATACCACTCTATTAGGATAATGACGTTTGCGTGGGGGTATGTCTATTTACACGCCAACTTTCTTAATTGGCGAGGTAGCCAGCTGAAAAATACCCCCACAGTTCCCTTTTAGGGAAGATCGTGAAGCTGAACGTACGACTCATGTATGGAACGCAGGTATTACAAATGATATAACGAGGCTCTTTGGGAGACTTCGTTGGGTAGGAATTCCACCCGCAGTGAATATAAATGCGTGAAAAGTGTTGGCCGCCGGCTCAGTCGGGATTTGAAGTGAGCTATCGTGCAAAAGGTCCCAAAACTAGCATTGGCTACGCGGGTGTCGTTGGGCATATGAGTTTTTTTTTTTTGCTTTTTCATTAGGCTCAAAGTGCTCCTTTCAGCCCGAGTCGCCTATCTATGTTGACTCCTACGCAAGGAGAACCCCCCGCGAGACGAGATATCAACCATTTAGGACAATGTGACATCCAGCTGCACATACTCCAAGCGACGACAAAATGACGACCACGTGTACAACGAATGGAACCTATATGGGGTTTCTTTTTATCGGCACCTGTCGACTCACTCATCAATCCTTCATACACCGAGATCAACGCCTAATGCTAGGGCATGGGTTACATCACCGCCTCACCTAGATAGCCTGCAGCCACAACAGGATCAACGATTGACATATAGCAATTTTATAGGTGTCTACGAGTTTAGCAGAGTTTTACTAGATGTTCAGTTGGAGATTGAAACTCGTATTGTCTGGGAAATGAGGCTCAAAATGAGGGCAAGAGAGGTAAGAGAGGTAAGAGAGGTAAGAGAGGCAGGAATCGAGAATTTCACGACTTGGTCGGCTTGCGGCTCAAGAATCACGATATGTATTTATATGACTACTATTCAGCATTACACTATGGCCTCAGGAACAATATTAAATCCCCATCTTCAAGTTTTCCAAGCAATTATATGCGGCTTTCTCCAAAATGTCTCTTCATAGTGATGCTGCAGCTGGCGTCCTCACGCACGCAGCGCTAAACAACTACTTAAATACTTGCAAAATCAACGAACCCAGCACCGAGAAGGGGAATGGTACCATCGGATTAACACCCCTTGCATTGGCCGCGCGAAATGGACATGTTGATATTGTCAGGCTCCTCCTTGAGAAAGGAGCCATGGTGGATGCTCTCTCATCGCAGCTCCGTACACCGTTGTGGATCATGACGGCGCGGGGACAGGGCGACAACCGAGCCGAGATAGTTCAGCTTTTGCTAAGATATGGGGCAGACCCGAAATACTCTCTCCCGACTCTCCAAAACGGCTCGACACCTCTCGAGAATGAACTCAAGCAGCGGAAGGATCCCGATGTGATTCGGCTTCTCGTCCAGAATGGTGGCAAGACAGACAAAGTTACAAGCCTAGCAGCTAGTCTAGGAGTACCTGAGATCGATGCTGTCATGGAACCCTTCAAGCAGAGAGGCAATGTTCTCGAAACTATCGTTAGCCTTATCATCGCCGTCATACTATACATCTTCGGTTGGGTGCACAATGCAGCTCTTGCAGCTGGAAGCATCTTGAAGAAGTACCCAATCAGTGGCCGCATGAATAGCTCGATGGTAAAGAAAGTACACGAGGTGCGACGATGCAGACAGTCTATGAACCCCTATTTTGCCCTGTTCACAACCTAACTTTCTCTTATAGGCACTACCACCTCCAAAAACCAAGGAAGAGTTCAAGAAGAATATTGGCGATTTCGTGGCCAAGCACAAGTTAGGGAAATTCTTCAGGGATGATAGCCAACAACTACTAGAGAGTATTGCCGCCAAGGCTGTTGAGCTGCAAAGGGATACTACCTCAGTCTTGGGCCAACCGGAGAATAGCGAGAACCTCATCAAGCTCGCTCTTTACCAGCCTGTCATTTATTGCGGTAGGACCACAAGCCCTCAAATTGGCCATGGTTTCGAGCTAACAATATTCGTAGACGACAGTAGATCAATGGACCCGATGGGCAACAATGATGGGGAAAACCGTATGGGGGATCAGCGGGATCTAGTTCGTCGAGTTGCCTCCATATGCACCAGGATAGTACCCGATGAGCTTGGTGTTCATCTTCGGTTTATAAACAACGAGCCGGATAATAGTGACAACCTGAGTATAGACGAAATCCAGAACATCATGGATCAAGTCAGGCCTCTAGGATGCACAGAGATCGGAACTCAGCTCCGCAACCGGATTCTTCAACCTCTCCTATATTCCCAGTACAACGATAACGTTAAGAATCTAAAGCGACCGCTCTTAATTTCAATCATCACTGACGGAATCCCATATGGTGGAAGCAAATCGCTTGAGACACGAGATACCCTCCGGGACGAAATCAAGAAATGCCAGGAGTATCTGCTTGAAAATGGCCTTCCATCGCGAAGTAAGTTCTTCGTTACCCCCATATCCATAGACCCCTTGCTAACCTGCTTCGAAGCTGTGATATTCCAAATCAGTCAGATTGGTAGCGACAAGAACTCTAAAGAATTCCTGCAAAGCTTGAAGGAAGAGAACCTAGAGAACGTGTACATTACAGCACGTGAGTTATGCAAGTCAGCCCTAAAGTGAACAACTGCTAATTTAAACTATTAGAGCAACTCGACTCAAAGTTCCGAGAGCTCAGGAAGAACGAGAAGGATCTCGAGGCTTGGGTGAGTATCTCCATTAATATCCCTCCCTCGTCTATCAGAAGAGGCTAACCGCATGACCTTCCAGCTGTTCGAAACTCTCCTCGAACCAATTCTGGACAAAAGGCCTAGTTAGGTCGCAAAGTTGCAACTATTGAGCTCTAGATAAGAAGGTCCTAGCGAAGAAGTTGTTTTAAGAGTTGGGGCCTAAGGAGATACAACGGTGGAGATGGGTCTGACGATTTATTCGGCGATTAACCTACGCACGCCCTTGCGATATTACCTTACGAAGGATTTCTTTTGTCATGTAACGACTTTCGGTTTTCCTAGTTTCAACTTCAAGGTTGGAGGGCTCGGTATAGCTATTGTAGTAAATTTTCAAATTATAGCACCTGCATTACTTGGTAGCGATGGGGGCATTCAACGGATTAGATTGCGCCATAACTTCCGTCCACGTTCTGAAGTCTTTGTAGATATTTCGTTCCCAAAACTCCAAGCAGTATATGACTGTCTGATTATTAGAACCAGAAAGTCGTCGTCGCCTACTAGCCTCTTAACGCCGGGAAGCAATGGGGAGATAGTGGGAGTGTTGTCGAAAGGGCCCCTGTCGTATTGTGGGTTGGAATCAAGTGCGAAGTCTGCACCGAGGGATTCAAAGCCATGCTTTTCAGAACATACTCTCCGTCTTCGATACAGACCACCCCTTCCACTGGGTATTGTTGAATAAATGGGAGGGATGTGTGACTTGTCGCAAGGATGTGCAGCGCCGCGGCAGGGCGGAAGTGATAAAATAGGACCTCGTGCGTTATCCGTGTCGGTTACGGCTATTCGACCGTTCCAGATTTGGCAGGCACTTCTATGGCTGCTATGATGATAATGGGGAACTGTGAAAGACTTCGTATAAATATTAAAACACACTGATATAAGGCTGTCGCCCATGGGATAACACGCGGGCTCGCGGGTAGTTGCATCTAAACTCTGAGTAGCCGGAAATATAGCTTGCATTAGGCAATATCCGCCGTAAGAATCTACCTTTTCCCAACGAAGGTTCGTAAAATCGAGGGACTCCATGGTAGATTCGGGACAAGTATTTCTGTCTAAATAATAAGTCTCTACAAGTACGCCGTTGCGGATTTCGTGTACTCGGAGCTGCTTCATGGGAGCGGGGGTAAGGGTAATGACAAAGAAGATGTTATCCTCGGTCGGAGAAATAATAAAATCCAAAAGCATGCCGCTTTGAACGAGGCGTGAGCCAGCATTATGAGAAGAGACAAGCTGTCCGGGAGTAAAGTCGTATATATGAGATGTACCAAGGGGTCCCTTAGTGTAACAACCAGTTACATCAATATGTTCGGGTTCTCGATCAAATCTCCAAATAAAGAGTTCTGCATTCTTAGTAACGATAAGAACAGTCTCTCCTTCCGCAATACAGCGAACGAACTCCTCTGGGACTCTGGTGGAGTGGAGTCTATCCAGTTCGAGATGCCACGCATGTAGTATCTTTCCACGCCCCATGAGAAGTAGTTTACCACTCATGGCTGTCTTGAAACCCTGCTTCTCTCCGCGATGATTCGGAAATAAGTATGCCCGTCGCTTTCTCGTGCGTAGATCATCAACAACGGCGAAATAAGGGAGGACATACGCTTCAGGCCACCACGCCATTCGGCCATTATTGTACATCATAAAACGTGGGAAATAAGTACCAGGGTCAAATTCCAAATCATCCACATTCTCGTAACAATGTATGCCTCCTTCCAGCTCGGGGACGCCCTTGCTTAGCGTGAAGAAACGGTCGGAGCCCAAACACATCTCATGATGTAAGGCGGAGGCGAATCTGCCACTCACTCTTCTCTGAATTTTATGTAAAATGAGTCGGAACATCTCGCCCAAATCTTGGCCATCGGTAGCCGAACTGCGGATGTGGTTCTCCAAACCCGGGAACCACCGCCGAGCGAGCTTAGGCCATATTTCGTCGCTCAGCCAAACACTACGCCAATAACGACATGCGCTGAGACCCGCGTCTATGTCTTTTGGCTCGAGATAGACAATAATCAGAGCATGCATCTCAAAGGGAAGACGACTAACGATATCGAGCTTTATGTTTCTTGAGCTTGAAGACGACGTACGCGTACTTCCCGAGTGCCGCAGTTGTGTTAAGAGCGACTTCATGATGTCTCAGCCTCAAAACATGTAACCTAGAATGTTGATATTCCCATAAATGCCCCGTGGTATATTTCTGTTGTTGAATTTATTGTCGATCTGTATTAATGCATGTATAATAAATAGTCGGATTATGGCGACTGGACCATTGTATCTAAGTTAGGTACCTAAGGTAAGCAGTCTACTGAAAAAAGAAGAATAGACGGTGAAGGGCTGTTGGTTACAGAGACAAAGTTAATAAAATAGTACTTCAGCTTACTACACACTCTAAAAATACATGTGAAGTACCTTAGGTACCTGTATTGGTCGAATAAGGATTTTGGACAAAAGGGGGGCAGTTCGAGTTACACAACATCTTATCGTACGTGGTGCACAGTACCTAGGTAGGTACAATACCCAAACAAGTAACTGTGTAGCATGTCGGCCCCGACTTCTTTAGGTTATTTGGTGCATCGCTGGAGTCATTTAATTCCTTGCCATTTTCAACCAAATGGTAGATATGAATCTTTTCGCCGTCAATCAGGAATCTCGATTGACTGAAAGAACAAACACCCTTTGTCGACGCGACTTCAGAAGACAACTCAGCAATGGTCTGGTTCGTTGTTCGCATTCTCGCACTACGCGATGCCAAGATAATACGCGAAAAGGAAGTAGAGCGCAAGTAGCTCGAAGTCCTTTGAACAAACATCCGAGGCTTAAAATCCAACGAGGAATTTAATCTGATGTTAGATGATCCCGATAATGGTTATTATACGCGTTCTTATCGCAGCATATCTCCGATGATAAATGCGATTGCTCCTACAGCTGTGTAGTACGCCCAGTGCATCAGCCCTTCGTCAGCTCGGAAAAATAAAGATATATCGGAAGACTGACCAATTGCTACCGGACGTATTTAGGTAGAAGGATCTCGTTGAACTCAACTCAACCACGTCAACTACGCGTAAATTAGCCGAGTGGTTGCAAGGCAATCCCAGTCAGTACCTTAGGCTTAGGTTGGGTAGGTATTCATAAAGAATACAGACCAAAATCACCAGAAACCCCAGTTACAAAAGTATGCGGCTGATTACAATCTGGAGAACTCGACCCCGAGCTTCAAGGGTCTAGACCGTCTTAGTTTCGCTAAGTCTACAGCTCTAAGCAAAACCAAACCTATCACCTAGTCTTGATTCAACGCCGCTATTCAGCACATCTAGCTCTTTTGGATCAAGTTGATCGACTCAGTCTCAGCTAAAGCGAACTCTAAGACATTTTCGGCAAGAATGATGCGCGGCCGTGATACATTCCAGCCTCACCTATCGACCCTTTCCCTGGTCTCGATCGCTCTCATTTCTTAAGCTTTCCTAAGCTATTAATCATGACATCCTCTATGCGGCCTCCGTGCCTATCTGGGACCCTTAGTTGGCGTTAAGCGCCGAAGTGATTAGCTACTAATACTTGTCATGCTCAGCTTGCGTTTACCCTGTCTCTTTTTGTAGGTGATGCGTTTCGTTCTTACGCATTCTTTTGGCCTTCAGTGTTTGATTGCGCTGTCCAATTCAACATGCGTTTCCTGGCGGCCATCCTATTCCTGCCGACTATTCTAGGAGAGAAACTATTTATCCCAGAGGTACAAAGCGCAGTGAGCGCGCAGCTAGCAGAATTCGGTGAGTATACAAGCGAATATGGTTCGGCCGTGGTCAATCATGCCTCGCCGGTGAGCTCAAGCTCCGAAGTGAGGAAAATCGAAGAACGAGCCACCAGCACTTACTGGTATGAGACGATCTCTCACCAAGGCATATCAGCTTTCAATTCCAACCGTACGACTTACAAGGTCTACCGCAACGTTAAGGATTATGGCGCCAAAGGGTATGGGTAGCTTACCCCCTTGAGTGAAGTACTAATTAGAAGAACAGAGACGGCAAAACTGACGATACAGCCGCTATCAATAGGGCAATTAGCGATGGCAATAGGTGCGCTCCAGGATCTTGCTCTTCGTCCAGCACAACCAACGCCGTTGTCTACGTGCCCGCAGGGACCTATGTAGTTTCTTCTTCGATTATCAGCTACTATGCAACCAATATCATCGGCAACCCGAACAGCATGCCTATTTTGAAAGCGACGTCCGGATTTTCTGGATTCGGTGTCATAGACGGTGCTAAGTACCAGGACGGCGGAGCTTTACCTTATGGAGCGACGAATATCTTCTGGCGCCAGGTCAGAAACTTTGTCATTGACCTGACGGCTATTCCAGCAGCAACGGAGGCGACGGGAATCCATTGGCCTACGGCGCAGGCGACCAGTTTACAAAATATCGTATTCCAGATGTCTAGCAATGCGGGTACCAAGCACCAAGGAGTTTTCATCGAGTCGGGTTCTGGAGGTATCTTAAACGATCTTGTATTTAACGGCGGTTTGTATGGAGCCGTATTTGGAAACCAACAGTTTACCGTACGAAACCTCACATTCAACAACGCGGTTACTGCTATCTACCAGCTCTGGGATTGGGGTTGGACTTATAAGAGCATATCTGTCAGGTATGTACCAATCGATTGATCCCTTTTCCTCCTTAAATTTCGTCCATTTTATTTTTACATGTACTAACGGAAGAACAGTAAGTACCTAGCCAAGCCCTTGTTGAACCTACGTCCACCGCAGACCTTTGCAAAGTAGCATACTAAACGACAATGGCATTCCATTCTTATTTCCTACCTACCTAAGGTAGGTAGGTAGGTAATCATGTGAATACATAGGGCTAATATGATGTAGATAACTGTACGGTTGGTCTTGATATGGCTACCCGCGACACGAGCGGCGAAACTGTAGGATCTGTCACCTTCTTTGATAGCTCGTTCACGAACACGAAAATCGCATTCAATATCTCGCGATCCTCAATGTCTCAGCCGACAACCGGCGGTAGTCTTGCAATTGAGAACGTCTCCCTGAAGAATGTACCGACGACTATCCAATACGGCCCAACCAAAAGCACCCTACTTGCGGGTACCACAGGGTCGACGACAATCACCAGCTGGGTAAGCGGCAATGTGTATAATCCCACCGGCCCTAAGACTACAGCCGGTTCTATCACACCTCCTACCCGCCCGGCTGCTCTCGTGAGCAATGGCAAATTCTATGAGCGGTCGAAACCATCATATGCCAATCTCGCCTCGTCATCATTCTCTTCCGTCCGAACCGGTGGCGCTAAGGGCGATGGTACGACCGACGATACTGCAGCTCTACAGAGTGTTATAACCGCGGCTGCTAGTGCCGGTCGTGTTGTTTACTTCGATGCCGGAACTTACAAAGTAACTAAGACCCTCCTTATTCCAGCCGGCAGTAAAATTGTCGGAGAAGGCTACCCCGTCATTATGTCCAGCGGATCCTACTTCAGTAACGTCAACTCGCCACAAGTTGTGGTACAGATTGGTAAAGCTGGCGACACCGGGACAGTAGAGTGGAGTGATATGATCGTGTCTACACAGGGCGCCCAAGCTGGTGCGATTCTCATCCGGTGGAATATCGCATCGCCAGCCGGCTCACCGAGCGGAATGTGGGATATCCACACCCGAATCGGAGGTACCACAGGCTCCAACCTCTCTTTGGCCAATTGCCCGTCAACACCATCATCCACAACCGTCAATAGCCAATGCGTCTCAGGCTATATGTCTATGCACATATCAAAATCAGCCGCAGGGATCTACGCCGAGAACGTATGGCTGTGGGTTGCAGACCACGATGTAGATAACAGCGCATTGACGCAGATCAAAGTCTATGCTGGCCGAGGCCTGCTGGTTGAGTCAACGGTTGGAACGATCTGGCTCGTAGGTACTAGCATTGAGCACCACGTGCGATACCAGTACCAGTTCAGCAAAACGCAGAACATTTTCGCCGGTCAAATTCAAAGCGAAACACCATACTACCAGCCCAATCCAGGTGCGCGACAGCCATTCCCCTTGAACTTGACCATCGACGACCCGAACTTCGACATCCTATGCCCGCAAGGCTCATCGCCAAGCACCTGCTCTGAATCATGGGGGCTTCGTGTTAGCGCCAGCAAGAGCGTCCTCGTATATGGTGCCGGGTGAGTCAATTTCTTCAGCCTCGCTGCATAAAACTCCAACTTGATTGTTTCAATTAGCTAACTTGCAACAGTTTATATTCGTTCTTTAACAATTTTAACACGGCCTGCTCTGCTAAGGGCGCCAGCTCGCTATGCCAGACCGGAATCGTTCAGTACGACTCAGCAAGTACCAAGGGATTCTGGATTTATGGCCTGAATACTGTTGGTGCTTATGGGATGGTTTATAGGGATACTACCAAGCTCACGGACTATTCACAAAACGTTAATGTGTTCCCAAGCACCATCATCGTATTTAACAGTAACAACTAATGATGTATATGGTAAGATACAATGTATAGAATATATATTACTATTAAAATGCATCCCCTTACCCTATGAAAGGGTCCGGGATGTGCCTAATCTAGACTAGTACATAATTTATCTTGAAAGACAACAGCCTATACAATAATTTCATTTATTAAAACTATTTAGGTTAGTTAGGTAGCTACTTACCACTAACATACTAACCTAGACGCAATAGAAGAAAGAAACCGTTTACCTGACAGCATAATGATTTGCGAACCGTGATATTGACTTATTACAACGCCTTTGATAACTACATTGTTTAGAGGGTCGTTCATTGTACAATTTCAAATGTTATGAATCAGTCATCTATTTAGACAAAGGCGGAGTGTATCCAGCTCAGGGGTAGCTTTTAGGTATTGCGCCATACTATTCTGTATTTTAGACGATCTCCCCTTGATCATCAGCAATCCAAGTTCCAAGATTGCAAGCATTTTCACATCTGATTATCTCGAAAAAACTATTTATCCGAGGTAGGTTAACAAGGGTTCTAAGAAGGCATTAAGTAATACCTTACGATTCAAGATGTCAACTTCGGAGAATTTTGATAGGGATGTCGAGATGGAATTGATTTCAGACTATTTACGGTCGACTGGCGGTAAACAATCAATTAACGACGACGGACAACCGGCTTACGATGCGTCTTCCTCACAGCAATTGGACCTTCCTGCGTTTGTGACACCGTTGGAGATAGAACACGCCCCTGGCATGGACGCTCTGTATCCCCCCACGCCGCGTAAGTTCTCCATGCCTGCTATGCCGGCGCCCAACAAACCTTGTAACCCACAGCAGGACCTATCAACCTCAGATGGTCTTCTACAAGAGGAAGACGAGCAAGAGGTAGGTCATAATCCGCGAAAAGTCAGAAGGAACACCCAGAAGGTCAACGGCGACGGGGCGTGTACTCTGGAGGAGTTTTGGTATGAGGAAGGCAAGGAATGGAAGGTCAGCCCGAAGAAGGGTGAACGCACGGCACACAGCACAAGAAAAAAGTCGAAAGGCATGGAGGCTTTGCAATCAGGACCAGAATGCTACGCTTGCGGCAATAAGCTAGGGTACAAGAACCTTATGAACAATGTTCCTTGCAGCGTGTGCGGTTGTTTTAATTAGTTACGCCTAGCTAATAGTAAAATCATAGAATTGCCTACCATAGAGGTAACTACCTAAGGTACCTAGGTAAGTAGGTAGTGTATTATAACTAACCCCCTTTTTCACTTTCCGTCGAAGTATAGTCTGGACAGCGAAATGTGTTCTCTCGTCAGGGCTTAGGGATGTATCTGTCACCAGCAAGCCAATCGATATAATTATACCGCCGTATACCCCTGCATGTAAGACTTTGGACTGTGGCTGGCGGTTTCTTGAGCCATATTGTCGATAGACCGTCCTCGACGTAAAAAAAGGAGATGTGAGACTGCGGACGTGACCATATTCGAGAGATGTTGGTGGCGGCCGGGCTACATAGCCTCGGCCGAAGTCGTCGAAACAGCAAAGGGCGATAAATGCCACATATATTTAAAAGGGAATATAACACGAACTAACATGCGGTAGACGCGAGCGATACAAAGATTCAAGACGCGCTAAAGTGAGATTTTTTTCGGAGGTTCTCAAGATTTCAAGATAGCGATATTAATGGTTTGTGCGCCCTCTGAAATCTGGAGGGGTTTTTTTAGTTGCTAAGGGCAATCCGAAAAGCCTTAATTAATAAGAAGCCCTTTGCTGTAAAAAGCAAATAAATACCTTACATGAGAGATGAGTTGACTTGAAGCAAGAAAAATACATTTGTAGGATGAAGTTGGGAAGGTTGTACCTAGGTAGGTATGTATGTAGATGTACATAGGTACCTCCCATGTTAGAGGTACATTACATGTACCTACCTAGGTAGGTACCTACATATGTAATACACCATGACGTCACCTGTGTATTACGAATTACGAGTTGCAGTGGCCGATCAATCACCTGATTATTCGATTCGGATGTTATTTTTATCGGGGACCGACCGACAATTAGACCACTACTTTCTTTTTACTCAGAACATCCCATTACATTTTCATCAACTTACAATAATCATCTGTCCACATCCGCTTCCCAACTTACACAACTTACACAGAAAATGGCCGATAATAAGTCACAAGATAATACCGTACTCGCTTCCGGAGAGGAGACCAAGAAGGTGGACCCAGTCTCGGAGAATACAACGCAAACGGACTCCGGCGACAACAAGACGGAGAATGCCGCCACGTCCGATTCCAGCTCCACTTCGCAGTCGAGACCGACCAGACATTTGCCCACGCACTACAAGGGAATGCCGAAGCAGTGGGAGAAGAACCGAGGTAAGCACCGGCCCTAAGCACGTTCCGCCAAGAACCGACCAGAGAGCATATTCGCTGTTCCAGCTCCGTAGGTAGGCTAACCAAAAGAACAGTTCCTAAGAAGGATACCCAAGACTCCTAACATTTCTTAGCGATTGAGAGGATAGCCACGGTGTTTTAGTGAAGCCATAACCATAACTATAGTTTATATCAAAATACCAAAATATCAAAATATCCATGTATCCCTATTCAGTCTTCCATATGCCGAAATCGTCTCAATTGTGGCCCTTGGTGAACCAGGACTTCCTCCCTCCAGTCAATCCGACATGTATTCAATATCCAGCCTGCGTCGACTATACGAAGCAAATAGTCGGAAGTCGCCTGCAACTCGGCTGAACCGAGTTCGGAACAGTTTCTGCATAAAGCCATTGTGATATTTTATAGAAGTTGACATGCAAGACGGGGTAAGTTTTAAGTTTTACAGAGCTTAGAAGATGAACGAAAAGGAAGCAAGTTTTCAAAAATTTCAAGTATTAAATTAGGTGTAGGTACCTATGCAGTTTTAATATCAATTCAAGAGGTAAACTTCGCTTTAAAAAGCCGTCTAATCCATTACATGACGATACCAAGTCCTTCAAAACGGGAATCTCCTGACGCCGTACCCCGCTCATAGGGTCACTCATAGGGTGACCAACTGCCGAGTTCAGTAGCCTGTATATCAGGCTATCCCCTCTGAAGTGCAAAACACTACTGTACATACCTTCTTCCATCGATTTTGGCAAGTCGGGGTTCAACGATGGCTTGGTACGTTGCTTGTTAAGGAGCAATGTACGGAATTTATCCAATCAGACTCGAAAAGTCTGTACTATGCTGGCACCTATATATTCCCCGCTTCCTTCGTCGACTACTTGACCTAGGTCCTTACTTCATCTTATATATACAAGACGTTAACTAGTCTCGATAACATAAATACCTTGCACCATCCTCATAAACACTCAGTCACAGTATCGGAGAAACATCATACAAGTTTCCTCGGAATATATCGACCAAAATTGACTTACACCAAACCTAGGTACACTTACAAAAACTACAATGAACGGCAACTCAACACAACCCCGACCGCTAAGTGTCATCGTGACCGGCGGCTCGAGCGGGCTCGGAGCCGCGATGACAAAGTACTTTGCTTCTCTAGGTTATGCCGTCAGTATTTTTGACGTCAACACCTCCTTAGGCCACAAGGTGGTGACCGACACAGGATCAGAGTATCCGCAATCAACTATCAACTTCAAGCGCGTAGACGTCACGTCGTGGTCGGACCTAGACACGGCGTTTAGGGAGGTCTACCAGCAGCGCGGCGCCGTCGACATCGTCATGGCCAACGCTGGCATCTCGGAACAAGGTGTTAGCAGTCTGACGCTCGTCGACGAGGAGGAGCCGTCGCAGCCAAGACTCAGGACGCTGGACGTAAATCTTACGGGTGTGATATACAGTGAGTTTCATCGGTCCTCGTGCGAATAGCTGCGCTTTTACTAACTACTACGGCAGCCGTCAAACTTGCAGCACACTACATTAGGAAGAACAAGCCAGATCCCACAACAGGATCACGGGGTACCATCATCTGCACCTCTTCAAATGCGGGCCTATACCCATTCCCCGTAGCTCCTATGTACGCTGCCTCAAAAGCCGGCGTTATCGGGCTCGTTCGATCCCTAGCAAGGGTTCTCGAGCGCGTTAACATCCGCATCAACGCACTAGCACCCGCAGTCCTCGGTAAGAGCATCCCTTCTCTACTCTCCCATCCTAGCTTCTTCCGGCTTTCCCAGAGCTACACCTATCATCAGAATGTCGTCGACTGGGCTAACAAAACAATACAGAAAGCGGTATCGCTCCATCCAAAGCCTTATTCGAGGAGATGATCGTCACGCCGCAGGAGACGCTCATCAAAGGCATCGCGCAGCTCATCGGGGACCCCAAGATCAACGGCGCTGTGGCTGAGATCCACGGCGACAGCGTGACGCTGCGTCCGCCACACGAGTACGTGGACGAGGCTACGTACGCTAACATTGAGACTTTCTGGAAACTCGGCATTGCTTGAGGTGGTGATTTGATTCGTTTGCTAGAGTCTCTTAGAGAATAGAAGCGGGTAGGGATTATTGGCAATATTCAGCTGCTATGGCGCCGCTATAGGTTAGTCAGGCATTTTCGGGAGTATAGAAAAGGTACTAGGCTTGGGTTCGTGGGTGATGTATAATGTATATGGCTATGGAAACCTGTTTAATGACTACTATCCAGAAAGTATATTCAAAGCAAGCTGTACTGTCAATAAGTGCTCCTTCTATCTGGCTATGCGGTGTTTATGTCTACATCTCGAAGAGTTGGCCCCCCTCCCCGTTGATTCAGTGTAAGAGCGCCACCCATGCACCCCTTTCCCAAGCGTAGCATACTAAAGATAGGTAACTAACAGAGTTCGTCTACTCTACACTGGGGTACTACCAAATAGATGGCGATGGAATCTATAGCAGGCACGAATTCCTCAGAAAGGCATCAAAATGGCCTCGCCTCAAATGGGTCCAAGTCGCAAGAGTCCAAGGACAGAAGCGAGAGGGTTCTTTTTCACGGCCTAGTAATTACCTTATACAAAGGAACTAGGTTTCAGCAACATGTAATATTACATGCCTATTATTTGTAAAGGAAGCCCCAGTTGCCTTGCAAGCACAAGAGCCGATATGTTTAGAGGCGGCCTGAAAAGGCATTGTTGTAGAAATTGATTCCTCAGTAATCACAAACCGTTTGTTGCTAGGTAGGCATTGTCACGCCGGTAACTATATCTTAGTACATAGATTTTCGAATTGTACTATGCACCGTCCACAATAAATATACGATTAAGTATAGGTAGGTAGGTAGTGGCCAACGCAACGTAATTCTTAGCCCAGCTCGAGACACTTCTTTTCCCCCTCTAGACTAGACCACATAGTCAGCCGTCTGAATACCGCTTTATACCCTTTATCAAGGTAACACTTACCCGACTCTACACTTCTAAATTCACATAAAGATAACTGACCTACCCAGGTGCGTATTTCACGACGCGACTTACTTCCACGTCACGTCGCCCTCAGCTTCTTCATTCCTCTTAAATAATTTACAAATCCCGCTCTACTTTGCTTTGACTACTCCGAGTTAGCACTTCCCTGTATGGTGTACAATAATCCCGCCTGTGAGCATTAGAGCAATCCTTAACACAGGTATCCAGGGCAGATAAAGTGGATTTCGCAGAGAAGGACAGGTACCAGATCCATCGCTGACGCCAGTGCCAAGGTCGCGATATAGGATATCATTGTAGGTCATACTTACCATGTCGAGAATTATTTATTATGATATTGACTGGTTCGAGGACGGCTTACATCCTGTGTGGAGCAACAGCGACCAAGAGGGTGACCTTCCAAACGTTGACGTCGACAACATGGACGAAGAGATTTCGAGTCGGCTTGCTCGAGATCACGATGAGGAATCCAATCAAGGATACCAGCAATCCCCTTCGCAACAGCGCGACGATATCACCATCCCTATCCAAGCCACTCTAAACGGCCGGGACGTTCTTTTTCCTATGAGTTACGAGTTACATAGTCCTCCGAGTTACGGCTCACGTGAAATACGTGCCTACTATTACGACTCCGAAGAGGAGAGCTTGAAAATATGGCTTCAAAATAGCCAATTAGTCACAGCGAACACATACTCTTGGTGGTGGTTCCCGATCGTGGTTGAAAGGGTAAACAACAAACTGTACAACTGGGACCTCCGGTGCTATTGGGACTCCGATTCCGACGGATGGACTCCGGGATACCACGACGAGGGGTATGATTCCTACGATGAGCGATACGGTTGGCTGAGCAACCAGGATTGGGAAGATGAACGCGAGTTCGGTGGTGATGAGTCTTTGGGATGGGGTACAGCTATCCCAGGCGAAATTGACGAGAATCTCCCGAACCCGGCCAACTTCCCTCCGGACCGTGATTACTTTATTCACCCTCATCACCCTACCGATCCGTGGTGGCCACTTTCATAGTGTTTTTAAGTCCGGGTATGGTAATGGCTCGTTAGGTAAGTCGGTCCTAGGTTAGACGGCGAGGAAGGTTTCTTGTAGTTGAAAAGCGTACTTGAACTGACGATGTATATTAGGGGGGTTTAGGGCCGCGCCATCGACTATATCGCTCGAGGTTAGAGATACGTTGGCACGAAATAATTTGTAGCATATGAACCACATCGATTCAGACCTAGGTCTGCAAAATGGTTGGGAGGATGGATAAATAGCTAGTCATCGTGAGCCCTATTTTAGAGGTATTTTCCCGCATACTCCCCAATCTAACAAGACGGCATTTATTTCGATATCCGACCTCGTTAGTTCCTACTTGAACGTGACTTGAATATGACAACCTGCTTAGATTTGGCGAATGACGATGTAGTAAGTCTTTGACCTCGAAGAGCTGCGTTCGATATTGACATTATGATACGGTTTGACTTCGTGTTTCGTGGAAGCGCGAGGTTACGAAACGGATGCAATTAAACGCAAACAAGCACGGTCCTCAGAACCCTTCAGAGCAACAATGTGGTCGATTATGGTTGGCCTGCGCTTCCCTCGCACCTCCTGCTTATCCTTAGCTATTAATGTACGCACGTAGCGAGCTGACGAATTCGTACCATGGACTCCTACCTCGATCGTCGAATGATGGATAAATAAGGCATAGCGGCGTAAGATGAATGAATAAGAAAGGCGGGGAAGTAATAAAGTCCGGGGTTTGGCCTGGGGGAAAAGTCTGGGGTAGTATTGGTCTACATTGAAGAGGAAGGTTGTCATGTGATTTGTGAGGGGAAAAGGAGTAGAGAAACATGCCACTCGAACACCTGAAGTGCGTCGACCACAACCAAACTCCCTTTATAATTCTTATTTTGACCTCACCCGAGAAGTCGACTTCATCGTTTGCTTCTTGCTGACCTTCATTTTCGTATTAAAAACACTAAATTGTTAAAAGGCGCCGTCAGGGGTGAATCCTTAGCACTCAGAGCCGACCGCTCATTTGTATCCGTGATTTATAAGCCCATAATATCTTCTCTTGGAACTACTCCCCTGCGTGATAGTTGTTAGAATGCGGTATTTTCTTTCCAGCTTGTTGCTTATCTCTTATACCTAAAAACGTATCCTCAATCCGTATAAAGCGAACAATCGACTCTGGGCGACATACAACTCGAACCCGTATTGGCTCTTCCAAATAACAATGTCCTAGGCGAAAATCTGCCATTGACATCTTTCAGCACCGCCGAGAATCGAGTGGTACTCCCGGTGCTTTTTGTTCGGGTCCTTCAAGAGTATGATAAGGCCCCAGGTAGAACCGAAATACCTAAGCTGAGGCGTTGGCACGAACCGATGCATTGTGGAGACGCTGCTCAACACCAGGCAGAATGTCTTGATGCCGATTCCAGTCGGACGTTCCGACAGTCCACGGTAGCAACATGACACCAAATCCACCATCCCTATATCGTAAATAGGCCTGGAACGGCGATACAATGACCTCTTATTCTTGATCTTCAAGCCCAAGATGAAGCGACATCAACCAAAGCAAAGCCCATAATTTAATGAGCATGCCACCCAATATAGGTTATGTGGGAGCCCAATATTGATATTCGATGCTCGGGGAAATATTAAGGGGTGATGACCAGAACAAGATCAACTTGCATCACGTAACAAGCATGCTCCAAGACCATCGGTAGCTACTTCGATCACACAGCGTCAAGGCCTCTCCGGTTGCTGTCGCTTCTAATGAACCCCTGCAAGCCAATCCCTGATGCAATTGGGCAATTCGGATATTCAACCCTAAGTTGCAGCAATCTTTACAGGTTCTGCCCGGATTATCTCCGTAGGGAGAATAAGCCGGAAGCCTCGAGGGCAACTCCTTGGATTGACTTGTGGCGGGCTATAGGCTCAGCGTGTCCAACCAGCGATACAACATTGTTGCCTACTTCCTCGAAGTTGTTGTCGAGAAGTCATAATGTGGTCTTCGTTGATATTTTCTTTTCTTTGGATGGTGCCTGGATGAGCCCGTCAACTACGCATTTTCATTGTACTATCGGTGCATAATATCATGCTCTTGTCCCTCTTTTCATTGTTATCCCATATATCAGAGCCACGAGCCGCATTAACTTGTTGGTAGTATCCGTTGCGGTAAAAGAGAATAACGAGGATACCAGGCCGGCCATTGTTTCCTATCTCGAGAAAGACATTTGGACATTCATCATAGTCGAGGAGGATATCTTCGAATACGTCCAATAGTCAAGGGCGGCTATTAGTTCAAAAGCAAAAAAAAAAAAAAAAAAAACATCTTGTAAAAGGAAACGATACTAGGAGGGTATTGTCAGCAGCAACATCGGGGATCAACTAATACATATACACAGTACCTTCAGTCATTATCAGGGCCTCCTTCCCTGTTAGCACCTCGGATCGGTCCACAATCAGAACAACGAAACTTCAAGTTAAACTCTAACCTTAACCCTAACGAACCTAGCCGCCTATCAAGTTCTTATCAAGCCATCGATCTGACCTCATTACTTGATACCTACCCGAAGCAGCTAGTCCAAACAGCTAATTATCTATTATTCTACTCGGCAACGTACAGTACTCTCGTCATCCCCCCCAGACCAGACAAAGAAAGGCTAGTCGACTCCGCTCCCTTTTTATTCCCCAGCCAGAGAGTCCACATGGCACCCAATTGTTCTTCATGATTGGCAGCTTCGAGAGGCAGACGAGACATGGTGGGGGTTTTATCGATGCGAAGACAGCTAGAAGATGGCAAACCGAACCGTCTAAGTGGGTCATTGTACGGCTTAACGGGATGTGTTGCACAATCTGTACAAAGTTGTGCAGAAGCTAGTCGACATGCAGATACAATCGTGTCTTGGCCCTGGCCAGGGAATCAAGCGAATTCGGTGGACCAGATCTTAAGCGGGAAAACCGCGCAAATCGCAAATCGTGGGGATGGTCAAGTGACCAGGAGCCCTGCTACACGAGTATGCTACGGATATTTCTTATAAGCATATCACGATATAGGCAAAATATCATGATAATTGGTGAGTGGAATTTCTTCTTGATTAGCCCATCTGGGACAGTTCACGAATTCGTTTCTCGTCATCAGGCATAAAAACAAGAAACAAAACAAAAAAAGGGAAGCCTCGGCGATGCTGGTGAAGATGATGGTTGTATTTTACAGACGCCAACCAGAGGTGGCCTTAGTTTTCTCCCATCGTTACATGCCTCAATGCAATGCAAACCCTCCCCTAGGTTTTTTCCCCTATCCACGGGAGTCTATGGACCTCTAATTACTCTAATGCTGGTTCTCCTATTGAACACGGTGAAGGCACGAAACCATCGCGGTGTACCCCTCACTCCGAATTTGCTCATTCACACGTTCCAGACCGTAGTGCGAACCCCAGCCTCCGTAAGTATGGAGGTTAAGTTGCTTAAGTCTGTTTCCCATATGTTAGTATTGTTTAAAGACAAAAAAAATTATTGAGGGATTTTCGGATATTACGTACGAACTTGGCCATGAGAGCAACCATGAGGTCGAAAAGACCGATGGCTTCGACGAAAGCGAAACCCAGAATGGCGTAAGAGAAGAGCTGGCCGCGGAGAGCGGGGTTGCGGGCAACACCGTTAAGGAGAGCAGCGAAGACGAGACCGATACCGATACCAGCACCGGTCAGACCGATGGCGGCGGAACCCATACCCAAGTTCTTGGAGACCTCGACCATGGCCTGGGCGATCTCAGAGGAGTAAGCTCGGCGGGGAGTCTGCTGGAAAACCTGGCGGGTAGTGGCGCTCAGGATCTTGGAGGCTTGCTGGCGCTTGACGGCCTGGAAGGGAGTAGCATTGCCTGAGGTTAACACTTGTTAGCAAGCGCACAAATAACAAACGAAAAAATTTTCACGCCACAATTGAAGTATCAATTGGGGGCATTATGATATTTTTGATACCTCATCGGGTATCAATCAATTAAATTAAATGTTTAAACATACTGATGGTTCGCTTAGCAGCAACGCTGGTCAATTGAGCTCGCATGGCAGGTCGAGCGACCTTGGTGCCCATGGAGGAGGCGAGCCTGGAGGCGACAACGCGAGCGGAGGCCATTGTGATAGACGTGGATGTGAGATGGAGGGGAGAGGCGTTGGTTACAAAGACCAAAGATGACTGATGAAAAGAAGATGGGAGGGAGGAGCTGGTCCAAATCGTCGAAGGAGAAAAAAAATTGAGCTTGCTGACTGGTGTGTGAGTGGGAAAGGAAGAAAAGGAAGGGAGAGCTTCGGAAGAAACGAGAGGAACAGAATCGTCCGGGTTGGCGGTTACTTGGTTACTTGGTTGCTTGGTTGCTAGTTAGCAGCTGGGTACCTTAGGGGGACACAGTGCAACAGCTGGCATGAAGGTCGGTTCCTTAGGGAGTTTCTTGAGAACAGAAGTACCTTCAGCTGTTCAGGTAGGTATGGTAACTAAAAGACTACCACGACTCGAAACCCACAGGGCGAGTGGATTGAGAAGTGGGACGGCTTAACCTAAGAACTGATCTAGGTAAACTTGTTCACATTTTCTTTTTTCTACTGTGTAGTAGAAGACTACCCGATCAGGACAAGGCTGTTGATTATTTTTGACGGTTGGGTTAAACAAAGCAAGACCTTTCGGGCAATACCGGGTCATCCTATACCGGCATCCCGGACACATTTTATCAAAAAAGCTTGAGGCTTTTTTTTTTTTTTTTTTTTTTTTTTTCATTACCCCTTGGCGGATTTTATGATCAAGGACTTCCTTGCAAGTCTTTTTACCATTATTTTCAGGTTGAACAGGTCCGTTATGCATATTAGGTGTATATGGTTATCTTCACTGAAATATAATTCCTTGACCATCTGAAATTCTCGAATGGCATTTTGTAAAACCTCCTTGTACATGTCCTACATAAGAAAAAGAAAAAGAAAATTCGGGTAACGAAAGAGATTTACGGTACCTAGAAGTGACCCCCACCCCCCCAAGCTCCACTGCATGTCATCAACGTCAATACCTGAGACCTCAAGTAGCACATGGGTGGAGCATGGAGGGAGCACAGCAAACAGGAAAGAGTCGGGACGGAAAGGATAAAAGGCGCGAAGCACCCTCGGATTCCGGGAGGAAGGAGCTTTGCAAAAGATTTCTTTTGGTCTCCGACACTTGCTAAAGATCTACCTAGGAAGGGTCAATTTCTTCTTTCCCTCGGTTGTTTTAAGTTTGTTAGTGCAGCTTCTACAGGTACATGAGCTCACCTAAGCCAACCGGGTCAACTACCTATCGACGCTACGACGCTGCGACGCTGAAGCTTCCCGACCGCAGCAAAACTGTACCGAACGGCATCCCGCCCGATTACCTAACCTTCCTTGCTTGCTTGCTTGCTTGCTTGCAGCTCGACCTTCGATCTAACTTTTTTTATTTCTTTTTGGCCCAGTGGCCAATAGGAACGCTTACTCGGGGCACCAGGATTAATACCGATCACCGCTTGAAAGGTACCGTACCGGCTTTTCTAGATACTGGCTTTTTACCACCCACCCCCTACAGCGCAGCGTATGCCTGCAGCTATGTACCTGTGTGTGGTATGCATCCAATTTCCGTTGGGAATTTCCCGGAAGGATTTCTTTGGGGAGAGAGGGAATACATTGGAATGTGAGGCTGTGTGGGTCGCTCAATGCGAAAACTTTTTTCGAGCCACTCAGGTTCCCGGGACGCCGGTACTGCAAGGTGCGCCTTTTAAGCCTCATTGCCTTGGGATGAAGTATTTCCTATTGAGTATGTAACATCGAGTTCTAAAGTACCAGTTACCTGTTTATTCTAAATCTAGTAAAAAGGGGTGGGTTTGACTAATTGGTAAGTACTAATATGAACAGAAATTATCAGTTAATTGATCGTTGAAATTCTATATCGAGATATGTACCTAATGGATAATGTTTGGGTCTTGAAGCGAGATGGCGCAAATTTTTTTTTTTTTCATTCATGTGACCTGTTGTGTGATGCGCTGGTCTATCGGGACCGCCAATTTTCCGAATATCTTGCGGTCTGAGGTACTAAAGTACTTTATCCAATTCGGCGGTAAGCAAGTCACATGATTTATGAACTAGTTACCAGTATGTACCGATTCAGACTTACACCATCTTTATTACATACATGTAGGTAGTCTTTCTTGTACACGCCAATACATACTATTCCATATGCAACCAACCTGTCAAGTGTATTCAATTTTCTTGAAAATCATCAGTTGGCTTTTTCATTCGATTGGATATTGTTTCAACTTTCATCTCAATAGGATGGTTACGAATGATGAAATAAATAAGACATCAACTATCATACATCTCGATTGATTCTTACATCTTAACCCATGACATTATCTACATGTGTCGGTACGAAGTAATCCTGTCGAAAATTCTACCCCAGCCAGCCAGCTACGTGTACACGATACCCCCGGGGAGCTTGGACCATATTTTACCCCTTAGTATCTGCTGCATACCCCGGTGTGTTACACGTGTAGCTGCGTATCTGGTGCCTTATGGTGCCTTGCCTCCAACCATTCATCACCGTCTCTGGATTCTCGACTATACAAGTCAATAACATTTTGTTCTTTCTCTTCTTCGAAAGTTCTATATCACCCAGTACCTATCATTCTTCCAATATTGCCAGCATTATACATCCAAGAGTGCCTTAGGTATGCAGCCGGTTCAGGTTAGGGACCTCCCCTCTTCGGCCTCCTTCTATGCCGCTATCGTCCAACCGCTCAAACTCCGGTATATCTCCGCCAACGCTTCGTCCATAGTCTTCGGTGACAGTACTTCCGGCGCTCCGGTCTTAGAAGTTAAGAGGCTTGCTCCTGGCCAACATCTAAGACCATCTCGCGTAATCCTTTCCGCCCAATCACCCTCGGTTGTATCTGCTTTTCGAACCGCTGCCTTACGAGCGGAACCCGATATACAAATCGACACGTTCGACGAGGGCCGCGTAGAGGTCACCGACTTTGACGGAAACAAAATAGAGGCTGTCTGCTCCGCCGGATATCGTTCCAGCCTAGCACGTGCAAATTCCAGCGCTTCCATTCCCTCACGAGAACCTCGGGCCATGATGAAGCGGAGTGCCACTACTTCCGCTATGGAACCGCCGCGGCGTGAGACATCCGAGGGGTTTGGCGCTGGGGCTGGGGCTGGGGCTGGCACCGGCATGGGCACGGTCCTCGGGGCTGCAGCCGTTGGTGTTGCCGTAGGTAGCGCTTTAACCTATGCCTTTATGAGCAACGGCCGTCAGCGTGCTACCCCGCGTCAAGAATACGAAACCGCATTACAACGGCGCGCATCTTATTCAGACCCGCAGCCGAATGTTCAACCTAGGTACATTGAGGACAAGAAGTATCCACCGCTTAGCTACGGAGCACGGTATGCCCAGATTGAGGCTCCTGCAAGGAGTAGGGCAGTAGAGGACCTCGACGACCGCGCGAGCCGATACTCAGGCCACTATACCACAGCCAGCCGATCTCGTCGCCTCAGCGAGGCTGGCTCCACAAGGCGGCCGGCCATGACCGCCGACGTAGAGTACATAAGCAATGCCGGTACCAAGTACGAACAAAAGCTCCTAATGGACAGGGAGTACCGCAGCCAGGTGGGCGAAGATGACCGTCGCAGTCACGCGCCGTCGAAGTACTCGGCAGCCCCATCAAGGCACACCGCAACGCCATCCAAATACGCCGCGGAGTCCGAATACCGCGGTCGCAGCAGCTCTAAGCATAGAGCTCCCCGGCCGACTCAGGCCGAGACGTACGTCTCGACGCGCAGCAAGCGACCCGTCAGCACGGCACGCCCTCCCACACGGTCGCACAGCCGGGTTTCGGCGCGAGATCTCGATCTCCCCGAGAGCCGCACCGGCTGGGATGACGACGACGACGTGGAGAGTATCGCGCCCGACGACAGCATCAGCTGCGTTGGCGACGAAGGGTATACCAAGCGCACGCACCGCCACGCGCCGCACGGGACTCCGTCGATGGTGGGCCGCTTTCGAAGAGTTGTTAATGAGTTTGACGGCAAACGCAGGCCGTTGTACGGATCCGAGGTTAAATAGATGGACGACCCGCATGCTTGTCTCCCCTGTGGCAGGGATCTCCTTGCTACTTTAAACCACATCTTTCTTTCCACCCACCTTTATTATCTAACACACACACACACACACACACAAACGACCTATCTCATGAACATTCCACACGACAGAAATTAAAACAAACGATACGACATCGGAAATGATTACGATATGAAAGTAGGATGCCTCATGGACACACACATCTGCATACGAGCATGGGCTTTTGAAATTTCTTCTACTGGTTACATGTGGGACAGCATAGGTACATACCTAGGTAGGTACAACAGCATATGTCTACGGCACAACATTGGGCGGTCTTTTTCTTTTTCCTTTTTTCCTTTTCCTGTTTTTCCCCCCCCTCTCCATGACAGAAATGAGCGAGCGAGCGAGTAATCAGGCAGGCGATATGAATGGGCGGTCTTTTCCAAAAAAATATGATTGAATGGGTGCATGAATCGGTCGTTTATATAGTTATATATTCCCTTTTTGGTTCGGTCTCGAGTTTCGTTTGGGTATCTTTCACTTCTTATGGCATATTTTAGCAAATCATAAAAACAGTATTCCTCTTCTCGATATAGATAGAATTTCAGTATTTTAAGATCGGTGTTCTGTTGCTGTTGTGATGAGTTGTTTCATTTGGATGGTGTGGTGTTGTGTTAGCTTAGATGTAGCACATATAGGATGTCCCTGGAACTGGTGATTTGGTTCGGTATTGTTCTTTCGATGTATGTCCGACAAAGGGGCCCTTGAAGGGGTCTCCCAGCTCACTCCCACCCTTACGTGACACCGATGAGTCTGATGACCAAGTGCTCTGTGTCACTACCATGAAGGCTTATTTCTCCTGGGAAAAGCCTATTCAGATACAGGTACCAAAGCGAGTGGGATAAATCTATCTGCCCCTCTCATTATAATGATACAGCAGTGCAGAATCCCAACCAGAATGAGAATACCTTGGGCATACATATAGTAGTTAGGAATATCTACTAGTATAGGTACCTAGGTATAGCAACAGAGAAGAACTACATAACGTCCCCTCAAAGCGAAACCGCTCACCGCGGGCATGTGAACAATCTAGGCCATGGCGTGTTCATATTGCAACGGCCTGATACTATAAAAACACGAATGCGTAAACACCATCAGAATAACTTTAGCATTCGAATATTCAATATTCAGCTATTATACATTCAAAACCTAAAGCACAGGGGTATCTTATATATTTCCATCCAACTTTTCTGTCTCTCCATTACTCTACTACTCTTCACCCACTTCCTCGCTCTCTCCCTCCCTAACCGCGTACCCCTCGACGAAGCCATCCGGGTTGCACGTCTTAGTAAGGTCGATCTTGTTCGCGCCGACCCAGAGCCTGACAGCTTCCCTATCGAGCCTTACGCGGGGAGCCGTCTTCGCCTCTTCTATTTCAACATCTCCGTCGCTGACGCTACCGCCACGCCGTTCGGTTGACCCGTTAGCAGCGGCTGTCTCAGTGGAACTAGGACCTGCATCTTCTACAACGCCCATCTCTCGAAGCACGGCGAGACAGTCCTCGGGCACGATCCACGTGGCCCTGGAGACTTCCTTGACGGTGATTAACGTCTCCCCTTCACCTTCTGTATCATCTTCCCCTTGTCCCTCCGGTATTTTAAGCTCCAGAAGCCACCGCGCAATCTCGCCTGCCCAGAATCGCTTGTACCCCTTCCTACCAAGTTCGGATATAGGTTTCTCAGGCCCGCCTAGAATACACTCGCGCCGGGAGATTTCGTACGATACACCCATGAGTAGGGCGCCCAGACCCTTGCGTTGCCATGGTGGGAACACCAGGATGCACGCCAGATTATTGTTATCCCAGGACAGTTTCTCCTTTGAGAAGAAGCCTACTACCTGCGGTCTCGTCTGCGACGTTGGAGTATGTTGGGAAGTACTAGAAATAGTTGTAGATGGTTGAGAGTTTGGAATTATATCGGTAGACGTAGGAGCGAGAGAAGGAGACGGTTGTGGATCGGGAGTTGGTGGGGGCGTATAGACGAGAAGAAAGTAGTTGAACCCCGTCACGTCGAAGAAGACCGATTTGTTATCTAGGAATAGCTTCGCGAACAGGGATAGATTCTGACAGAACAGCTATTAAATGGTTAGCATCAAGTCGTGACAAACTCGAAGCTTGAAGGAAATGATGGCGTACCCTATCTTTCTCCCCGTCAACCTCCCACACGCTCCACTCGCCGTCATCGCTAATAACTTCTTCTACCTTCGGCACGCCTGCGCCTCCGTCGCTCTTCTTCCTCCCCTTACCCTTGCCAACTACCTCCGCAGTTGTAGCCGTAGTAACACTCGAGAATGCCGAAGGGACCTTCACCGTCCGCGTCCTTAAACCCTTGGGGTGTTTATACACCCTCCGCCCAGGCATCTCGAACGTCTTCTCGCAGCACCTAACATGTTCCCACCACGCGACCAACTCTCTACTATACTTGAAGCAGCACGGGCAGACATACAAGCGTTCGAGCATAGGCGGTGGTTGTCTCTTGCTACCGCCTATCCTGCCTCCCATCTTCCCGCCGCCATCTCTGCCATCCTTGCCGCCCGGATTGGTACTATTCGATATGTCCCCTAGCACCTCCTTGCCATAGTACGAGGGGTACCACGCCTTGAAGCAGATATTACCTAACACGACCTTATCGATGTTGCGATCTGAGCGCGGTGTGGGGGGAGGCTTTAACAACTTGTCCGAGGTAGTAGGGCGCTTTGGCGTCGATGTCACGAGTGGTTTCGTGTGTGTATTTGTTTGATTTGGAATCTGCGGTTGCTGAGGTTGCTTTTGCTGTTGCTTTCGCTGTAATGGCGGCTTGGGGGGCAGAAGTTTGGTTTGTGGAGGGGATGAGCCTGTAGTCGGCCGTCTCGTCGTCGCTTTCTTTTCTTTCTTTTCTTCATGCTGTGAATGCCCCAGAGAATTAATCGGCTCATTTATTCTATCATAGTATTGCGCTTCATCTTCTCCCTCATCACTATTATTAGGTTGTATATTTTCTTTTGATACATTATCCGCCACAACGTGCCTAGTCGCTGTGGTGCTCTCTTGTTTATTGGGTGGCCTCCCTGCTCTCTTCTTGACTTCCCCGTTTTTTTCCAATATTTTCTCGGTATTTGATAACATTTGAGCCTTTTTGATCGAACCGGCACGTACACGACCGCTTCGTAGTAGATGTTCATCGCTATTGGGCGCAGGATGTTGTCTGGTCGCGCGACGCGGTAACTCCGGTTCGGCGTCGTGCGGTCTTTTGCGCTTCTGAGGCGCCATTTTCAATTGTCCAGTTATTTGAAAGGAAGATTTATATAAGCTGTCTTAAACCATATCCTGTAAGTCAAGAATACCTAAACTCTTAGCAAAAAGATAAAAGACGAATGGTTTAAAGTTCCTTGTCAGTCGCGACAACTGCCTATGAAGTGCTTACGTAACCGGTTGCGTTGAACCTAGGTAGGTACTACATTAGGTACCCAGGTACATGAACATTAGGGTAGATTTGTCTCACGTGATACCCTTTAACTCGACCAACGAACCACCAACAGGCTTTAGCATGAATTTGTTAGTAGGTCATACCTACCTTATATATTCGCAAGACATAGCTTGCATGGTGTCAAAGCACAAACATACCACCGCCTTGATGTCTAAGAGCACCTAATTGTCAAAGTGTTATCAAATCCAAGCTTAACCATGACCAAACCTACACCACACTGACCAAACCATAAGTCAAATAGGCTACCTTCGTGTAATATAATATGTAACAGCAATATCAGTGTAATTATCAAACGCGTACTAAAAAAGGGAGCTGTCCTAACTAGCGCTTGGATTTGCTGTTAAGTGTCCTGGCTTGCTAGAAGAAACCTACTATCTCACACGCTTCTTCCCAGCCAACAAAACGAGGCTTTCTCTCCGTCGATATCTATTACAATAGGCCGAATGACGTTGTTTATATTTGGCCGCGCCAGTATTGCGGCCTCTTCACTTCTCTCGGTCACCAAACTACAACTTTCACCGATGCAAATAAGCTGGCTCCCCCGTTCTCGCGTGCTAAACCATCATCGGCCGAGAATGGCGCAAAGAGTAGCACCCGAAGTCCTTCCTATTTCAGAATACACGGGCTAAATTATTTTACATTCCCTCGAAGTCTCCGCCGAGGTCATCTTCGTCTAGGTCACCTTCTTGTATCTCCTTTGCCATCTCGCGCTCTCGTTCGCGTGCCTCCTGAGCATTCTTCAACTCAAGTCTGTGCTGGTTCATGGGGAAACGCATGGCCTATTCATAAATGAGTCAGTCTGGCTGGATTCGAAGTAGTTAATATGGGCGATAGCAACGTACCTTCACACTCTCGTCGTGTAGCGCAAGACAAGCTCTGATACGATCGTGGAACGCCTCTCCCGGTTCCCTGGTAGCGTAAACGTCACCAACCTCCTTGCTCTTCATGAAACCTCGTTCCCGATCTAAGGTCGCCTCGATGACACCGTCGCGGATCGCCTTGGCGACAATGTACTCCGCGCTCTCTTCACTACCAAGATGCAGGCGGATGCATATGTCGCGCAGAGAGATACGGCTATAGCTCAAGCTCATCATGCGGATGCCAGTCTTGATGACATTCTGGCGAAGGCGCAGGATGAGCGAGTACGTCCCGTCACGGCGGAAGGTGTCGGCATGGTCAGCGATCGTCACCTCGAAATCCTCCAAGTTACCTACTCGCACAGCTTGGACGAGCAAGAAGTATGGGTGAAGGGCTTGCTCCATATTGGAAACGCGGAAGGTAGCACGTTCGGGGATATCACCCATCAGCAGCTCTACGACGAGTAGAAGCTTTGTCGCAGTTTGCGCGAAACCCAGGGCGCACGAGCTCGCCGGCGCTTTTCGTGTGGCTGCCGTTAGATGTTCGTGTGCTTCAGTGTAGCGCAACTGGATGGCTCGGATCCGACCGAGGTAATAAAGGAAGCGTGCAACTTGGTTGTTGGCAGCATTCTCAGGGAACTGGGTGTGAGATACGAGGAGATCCGCTTGAGAGATGTGGGAGGTTAGTAGGTAGCTTCGGAGAAGGAGAACGATAACCGAGGCCTGAATGTCGATATCCTTTCGTAAGACGGCAGTCCGGAGAGCAGTCAAGAGGGTCGGGCGGATCGCAACGATCGGAGACTGAGGAGATGGGGGCAAAGGTGCAAGCTGCTCGCAGAATAGAGAGTAGTAGAAGTAGGCCTTTGCGGAAAGCGAATCTAGAGTCCGGCGATTCAAAGAGTGGATGCGCTCCGAAAGGTATTTGGAAAATTCCGCTCCCTGCTGGAACTGCTTCGCGTCAAAGAGATGGACTTGAACCAGGATGCTCAGGAAGATATCGATCTCGGGAATGACTTCCTTATTCTCCTTCTTGTTTCCGTTCTTAGCGGGAGCCTTTGGTTCGCTATCAATCTCCATCTCAGAACTAGGCTGGCGACCTAGCGGTACATCTTCTTTTCCGATAGCAACTAGAAGTTGCTTAGCCACGTTGGCGGATGTGCTCGAGACCGAAAAAGTCTCTGCGATAACCTGGGCTAGGATATCCGGTGTGAGACGCTTCCGGAGGGAAGAGATGGATCTTAAAGCCCTTAACGAGAATCTGGCATCGAATAGAGCTACTGCGCGGTCGAGGAGGGCGAAATTACTCTTAATATCTATAATGGAAGATAATATGTTAGATTGTTATATGCACGAGTTTATTTAGGTGATGACGTTGGCTATACCTGTGATGGCCTGGGTGACGGGGTCGACCTTGACCTCGAGGTCCTCCGGCTTATCCACGTCCATTTCGATATCTCCGTCAACGTCAGGCGGAGGTGGTTGGGAAGATTGTTTTGTGGTCTTCGAAGGGGGGACGACAACCGTCATATCTTCGCCTTCCTTGACACCCTTCTTGCCCTTTCCCTTAAGCGAGGACTTCTCGTCGGTCATGTCAACGTCCTGGTTGTTCCTGATACCGTTCTCGACCGGCTCCTTTCCGTTTGAATGAGGCGTTTTCCCTGGCATATCGGCTAAGAGAAAATCGGGTTGGAAAGGGAGAAAGGCGACTGGGGCCGTTGATAGACGGATGGGTCGACGTTGGGTGATATGTCGACTCTAGGCCGTGGAATGGAGGGTTGATGACGATGACGATATTGGATGCAGCCGACAGGTGATATCGCGAAGCGCGCTCACGTTGGGGAGGACCCTGCAGCAAGAATCTGAACTGATCTGGGGTCGGCTGGCAGCGGGAAAAACACAAACCGGGTGTCTAAATAAAACAAATGAGAAAAAGAAGTGTGCGTGATATAGATACACGCAACGGAAGACGTGGTTGGATTGAGGGAGTTGGTTAAGAATTGGCTGATTATGAGAGATGGAAAGAGTAGAAGGGAGGAAATTGATGTCGTTTGGTCAGTCACAAGTTCCAAGCAAGACTTGGTCAGAGTGATGCAAGTGAAAAAGCCCTGGGGAAAGAGTTGTCGCCTGATTAACCAACGAAAAGGCCGCTGGAGTACCTAGAGCTTTACCACCGTTTAGGTCTATTTAGGTGACTTCAGCGAACCCCGGAGCCCTAAAGGAAGCTTGAAGATGTACTCCGAAAAGGGTACGAAAATTTGGACTTGAGAGTACAAGAATCTTAGCTGCGTTGTTCCGCAGAACACTAAGTATTTTCGGTACCGGTCATTTTCTGGGGCGACCTTACGTCGGGTATCCACTCATCTAAGAGTGACGTTTGCGAATTGGTGCCTGTCCAGACTTACCTGCCACCCTGCCACCAGAGCTCCGACTGAAATCGAACTTTAGAGCAACCAATCTGCGCCGCATTTCTAATGCACGGCATCTACCAGGAAGCCACAGGCCATAGGTACCTACCTACCTAGGTAATTTTAAAGATTGAACTTAGCAACGGCCGATAAGAAATAAAATACATATACATACCAATACCTACTCCCCGTATTTAAATCTTGACCTACCTATACTTTATTACGATTTCTTACCCGACAATTACAACAGCAGCAACACTCGCACCCCGATATCGCGCAATCAGCAATTTTTATACCAGCCTCCATATAAAATTCATTTACGACTTCATATGCTCGAACACGTTGATGTATCATTGCTTACGCTGTGGCCCAACCATTGGCCTAGACTGCCACATGTCCGTGATTGACAGGTGCTATCGCGTATGTATTCCCCTCCTACGATCTACCCGTCTCCGTCTCCCACTCGTTCTCAAGAGCTTTTTGCGGAAACTCTACGAATATAGATAAGTACCTACCTAACCTAATCATGCGGACTAAGACGGTCGTTTTCTACCTGCCGTGCACACTTGACCTAGAATATGTTCTATAGGTGGGTAGTGAGGGCGGGCATGTCGCGCATTTCTACCATTTGATTATAGTCTTTTCGTCTCTTTTAGGCATTTTTTATAAATGTGATACCTAAACACTAAGGGAAGCAATGATATATGACGAATTCACTCCTATACCGGCATACCATGGCCATAGGTAAGCTGGTCATATAAGATCCCGCTATATCCAGAGATCCGACTTGTTTTTCGAGTTGTAATACAGTTTATATTGTCTTTCGCTACTAAATCACCAATACACTCTGGATATCTAATCCGATTGGTCTGGTTCAATCTAGATTTAAGAGCTTGTAGGCGTAAGATACGTTTCCGTCTGAAATTGGTGTTCGGTGAGGACTTCAAAACGATGGCGTGGGCTCTTGTGAGGGAGTTGCATATATATATAATCAATCCCAAGCTCATATATATCACAAGAGATTGAAGACAGGTAAAAAACGACATTTTGATTCAACTAGGTTAAAGTGCTATCCGTATACAGAGCTACGTATGAGACGAGGAAGATGCTAAATAAGGGGTAACGACAGGAAGATCGATTCTACTACGAATGAAACCCACGCGTAAGCCGAATGATATTATAGGTTCGAACAAGAAGAAAGAGAGTCACATAAAAGCTACTCTCTTGTTGCTAGCCCTGAAAGGTTCGTGAGATAAATACCACCATATTACCAGCAACACCACCCACCCCCCTTTAATGCGAAAACGGCACCTCGCCACTTTCTCCCATCCGGACGCCTACGGCCGTAGCCTCATCTAAATCCTCGACAGGCAAGCCAAGCAAGTCATTATGGAGCTCCCCCTTGTAGTCACCGTCGCCATGTGGGAAAAACATGCGACTATACAGCATCTTAGTAAAGAGCTTCCAGTTCCCCTCCTGCAGAGCAGCCCTGCCCTGCCCCCAGCGCTCCTCGGCAGATTCGCGGGTAACAGTCCAATCGGCATCCGCGGTGCCAGTGACGCGCTTCACGCTCTCGAACATATCGCGCTGGGCAAGGCGGAAACTCGAGACGTACACGCAGCCGTTGCGGAACTGCGACAGCGTGGGCGACATATCCGCCCCGTCGTCCGGGAACTCCTTGAGGCTGAGAAGCGCGGCGACGGCCCGCCCGCACTGCGGCCACGTGCTCGTGCGGATGGGCACCGTGCCGTCCCCAAGCTCGACGAACGTGCGCTTGTTAAAGTCGAATCCGAAGCGGTCGGGTCCGCCGCCGAGGCTGAACTCGTACCAGAAGTTGCACACGAGAAGGATGTACGAGCTGGCGCCAAGGCTTTCGATCTCCGAGGTGATGCTGTCCCGCGAGGCCTTCAGCATGCTATCTTCGCATAGCGCGTCGTTGGCGGCGTCGTGCCCGAACCAGTTGGGTAGGATGTACGACACACCGGCCTTGGCGGCTGCGCGTACTGTTGCAGCGAAGTTAGCATCTCAGCTATCACTTCTCAGCTATCACTTCTCAGCTATCACTTCGAGTAACAAGTTCCCAGAGGACGCCGGGGACATATTGGGAAAATGCGGTTAAGCAAGCGATTCTCAAACCCGGGCCGATCCTTTCCAATGGCGTCTCTGGGTAGATTTGGAAGGACATTGGAAAACTCGAACTACGAAGGGTGCTTGTTTCCGACAAATTAAAAGGGGCTGTCAATGCTACATACCAAGCTTGCTGACACTGTCCCTTGGAGCGTGGACTGACATAGAAATGATCAAGACCTGCTGCCCGCGAAGCACCTCTACAAGTTCGGTGTCGTCGTCACCGCTATAGTTGACGCGAGCAACTTGAAGGCCTTCGGGAAGCTTTTTAGTGCTGCTAGGCCGCGTTATGGCTGTTAAGGTATGCTTGCCACTCTTGAGCAAGTGCTCAGTCAGGACGCTCCCTATCTGACCACCAGCCTGCGACTTGTTAGTGATATATTTATCCTGTGCAGAGTAAAGTTGAAATCCCACGTACCCCCACGATGGCGATCTTCTCTATGCGGTTGGTAAAGCCATCAGGCTGATCCTTAGCATAATTTGCAGTCATGGCTGTCTTGGTATTATCCCACTATCAGAAAGCGAAGACGTATGCTTGTTATCTATAGTCATTTCGACAGAAAAGTACGTGCTACGCTGGATATATTTATTTACAGATAATGAAAAAGCCAGCCGTAAAACATTATAAGTCAAAGATACGTGCTAGACATCGTCGCTCCTCCGGAGTTTGTGTTTCCTAGTTTGGTCCGGATTTAACGGATGGGCTTACCGGACCTAGGTTAGGCCCGGGATGCCAACCGAAACGGACAGGATGAAATCGGAGATATGGTCCTTCAGGTAGCGTCTATCAGGAGATAGTGCTAGTGATTAGCAAGTAGCAATATACCTTATTCCTCCTTTTCTATATTGTCGTATTCCTGGCCAAGTAAATAAGTTTGTTACTGTAAGCCCCTTTTTTCGTAAGCTTGTTTAAATTCTTGGTTGGTATATACTTGGGAACGCTCGCGCCTTAATTCGGTGCTTTCTGCCCTTTAAGGCCAATTCCGAATCAGAACTAATTCTTCCTACGAGCTTTTATAGAGACGGCGCTTATGTGAAGTTACTATCTTCTGTTAGGCGCAATTTATAATCTCGAAAGTATATCACCAAGCGGAGGAAATCCACGTTTGTAGATATAGGATTGCACATTAATTATATTACTCTGTCAAGCGTTCTCCTTTTCGCACCCATTTTAGAATCCTAGCCCTCTTCCAGTTTCCCAGCCTGCCAACAACCAGTAGTAGTATTGAGTGGTGACTACTAACCATGACCCCCCCTTCCCCCATACCTAGTTCCTAACCCCAAATCCATACGTAGCTAAACTTGCCGAGCCGAAAAGAAGCCAACCGAAATACACTTAAGAGATGAGATGGCTGAAAAAGGAACATGCTGCTGATTTTAGTGCATTTTGTACCCCGAAAATAACGCCCCGGATAATAAAAAATTGGCTCGATGCTAGTCTGACCAATCGTTGATGGTGCCGCCACACGTAGAATCCATATCATAGTCGTCGTACCAGTAATCATCATCCTCAGATGGCAACGCCCTCTCAAAGATTCTGTCTCCGATCTCAGTCTGCACCTTCTGGTAACCAGCACGGAAGCATTTATGCACGACCTCGCTCGTCTCCGCCAACTCATTATCGTCGATGCTAACCGTGGTTCTCTCGGAAATATTGCTAGCGAAGTATTGCAAGATGGGTTCTAGCCAAACAAGCCATCTCTGCAGCTCCTCGTCAATGCAATTTTGGAACTTGTCCTTACTACCAGACGAATCGTAATGTCCCCGAGCCTTCCACGGCTGTTGCAGAACGAGCGAGAGATGCGTCAAATCTGTAAGAAGCGGATCCCATATCTTGGGGTCGAAGTTGACGGGCTCCATGTACCCAAGCTCCTGAGGGTGCGTGACAAGTCTCAAGGAACGGATGCGCCGTATGTTGACGGTTCCGAACTTGAGAAATTTATCGTGAGAATCGGCGTGGGTATGTATGACAAAGGTATTGCGCTGGTACAAGACGTCGAGAGCCTCGTCGCTGATCTGCTTGGACACGTAAAGGATGCTGGTTCTTCCTCGAGGCACAATGTCATCCTCATCGCCGCAGAACGTCGACCCGGAATCGTCCCACATCGACTTGATCCACCGGTCGAGCTTGGGAGTCAGAGATTGGACGCCGACGTCGTCGCGGAAGAGCAGCAGTTGGAGGTAGATCTTCTCCCGGATCTCCAGGGGGAGACGGAGGAAGATGCTTGATTGGCTCACCATAGTGGGACGAGGCGTTGGATGCTATCGAATTATAAGACAGTCCGGACGAAGGAATTCCAGGGCAAGATCCAAGTTATTAAGATTTCCGTAGAGTGCGGGGACGTTTACATGGAGTTTTTATATTGGCCGGGAATGGGTTCCAGACTCACGTGCTCGTGCTTGTGCTTGTGCTTGTGCTTGTGCTTGTGCTTGTGCCAGTGCTCGTGCTCGTGCTCGTAGGAGTGGGAGTGGGAGTGGGAGTAGGAGGAGTCGTACGCCCTCTTTAAACCGGACGTCCTAGGACCATATGCACGATGCCGAATTACGAATGTCGGGGCTTTCCTTCCTATAGATTCCTATGGATTCCTATGGATTCCTATCGAGGTGTCACATGAAATTTATGATTCTTGCTTTCTGTCGAAAATATAGGATTCCGTGTTGCTGTTCTACTTTACTGTCTCGATGTTAATTGGCGTATGAGATTAAGGTCGGGAATAGTAGAGGGGTAGAATTTCTCGGTGTGCAAGCCGTGTCACGTTTATAGATATCAAAGCTTAGACCTTGTTACCTTGCTTGACGCCTCTCGGCTCGGTCTGCATCATGTATGTTTTGTTAATAGTTACGTCATCTGTAACGTAATTCCGGACTATTGCATCTTCTCCAATACAATATCACCTAACTATACATTTCCTTTTTTTTTTGTCTTTTCTTTTTCTTTGTCTTTTCTTCTTCTTCTTCTTCTTCTTCTTAGTCTTTGCTTCTTCTTATAGCCGGTCAGTCGTATCCTTCCTCCTTATACAGCCCCTACTTATACGTACAGCCAACCTGGTCATTTACGGGAAAATACTTGTAAGAACCTCTCCGTATTCTGTGTACGATAACCCCATTTTTTCAATGTCGTAGTCGTTCCAATACCCTCCCCCAGCCACCGCGCTTTTTGAATTCCAACTTGTGAACTTAGACCGTGCTTGTGTAGCCGTCGTCCCCTGCGACGGCTTAGAGTCGTTTGTAACCCATACCAGCGGTACCACCTTCATGCCTAGAGCGGTTTGCCAGCTGCCCGGGTCGTTGCCTGAACCTCCGTCGTCTGCAACAAGAGTCAGCAATTTCTTCCTTCTTCCATTAGTAAGACGACAGATGAGGTCAGATATGTCACGGGAGTAATATCCCCTTAGTCAGTTCGACAATGAAACGTCGGCTCCCGAGACAACCTAAAAAGTGGAAAGGGGGAAGAGGGGGGGTGGCTTCGATGTTACATACAGCATTGCAGATACATCCTATCCAACAGCAAGTTCGGTTCGTGGAGACCGTTATTACTCTGCGTCGTGACGTTTTTCCAGAAGTCTGAGTTTGTATACGGAGCGCCCGTGTATTTATATCCTATCGTGCCGAGCATTTTCGCAAAGGCGACAGTACTGGTGACATCGTATAGAGACTCGTCGTCGTTGTTGACGGCGTCGAGACTCCATGCTGTCTTTAACGCCTTGAAGTTGCGGTAGAGCCTCGTCTCGGCACCGGTTCCCGGGCTGCTCGTCAGTTCGCGGACGTGCTGAGAGTTCATCGAGATCTCGATCCGGTTAATGCCCGTGTCGCCTGTCTTAAACGAGCGGACCTTGTCGGAAAGCGCTGTACCCCCTACATATCCACCGTCAGATGCGATTAGTGTGTCATTGCTTCCTGGAGTGTTCGAGTAGTACATGATGTCGCCATTTTCGAGGATTCCGACGCCGAAGATGATGACCGAGTTGAAGCCCGAGGTCTTTAAAGATGTCGTGTTTGACTTGAGCACGTCTTTGAATAAGTATATAGCTCTTATGCTACTTGATGCGCTCGCATTAGAAGCAGCGGAAGCATGCTGGAAAAAAAGCTCGAATAGCAGAGCTCTTAACAAGACGTGGAATAGCATCGCTATTGGCTTATGCAACGTTTGCGTCCGACGGGGTATTGGTCGTGATAATCATTCAAATCTGACTGTGGCACTTCTTTAGTTTAAAATACTTTTTTCTTGTCGGGGTGCTGCTATTGAAATAATCCTGGATCGAGCTATAAACAGGTCGAGACTGCGGAGGACCTCATGCGCAATATATTTCCCCGGTTCATGGTAGCATTGAATGCTTCCGGGGAAATGGGCAGCGAGTTTTCTTGAGGTAATGGTACGATCACCGAAAGCCTTTTTGTTTTCGCCAGCGGCTAAAATCCGTAACCGTGATAGCTCTTATAATACGAATGCTACCGCAGCATACTCTTAACTAGATCGGCGTTCACTTCTGTTTCGGGAAGCTCTTCAAGGACATGCTCTGATGTGTATTCTTAGCGCTTAAAACAAAGTGCTATTATAAACCTGTCTCTAACTGGTTTAAGAATCACGATGTCACGCTGGAAATATAATTTAAAGCGAAGATAAACATTTCCAAACCAAGCTTAGCTGCCTTTAGGTACTTAGACGGATACATACCTAGGTAACAACTGGTTCAACTGGTTCTATATTCAAAAAGGGTTGAGAGACTATTATTTGATAGCCCCAGTCTCTCATAGAGTAGAAGGTACGTGGGTCTCGCCAAGGTGATAAGGCCCTTGGTTTCTACAGCTCTGCCAACTCAGTATACTATGAGATCAGAAAGACAACTATCCCAGCCCACGAGTTTGAAATCATAATATAGGTAGCAGCAACCTATGAACTCCAGAGGTCTATAGTCGCGGTTACTACAATCTTCTCTCGAATACACTTGTTGGTTCGCTTGGCTATATGTATATTGTAAAGAATCCCGAACAATCAAGCCGGAGGTTGTCTGATTCCCTGGGAGGTCGCTCTCGGGTGTCTTCATCTTCGCGTCTATGGCGCTGACCCTGTCTCCTTCGCGTAAATCCGAAAACCCTATACCTATAACGCTAGTCTTAAGACCCGGCCTGGCATTTGGATCTGGAAGGGCGACGAAGAAGCAGCGCGTTGTCGCCTCTAATCTCTTCCAGGTCTCTTCTACCTGTACATATCCACTTGATGTGGCATTGGGCCAAAATTTCGTCCAAAAATCACGAATAATTGCTCCGAGCTCGTGTCTCTTTTCAGGTGGCGAACGGCTAACTGAATCGGTTAAAGGGATGCCTGCCAATGCCCAGGGGAGCAGGTTGTTGATTACGCGATGCGTGACCCAATACCAGAGTTGCTCATCATTTATCGCATCGGAATCTCTGGTAGTGTTGGCAAGATACCATTCCCAGACGGCCGTAGCTGATCGTGCAATAAAATCAGGAAAATCTTCGTTCTCACCACGGAACACTGCCCAAGAAACAGTAAGCGGAACCTCAGGCCTCCCATGAACTGATGGGCCCTTGAAGAAATTCATAGTCAAAGAATATGACGCATTACCCAAACGTCTTTGGACTGACTGGCCCTCCATGAAGTGCGGCTCGAACGGAAGTCTACCAGTAGATGGTATCCGCCAATCTGGGACCCAAGAGGGTAGCCCGTCTACTCTATTTCCCCTCTGACGTGTGCTTGTCTCGGCCAATACCCAAAATAGCAAATTTTCTACCTCCCCCTTAGAATTTGCATAGGCTTCCGCAAAGCTAGTAAAGACTTCTCCTGTCGAATAGGCATAATTTATGTCGATATTTACCCCATCCCTTTTAAGACCAAATATTGAGTAGATTCGATCTCGAGGGTCTGCGCAATCAAAGTGTTCGAAGGCATGAAGCAAGTTTGCCATATTGGTGGAGTTTCCTTTCTTCCTCGAATCGGCGCGAGCTGGGTTTATTGAGGACTCAATTTGAGGCATCGACCACGTAAGCCATAAGTGGTAAAGAGAAATTGCCGATGCAAGCGATGGTGTTGGTTGAGCAATTTCCCTAGCTATAAGCAGGACCCTGGAGAGTTGCTGCCAGGATAGCTCTATAGGACCGCAGTGTAACGACACACTTGGGCTCATGACAAGCTCTTGAATAACCCAACGACGAGTAAACCACGCGAGCTGGGTGATTGATATCACATGCGATAGCGCTGAAGCGTCCAAGACTCCCGGTTCTTGAATGTTCTCAGAGATCCTGGTAGCAATCGTCCGCATGACTTTCATTGACTTGATATCACGATCCTCGTTCCCAAGCCAGACATTGGTATACGATGCATTGCGGTATATCTCTGTCATAAGTGGGATCTGAAAGCTTTTCTCTTCGTCATCTTGCTGGTTAATACATACAGCGTCTACCCATATCCATTTTAGACAACTAACAAAACGGAAGCGCCGAAGGGCATTAGCTAAATTTGTAGTTATGAATTTGACGGAGCCGTCTAAGAATAACGTCTCGGAGAAGTCGGGCTGGCCCCAGGTATATGATAAAGCTGCATAGGGTAGATGCATATCATCATCGAGATCAAGATTCCGAAGACTTCCCTTCAGCGGCTCAGAGCCAGTGTCGCCATGCCGTATCTCAAGCACCCTAATATGCCGATTTGAAGGAAGAGGCGAGTAACGGTGTGTGAGTAGCGGTGAAAATGCCATTAGGATCGTGGATCGTGGATCGTGTATCGTGTATCGTGTATCGAATCGTATGTAGTTTGTAAGCTTGAGATAGTAGAAAGTAATTGAATTATAAGCTTGGGCTATTACGCTGCAAGGGAGAAACCTCAGTAGAAAGGAATTATAAGTTTTATAGGATATCGAAGTTGTTGGACGTAATAAAGGAGGTAAATCCTTCATGTTATTAGTTTCGGGTTACATATTAAATTCGTAGTTATCATATTTTAGGAGATACCCTGGAGTTTTTGTTTCACAGCCGAGACATTTCATAAATATTAGGTACCTAATTAAATATGTAAGAAATGACTTATTATGAAGTAGAAAAGAAGTACATGTATCTTTGCCATATTATTCGGAATTAATACAGATTGTATAGGTAGGTACCTATAGATAGGTACCTAACATTATGTAGATGAAATGTTCCAACATAAGATGAAATTGGCTGCAGCTGTAGAATCTAGTTTAAACCCCGAATCAGCTGTTGACGGGCTGACGAGAATTAATCAATAATGACGTATCATCCTAAAGATTTCAGTCAAAAAGGGCCACCAAGTTTACGCTACCTATATTTTGAATGAGATTCTATAAGCTTGTACAGACATGCCTCACCATAAACGAGAGGACCTCCTTAACGCCGCCATAGGTTTCTGTGAGAGCTTTGCGCAGAAAAAACCACCCGACGAGATCTTAAGCCATTTCTCGTCCTCCACCCACATATGGGCATACGAGCATGGACTCAAAGAACTCGCCCCTTTCCTCGGTCGCGAATTCCGGGGGCACGACGGCGTGCAGGAATACTTCAGCACTGTCTCCTCGTGTCTGAGCTACGAGAATATGTGCTTCGCGGATTATATTATCGATGCTGTTGAGAATCGCGTCGCAGTCCGCGGCACCGCCAAGTTCACGTGGACGGCTACGGGCGAGAGCTGGGACGAAGTCTTCGCGTATGCGCTTAAATTCGATGATCAGTACAAAGTCTTTAGCTATCAGGTCTGGGCCGACTCTGGCGCTGCATATCTTGCGAGGAAAGGTCATCTAAAGGAGTTAGAAAGTGATTAAAAGCAATCCACTAGTTTATGATGAGTGCGAGACATTCTCATGCTGTTCCAAGAAGTTACGCTGATATATCTACCTAACCTAGGTTAGTACGCTCAGAGGCCCCAGTAGTGAAGAGATAGTGTTTGATATACCACATCACTTATCATTTACACTCTCTATGCTCTAATAAGTGCTTCTATCGCTCGCTTAGTGAATTCTCAATAACTAGCATGCCAATTGCCACCGTGTAGAATTTCAGAATACCGCCCGTTTTCTATACAGGCGATTTTGAGCACATAATTAACTCGGCACGTCTCCAGGGATCGGGCTAAGTGGAAACCAACTAATATTGAGGTGGAACTCCCCACTCCCTTTTAACTCCCATCGAGATTGTCCATCTTAACTCTTCATTTCCTCTTCGCGTCGTTCTCGCTTTCCTGGACAAGCTCGTCACGCTCCCAGAGCAGCGCAAATGCACCAGCTACGAAGCCGCCAAGGAAAGACCACTTTGCGGCCGTTTGTATGGCCTTCGCCGGAGAGGATCCGGTTTGTTGAAGATACAAGTACAAGGCCCATATGAGCATCGCTCCGTTTCCTAGGTACAGATCGAACAGGTAGAAATCGGCAACCAGGGGGCCAAACCTACCAGGTCCGTTTGCGAGCGGGTCTATTGCCGGCTGTCCGAGGAAGGGGTGGGGTAGCCATGTCTTCCTGAAAGTGATGTCTGAGAAAAAGGAGGCAAACCCGGGGAATGCGTAAATGAGAGCGGAACGTAAAGGACCAGGTAGCACGGATGTGGCCATGAATGGCAAATGCGTTAGCACGGAAACCGCCATATTGAATTGGTATACTGTCGACACAGCCACATAAAAGCCCTTGCCGGGTGTAGTAGGCTTGCCGTTGGTGTCCTTCGGACCGAGAGTGCCAACTGTGGAGTTGGCCACGCTCTTGAACAGGTCCATAGCAATCACCGTCCACTAATGTAAATATGATTAGAATTTAGAAAGATGCAAGACAATCTCTATCTACTTACCGGTCCAAATGGGATCCAGAAAGCAATCCAGCTATAGTGGCCGATGGAAGAGAAGAGCGAAGGCAAACTCATGAAGAGAGTAGGAATAAGGGTTCCTAAGGTCAGGGAAATAGGCATAAGTGCTAAGTCCCAGAGGTCCACGAATAGGAGCTTCGCAGATTCACCCGTAATTCTGCCACCCTTGCTTTCCAACTTCGAGATAGGCGACGTGAGAAGATGCAACCCGAAGTATAGCGGTAAAGAAAACGCCCACGAGATCGCTTGGAAGACCACGCCGAGGGTTCCAGCCCAACTAACGGCGAGACCGCGATTTCCTGCTCGCCTACACTCGAGCAAGAGAAGACCCCATCCGACGCAGAACTGGCCCATAGACTCGATGTAGAGCGCCCAGGTGTTCCAGCGGAGCTCGGGGTCGTCGATCAGCGCCGCCACGAAGGCCGTCCAATGCGAGATTATCGCATCCACAAACCCGACGCCGGTGTACTTGTACTTGAAAGGCACCGGGCCACCTATTAAGACCACAGCTTCTTCACTCCCGCCGGCGATGGCTCTTAACAGCTTACCTAACGGACCTGCGAAAAGCTGTCCGTCGGTAGCCATGACCCCGAAGAGTCCCATCCCCAAGAAAAGCGCGGAGAGCGCAAGCCTCCCTTGGGACGCCTTTATCAACGAGTCAGCCCAGTTGCGAATGTACTATACAGAAACCTGGGCGGGAAGTCTTACCATGAAGGGTTACGTAGTAGAGCTGTATCACAACTACAAACTCTCAGACTCTCAGACTCTCAGACTCTCAGACTCTCAGACTCTCAGACTCTCAGACTCTCAGACTCTCAGACTCTCAGACTCTCAGACTCTCAGACTCAGACTACAAGCCTAAGAATAGGAAGAACACCTTAGATTCTCGTCGAGTTTTCGAGGATTGAGATGTTCTCCAAGACTATAGGTACCCAAGACATTGCGAGCGATAATATATGCACATGTAAGCTCTTATAAATAAGATCCGTCCACGGGGGTGTAAGAACGGGAAGACGGGGCCGCTCCGGTCCGTTTAATGCCGCTCCCTAGGTGCTTTCCCCTAAGGGGCAGAGAGCCTTCCCCTAAAGGTAGAGAGGTGCATTCCTTCGGAGGTGTAAGACGGGTAGACGGGTCCGCCCCGGTTCGATAAATCCCGCTTGTCAGGTATCTTCCCCTACGAAAACAGGTAGAGAATTACATCTGCTGGGGAATTATCACCGTACATACCTAGGTACCTTAGGTATATATGCACATATATTTTCAAAATGCAAAGGTACCTACCTGATTACCAAGTATACCTTATGAATAATTCCGTGCATCGGATGCCTGCATCTTTCGATTCGAGTATTTCTTGCCAACCACCAGGACATGACTCTTGTAAGCCAAGATGCGGCCGCCCGATGGACGGATTTCGGCCGCAGAAGTAGTGCGGGTACCACTGCTACGGTGGACACTGCCGCAGGATTGCGGGGTTAGGGCCAACGGGAGGGGAGTTTAATAGGTGGGGTCCCTTCTAGATCTGCCTTTCTTCCTGCAAGCTTATCACATCCACACCTGCCATTCTTCAATTCTTCAGCACATGCAACTTCCTCAGTAAGTTGGCGTGACACAGCAGCTTCAGAGGTGTTATACATGTAACCTTGTTTAAATAAAGCTTCCCCCAAGAGAAGGCACCTGCAATTCATACGAAGAAGGTGCGAGTTCCATACTGTAAGGTACATGTACATATGTGTATTTGAGATCGGCGATTGACCTAAACTAACCTAGAACATCTGCATTCTTCCAAAATATATCGTCACCCTATTCGTCCAACTCTCAATCTCCTCCTCACTCTTCCATACCGATAGAGAAAAGCATTGGTCGCCGTGTCGCTCAGACCTACGACCAGAAGTCGTCCTTCTCTACATATACATCTCCGTTGCGAGCCCTTGAGGAACCCGATGCTTTTATGCAAGTAAAAGTCATGCTCGGCCCTACTGGCAAAGAAGATGCCCCCTCCCAAGCCCGAGTGAAGGTATGCCCATTCTGAATGCGCGCATTCTCTTCCATGGATACGTCTCCGTACTGGTGGCCCTGCCTTTCGACAGACTCGATCGCCTTTTTCATGTCATTATCGATGCCTTGCACAAGTTGTTGCAAGTGCCGTATCGTGGACCCTTGATCAGTAATGCCTGAAGTAAGCTGTCTGACTTCCTCTCTGGCTAGTTCTTGCTCCTTATCGGGCATTGGATAGATGTGCTGTAGCAAATCGATCAACGATGTGATATCACTAATAAGTTGCATCGCATGTTCTCTGCTGTACAGCACCCAACGCATAGTCTTCATCGGATTAGCTCCATGTCGTCTACGCCGCGCAACTACCTCCCGGATTTTTCTGCTTAAGGAATGTTCATTCTTCTCTTTTCCTTCATCCCGTTCCGAGCGATCTCCGGCCTGGTCACATGATGGTCGGAACTTTTGAGACAGCTTGTTTGATTCCTCGAGAAGCTCGAGGATTCGGATAAGCGCATCTTTTGCGGTCCTAATTTGATCGTTGGTTGCTAATGGGTTGCTCAACTGTGGGTCTTCATCGACTCCTAACGCTTCTCCCCAGCGTGAGAGCCGCAACTCGAGCATTCTCCCATCGATACACGCGCCTAGGGCTGAAGCGAGACCTACGGCGCCTATTACGATACCAAAGACTTCGGCCATTTTGAAACTTGCTTTATAACGTAATCAGGCTTAGTACTACGAGATGAGGAACCCAAGGCTCTTGAGCGCTTGATATGGGTAGTTTATACAAAATGTTCTGGGCATCTGTCTGCCTTACCTATTGCCTTGGTCACCGAGTCCTGTTGCTTACGTGCCATTCCAGCGCATAGGTCGCGGCCATGCAGTATCCGATGAAGGATCTCAGCCGTACACCCTACTCATGAGCAAAGAGCGTGAGAAAAGCCAACATCTTTCCCGCCCGTTAGCTTTGCTCTTCTAGCCATTTCTAGTTCCAAAATAATTCGTATTCATACACAGAGCCCAGCATTTCTATAAGCTCCACATAGCGTGATGTCCGGGCAAGCGGAGTCTTCGGTCCAGTTCCAGTTCATTTCTGGGAACAGCCGTGTTCATAATGGCCATACCTTTTCTCAACCCACAGACGAACAAAACTCTGCTCGCCTAAATCAGCCGGTCGGCAAGCTTCCCGACCTCCTTTACAAGTCGTTACGGTTCGACCAGATTCATGCCCGTCGACAAACCCTTCGATCGCCCAGCCCAGATACTTGTAGCTGGATTCTGGATACTCATGAATTCAAGGCTTGGGTAAACCCAGATGAAATCAGCTACCATCATGGATTACTCTGGATCAAAGGAAAGCCAGGCGCAGGGAAATCTATACTTATGAATTATCTCCTTGGAGAGTCAAAAACTCAGATGCCTGATTTCAACGTCATTTCATTCTTCTTCAACGCGAGAGGACATGAACTCGAACGAACAGCGAAGGGGTTATACCAATCCCTTCTATGGCAAATCATGGAGACTTTTCCAGACACCAAGAGAGTCTTCGTCGAACTCGGATTCACCAATCCCGACTTGATCGAACAAAATGGCTGGCAGGAAGAGAGTCTAAAAAACTTGATTTCATACGCCATTAGAAAATTGGACAGCCGCAAACTCGTATGCTACATCGACGCGCTTGACGAATGTCTAGAAGAACAAGCGCGTAGCATGGTCACATTCTTCCAAGAGATCAGTTGGCAGGCCATGAAGCAAGGCGACCGCCTAAACGTATGCTTTTCGAGCCGGCATTATCCGAATATGTCAATTATAAAAGGGCTGACCTTACTTATTGACGGTCAAGACGGTCATATGATCGATATCCAGCGTTATATCGACTCTACTCTTGTCATCGATTCGTCGCAATCCGGCGAAGATATCAAATCTCGGATTCTCAAAAAGGCATCCGGCGTCTTTCTTTGGGTAGCTCTAGTGATTCCAATGTTAAACAAAGCCTTCGATTCGGGAAAGACAGCTGCTGTGAATAAGCTACTTGATGAATTACCAACCGAGCTCAGCCTCCTGTTCCACGATATGCTAATGCGGGATTCAGAAGTACGGGATTCAGAAGCCTGCGATTCCATGTTACTCTGTATCCAACTCGTACTTCTTGCAAAACGTCCGTTGAGCTTGGAGGAACTTTACTGCGGTATCAAAGCTGGTCTCAATGACCCGATCCCGCATGGTTCTCTCCTAGAAGATTATACGATGCGCAGATATATTCTTAGCTCGTCAAAAGGGTTAGTAGAGGAGGTTTGCGCTATATTTTCATCTTCTATGCAATTTATCCACGAATCTGTTCGGGAGTTTTTTATACTTGACGGTTATGAACTGCGAGGTATAGTCCGACAATATTGGCCTCATCTAAGCAGCAACTTTATAGGCAAGAGTCAAGATGCTATAAAAGAGGCTTGTTTTAGCGGAATGATGATCAGAATGCCAGATGTTGATGTTGGTCTAATGGATTATGATGACTGGTTGGAATTAGTAAGTGAAACAACCGAAGCTTACCCATTTCTTGAGTATGCTGTTTCGAATGTCCTTTTCCACTCCAACGAAGCGCAGCTTTATGAAGTACAACAGTCGGATTGGATCAAGCAATTTCCGCTACATACATGGATCGGCCTTCGTGATATTTGCCGTCTCGACATCAATATCTATACTCCCGATGTAAACATATTGTATGTTCCTGCGTGTGAAGACTTAATCCACCTCGTCAAGCAATCCCCTGATAGATTACGGTACATCAATATCAGAGGTTACTACGGCACACATTTACTCGCTGCATTATCATAGACCAAGGCCTCGATATCCAAATAAATCAGCAAGAAGAAGAGTTCTTTTCACAGCTACAGCCTGCCAGACCTGATATTCGAGCTAGATGGTTTCCAGAGCAGAGCTTATTCAACTGCTTAGCACAGCTGGACTGTGTGGTGGCCATGAGGGCACTAGTTCTACTAGGGGAAGATATCAATCAACTGGACGAGAAAGGACAGATGCCTCTAATGCGTGCTAGCAAGTGGGGATCTATTAATGTAGTTCGATGGCAGACAATATTCGCTCACCGTTATTGAAGTATTCGGTGGCTTTGGTTCGTGGCGGTACCACCCCTTGCATTTAGCTAGGCTTATAAATTTCTATAGATTCTAACCTTGGATATAGCTATAATATCTGACATACGCTTTGTGCCATGCCATGATCTATAGTACCCTTTATATTCCTAGTCTCTAGCCTCTACCCACAGACCAGCTCATCAGCCGTAAGCCCCGGCTTCTTCGCATCCATAGGGGGCTCCTTAACCCCCGCTATGCCGTCCGGTTTCGGTAATTATGCATCTACCCCCTTTTCGGCCGTGTTTATATCCCTTTCCGTCCCGACCTGGGCCTCTAGTTCCTGCTTCTTCTTTTCCTTTTTGCTGAGACTTATGCTCCCGTTCGCCAGGGCCTCTTTCGGAAGCGGCCGCACTATAGGTTGTGCGATCCACCACGGCCGCTTGCATTTCTTGACGGTTGCTACCGAGGTTTCCGGATCGAAGTCCGTGTCCTCGGTATCTTCTGTCTTTGACGATTCTGCCGGCTCCTTACTTTCTACCGCTTTGGGTTGTGCTTCTGGTTCTTCTATGCTTTTGCCTCCAGTCCTCTCGTATTCGATAAGGCCTTCCGCTACACGCCGCTCTACCATGTCGAGGATATTCTCGATAGCTGGAACGTCGCCGGCGTGACACCTTGCTAGAGCATCACGGATATCTATATGTTTCGATATGAAGTGTCTTAAGAGATGGAATAAGTGAGGTCGGACCGCAAGGAGATTCGGCGAGGTGCATTTCTCGTTCCTGCTGCCACCATCCTTCTTCCGTTTCTTGCGCGCCGGACCCTCCTCTTGCTCTGCATCCTTATCCTTTCCCTCAGCAAGCCAACTCTCATCATCCCCAATAATAAACAAGGGCCTTCGCGCTGGCGGATCCCGTTGCAGGACATGTTTGTGTATGATATCCATATAACGCCTAAACACGGCGTCTATTCGATAGCCACCCTTACCGTCTAAGCCTCGCCAATATTCTCGTCCCTCTTGTCCAGGAGGTGGCGGTTGTGCAAAGATGGCCGGATCGCTTAGATTTCCCTCCGCGCTCATGACGGCGTCAGCACCCGTTGCCTCGAGACATCTTTCCAGATCTCCGTGCTGGAGAACATTGCCATTGGCGAAAATGACCGTTTCCTTTGGTAGGTTCTCTCTTAGATAGCGCAGGTATTCCCAGTCTGCGACACCGGTTATATGACCCTTTTGCTCTCGTCTTCGCCCGTGGACGGTAATGATACTTGCGCCCGCAGCCAACACGTTCTTAGCATAAGCTAAAGTGTCCTCCTTAGTTTCCAATATGCGTATCTTTGCTGTTACAGGGACGGGAAGGTCCTTATGAAGGGTATTGATCAGATTGTAGACGAGTTCTTGGTCCTCTTGTAGGAATGCGCCATAGTGACCTTTGCGCGCTATACCTTGAGGGCAGCCGAGGTTCAAGTCGACGGCGTCGCAGTAAGGCGCGGCTAGGGTTGCCGCACCCAGTAAGTGTTCAGGATCATTGGCGCAGAACTGCACGAATAGAGGACGATCGAATGCCGGGTTGCCATCCAGGAATGGGGGTAGTTGTTCGGTGTTCGTAGATGCAGGCGTAGAATTCGGCGTTGCCGAAGCAGGAGTAGACGGAGAGGGTCGGGTCGCTTCGAAGTGCGATTCTCTATATTTGTATGTTTCTTTAAATAATCGAGCGTGGAACATAGGCGTATAAGCTAACAGTTTCGAGTTCTCGTCTGGAGTGAGATACGACCGAGTAAGCATGCGCCAGGCCTGAGATTAACGGCTGTCAGTGTTCGACATTCTCACTATAGGATGACGGTATAGGAGACATACGAACTCGGACTGATCGACCATAGGCGCGAGCACAAACTTAGGACTGCCTATGCTTTCATAGAACATTCGCCCATGTAACTTAGTCTTGGCCGCCATCGTTGCCGTTGCCCCATTGGCTGTGGTTGAAGCCATTGCGACGTACTTTCTGGCTGTTATTTTCCAGCCAAAGCCGGTAATATTCCAGCGCGTACGCAATTTCGTAACAATGTCCAGGATGACGACTGCGAGCGTTTCTAACTTGCGGTTGAAGAGTAGGCATCAGATGATGAATTTCGTATAGGAAAATGATTGGTTTAAGCTAAGAAAATCTACAATAATTTTGGCGGGGCTACATAGTACAAAGTAATCTAGCTCCGAAATACGGTATACATATTATGTAATGTCCGGATTGCGCTTTCTCTAGACTACATACTAATGCCAAGTATCATGCTATAAGAATAATCGGCATTATTACATGAATCTATTAGGTACCTACGTAAGTATACTGTTCCTTAATTACCTAACAAAATAAAAAGAAATAAAAAGAAACAAACCTTGACAACCTCCCACAAGCACGTCATACAAAACATAGGTACCTACCTAACCTACCTAGGTAGCTCTCACAAAAATACGATAGATCTCAGATAACATTGCAGCCTTGCATAAGACCCCACGAAACCCCGAGGCTACCTATGTATGTACCTAATGTAACCTAGCAGTTCGCTTAAGAAAAAACAATCTTGGCACAGGAAAATGGAACCAAAACGCTGCGCCCCATATATATCCTCTACATCTCGTATTAATCGGCCGAGTACCTCTACATACCTACTCTTGGGGAGATCGCGCTTGGCCGTTGCAACCTCGGCCACCCTCCTAACGCCCTCCGGTTAGGCCAGACCCTTGCTGAGAGAGGAGGACCCTGGAAAGCAAGCATCTATGCACCCTACTTATGCCAGTTTACGTGCCAAAATATTGGATAAGGGGAGAAGCCAAGACATACAGGTGCGTATGCGTAGCGCCGAAAGAACTTGGAAAATGTTGGATACTGATATTGGATACTGATATTGGATACTGATATTCACTCTTATCCCGGTTCAAATACGTAGGTAGCCATCAGATCTTTCCTTAATAGTACATTACTGCCATCCACTGGAGCAAATATCATCATAACACCTTCAAGTCGTGAACGATAAGACAAAATAGACTGTTATTCTCTCGTTCAAACTTCAAATGACTCCCTCATGCCCCCAGGCTAAAAAATTATGATGTCAGAATACAACATAGATACATAAATCTATGATTGGTTCCAAAAATTCGATCTTGCCTAGCTGTGTCGCCGGGGATAAGTATAGCTTCGGTTCAGATAGGCAAGAGTCATGATAGATAGGTTGCCATCGTTTTCCATGATCCGCTCAAGGGATCCGCCTTGTCTTCACATGCCAGCCCCCCCTGGTGCTGCAGTATTCCTCCTCCGCTCTGAAAGACACGGGGTGTTTTCGGGTCAGCATATCTCTACCTATTGGGGTTGTCACCCTCCAGATGTCTGACCGCCTCCTGTGATACGCCTGCCACACCGAATACACTCCTACCAACTCAAATCCAAGCCGTAGCAGCTTCTTTTACCCCGAAATAACTCAGGACCGGGGGCGGATGCCTGATGCAAATACGTTCCGACGCAAGTGATGTCCTCAATAGAGCCATCGGGTCCCCGCCGTTACCGGTACTGTTTGGATATTATAGCAACGAACAGGTTCTTTTTGTGCTCAGAAAAACAGCTCCAAATGTAAATTCGAAAAACGCCGCGACACCTTACTATGCTGGCCATGTGCAAACGCCGTAGACTCGAGTGACAAATACATGATTGCAGGTCTATAAGCCTTTAATCGAGAAGGGAACCTGTTTTTTGCTGGAATATCGTGGTGCAGCGCTCATCGTCGTTAGAAAAAGTGCGTATAGACCTTGGACGTCTCATGAACCTCCATTTCCTGCGTTTACACGTAAGCGAAGCTCCCAAAAGCAAAACCGCAGAACATTTCCGCTCTTGCTTACCATTTTGAAAGTGTTCAACTCCTCCTTGATCTGCTGAGCGAGCATGGGCGTTAGGCGATTGCAGGTCGCAATCTCACCACGGCGGTCGTACTCTCCGCTCGGCCACGTGTCATAGAACACGATCCGCGGGCTGAAGGTGGCATTTCGTTTGCCGGATCCTTGAGGCGTCGTGGGCGCGCTCTTGGTGTCTTGACGAAGGCGCAACGCTGATACAAAATAGTCCTCGCTACCAATGGTAAGAGTATCGTTTCGTTTATGAGCTTGGCCTTGATCGTCGTTTGGAGTACTAGGAGTGGTAGAGCTAGGAGAGTTAGAGACGTTGGGAATTGCCGGGAGATCGAGGCCGGGGCCTCCAGCGGAAGGGCTAGGTGAATTGCTACGAGCTACAACCATGTTAGATAAAGCAGTTAAAATTTTTAGCTGTGGACCTACTCTTCAGAATACCCTTCCGGATAGTAGCGAGTACTTCGGCTCGCTCCCTCTCACCACCGACGATGCTTTTCCTCGAGGCCGAATTGTCCAGGTTCGAGTTCCCTAGATAGTCAGAAGGATGACCATCGACTACAGAGATCTCCGCGTTGCCAGTCTCCAAAGGTGGCAAGGTAGGGGCCTGCTGCGAAGCGGTGGAATTGGCATTGACTCGGTCGCGCTCGGCCTCAACCGTGACCATCGACACAGCCGCTTGGGAACCCTCTGGTATTGTCATGTCCTCGCCGGGTGCTCCGATAACCGATTTAGGCCTAAATAATCCAACCAACGATCTGCCACTCTTCTTCATTCCCCGTCCCATCTTGCGGAGCATAATCGACGCAGAAGATGCTGTCGAGGAAATCGAAAGGTTATCGGTTGATCCCGCGAATAGTCTGGTACCGGCGTAGATGCTACTACCGATACCGCTCTCCTCCTGTTTTTGTGCAATCCGTGCTTGTTCCGCCTCGTAGAGGTCCACAGGCTGGGCATCCTTGTGCAATTTCGACGGTTCATTTTGCGATATCTTTCCCGCGTCGGAAGTGACATCCTGTCCGGTAACTTTCCGGAGTTCGGCAGCGCTCCCAAAAGAGAAGGCTCGCCTTAATCGCGACGTCTTGGTCTTCGATTTCCCGCCCTTCTCGTTAATCGCAGCGAGAT